CAATTGCGCTCTTTTTTAGCAGACCTATTTTTATATTCATATGAAGCAGAATTTATGCAAAATCTTATGCGTGAAAAGTAGAAAACACTTGCTGTGGCCTTCAACTCGACCTTCAGATATATCGACGACGTATTGTCAATTAACAATGGTAATTTCCATTCCTACGTCGATACGATATATCCAGGAGAGCTTGAGATAAAAGATACCACAACGTCTGACACATCTGTTACATACTTGGATATTTTACTTGAAAAAGACGTAAATGGTAACCTAACAACCAAGTTATATGATAAACGTGACGACTTTAACTTTTCTATCGTCAACTTCCCTTACTTATGCAGCAATATACCTTCATCACCTGCATACGGAGTGTATATATCTCAGTTGATTCGATTCGCAAGAGCATGCTCTACGTATGAACAATCTCTAAAACGAGGTAAATTATTGACAAGCAAGTTGATGAAACAAGAATATCAGCAGTCTCGTTTAAAGTCATCATTTCTTAAGTTCTATGGCGAATACAATGACCTTGTCAGCAAATACAATTTATTATATCATTGAGTCAAATGCTGACTGACGTTTTTCATACCAATTGTTAATCCATTATTTATACTCTGAATTGATAACGGATTTTTTCCGTTATTTCCTTATCATGACAAAGAGCACACGGCGGGTGTGACCAGTCAGCAGGGGATGCTCACTCCTCCATGGCACCTGATCCCACCTCTGATGTGAAGGTCCGTGTTTGCTCTGCTCCTATTTTGTATTGTTTTATGGACTTTGATATTGAATACTGTTCGTTATCTTCATATCCTTCTTACATGCATATTATATTCCCTTAGCTCCTCGCCTATCGCTCGGCAAAATTTACATTCCGGTAGAATGATCAAGAAATCGAAATCAACTCTTAGAATAGTAATTTTCAAAGAGGTATCACAAAGAAAACAATAGAAATGGAAATATAATACTGTATAGGGCTGAAATACAGTATAGTCGAAACAATGACCTTGTCAGCAAATACAATTTATCATTGAGTCTAATGTTGACTGACGTTTTTCGTACTTATTGTTAGTCCATTACTTATACACTGAAACGACGACGGGGTTTTCCGTTATTTCCCAATCATGACAAGGAGCACACGGCGGGTGTGACCGGTCGGCAGGGGATGCACACTCCTTACATTGCACCTGATCCCACCTCTGATATTTTGGAGGTCCGTGTTTGCTCTGCCCCTGTTTCGTATTGTTTTATGGACCTTGATGTTGAATACTGTTCGTTATCTCCATGTCCTTCATGACATTTTTTAAATCTATTCCAAACAATATGAGTCACTATCTACGCAAGACGTAAAAGGAAGCCTGTAACAAATATTTATCCTCTGTCTCGTGTATAACTTTACATCTAATTGGTGATAATTCTAAATTGTTATATGAAGCTAATATTATTTGGTTTTTTACACATATAAATTGGGCGAAGGACAATTGAGCGGATTTGAAAAATGTATGAATGAACATATAACTATAATGACAAAGTCCATGCTTTGCTCTGGGAGACCCGACAAAAAGGTCAAAAAGTTAAATAGGAGATGTACAACGACACTTTATTTCCTATCTAGCTTGTAACACGAGCTTTGATTGGTTACAAAGTCGGGTGTAAATATCCGTGCACCCGACTTGAGCCGGGTGTAAATAAAACGTGACGTCACAATGCATACATTCTCAGTACGTAGTTATCTAATGTACAATTGAGACACACTCTGATGTTTACAAAGCTTTTTTTATTGGTACAAAGGAAATAAATTCGTTATCCAGGTTCAATCAAGGGTCTCATGGTGTATGGAATAAAACCCGGGGTAAATCCCCGTACACCCGTGATTGAACCTGGATAACTAATAATGTAATAAATTTTATTCAGCTGCATAGGAGGTTTTGTGGATAAGAGATTGGAACCCTTCAATATCAGAGAATTTGCGAAACGTTGACTTTATACTTGCTTCTGTTATATTCTGTTTCATCGACTAATTGTCAATAGTTTGCCTCATTTTAGAAATTGTTCTTAAGAAAACCTCTTGCATTAGAAATTAATATGACCTAATATATATATGTGATGATTGTGGTATATGTGCATATATATTGCTTCATGAATCAAGGAAGTTGGCCTTAGTAAAACAATCATCACATTATCATAAAGTTTTATTGCTAGGTATCATAAACTTAATGCTCATCTTTCCAGTATAATATCCTTTGAAACAGATGTTTTTGACTGACCTTACGTTTGTATAATAATTGACACACTGAATTGACGACAGATTTTCCCATTATTTCCCTATTATTACAAGGAGCACACGGCGCTTGTGACCGGTCGACAAGGGTGCCCACTCCATTGCACCTGATCCCACCTCTGATGTTTCAGTTGTCATTGTTTGCTCTGCTTCAATAATTGTGTTGTTTAATGGACTTTGGAGCTTCAATACTGTTCGTATCTCCATATATTTCATGGAATCATCTAGGAATGCAAAGGAATATCATTACAATGTACTAGTAATTGATAAAGCGTCATGAAGTTCGTACACGATGATGCTATACGTCCTTGGATTTGAAAATGTTCACATTCTGTACTGATAAAAAGACTTACGAGATTGATCACATTAGTTATCTTTGAACAAGAGTCTGACATCACAGTGGACTGAGTTAAGGAATCACCGTCTAGTTAGTATAGTATGCCAGTGAATTCTAACTAGACAGTGATTCCTTATATTTCCATTTCATTGTGAAATAAAACTGTTGATTTAGATTTTAAAAATGTAGACATTCATTTAAATTACACGAGGATTCCATGCCAATTCCAATAGTCCTAGCCCACTGACGTCAAACAACAAGGCAGTCGCAGGAGATTTACATGCATATTTGGCTTCCTTAGCGCCAGACACAGAGACATATGCGCACGAGATTTGCATGCATATTAGGCCTCCTTAGCTCCTGACGTATCGACCTGCCTAATATTTAAGGAATCAACTCCGCTTACTCTCAAAGAGTTATCACAAAGAAAAAAATAGAAATGGAAATGTATTAATTAGTATTAAATAAACTTTTATCAATTATACAAATTCATTCACAAGAACCTTTGATCGTTTCTCTGGAGTTCGAAAAAGAGTAGGCTCACTGGGGGCCGCCAGAGAAACCAAAAACTTTACCGATCCATTATCCTAATAGTCCGCCGAAATATGGCTGAAATATTGCCGACTCGGCGTAAAAAAACAATAATCAATCAATCAATCACAAGAACCTTTGGCTTTTATCTCATGAAAGGAGATAAAATCCAGTTAAAATGAATGTCTGGGTCCTTATACAAGCTCTTAAAATCCCCCTCACCAAAACTATATATAATATGATTAAAGCAATGATTAAAAGAGACAATGAAACACAGTGAGTTGATGGATCGATTTAATTATGTACATATATATGTTGGAAAAGTAGGATTGAATGAGCAAGGAACTGTTTGTGGTCGTGGACGTTGTGATGTTGCAGAGAGCAACAACTTTTAATCATTATATCCATTTTTTTAATTATTCTTAATAAATACCCCCTTCTTTTAATCATATTAAATTGATCTTCAGTATCAAGTCAATTTGGATTAATAAGTTAGTAATATTTCACATTTGTGTTAAATTTATTTTTTGCTTTTAACAATTTTTTCTACATTTTTTTTTCTTCTGACAGAGCCAGGTTCCTGTATAAATTATATAGGTGTATATTAATTGATAATTTAAATTCACAGAAAGACCCAATACGTTTTCTAATTGTAAATAAATGTATATTTGTAACCGGTTCTTGTTCAATATAAAACAACAAGATCGATTGCTCAGGGTGTGGATCCAAATTTATTTTGGTGTAAGGTAGGAATAGGATAGGATAAATCGGATCAACCCTACAATAACAATAACATATAAGCACACACACACAAAACAATACAAAGACAATACAAACAGATAATCACATCTTTAACACAATCATTTATAGTCCATTTACATTTATACCATTTAAAATAATTAGGTCACACTTCACTCAGTTTAACTAGCTCTTTAAACCATTATACTTTACTTCTAATTCATAGAAATAACTTATAAACAATATTTACATTAATCAATCTGATCAATACACAAACACATACCCATTTATGGAATAAAGTGAATTCCTAACTCCTAGCTAAACCAATCTGACTTCACTTCAAATATCTGACCTAATTAACAATACTTAAAAATTACAACAAACTCTCAAATCCCTTATTTAGGATGCAAGAATAGATTAAAATGGTTAACTTGCTTTTATAGTTCTTTACTAATCTTTATATACATTCCTTACACACTCACACTTTATTTAGCAAGTTTAGATTAAAATTAATTATTTAGATTTCTCATTCATAAAGAAATTATTTAGATACTTATTTAGTAGTTTAATTATTTATTAAATTAATTACAGGAATAAGGGTGGTATCTCCAACACTAAGAAATAGGTATTAGCACTATATACATGTACACCCTTCAAAAACCAGTTCTAAGAATAAGGGAAATCAGGATAGTAGTTCCCGCCAATTCTACCTTAGAAGCAATCAACCACACTGACCAATAGAAATCAATGTCCCACTACATAATGGAATAACCCATTCACAACATTACCTGGAATACAACACTTAACTAAATAGGGGTGTTTAGGTTTATAACAGACACTGAACAAGACAACATAGAGTGTTAGTAAATCGCATTGCGCAGCGTTGAATGAATGAGTGAATGACTGAATGAATAAAATAAAGAATGAGAATAATGTGTACAATTTAAAATACATATCCTAAAAATATAAAAAGTACAACTACCACATATTGTACATCATTAATTACCTAGAGATATGTTCAATAAGAAATGTTTTTGAAAAAAAAGATAAATATATTTCAAGTTGTAAAGATTACCTTTACAAGTGGCCTTACCTTGACCTGCATAAACAAAGATAAAGAGTTATCTGCCCTTCTGTGACGCAGCTGGTAAACAAATTGTGTGTCGGCGTCCGTGTCCCACTCCAACAAGCTATTATTATTAAGACATGGAATCTACAGAGTTCGAGTTTCCAGGTATGACAAGTGAGAAACATCCCGAATGTTTCAACATCGAGGCCATGCCACCTCAACCGAAAGAGAAAAAACCTGGTCAACTTCCCGATCACCTGATCAAACAGTTTTTTGAAGAGGTTAGTTTTAGCTTTAAGTTTTGTTACTTTTGTGTTTAATAAACTTATCATACCATGTTATTGATTCAATAATCAGATATAATAATAAATATTACATTTAAATGTGCTCATCTTTTGAAGGCTGCATAAAAACACCCGAGTTTTGTAACATGAATGGATCGGGTATTACAAGTATATGGTAGCCTGGTAGGGAAATAATTTGTATGTTTCTTGGATTCACAAAATCAATATGTGTACATGAAGTATACATGTATCTCACATTTTGGAACAATGTCCTACGTTTTTTTTTTAAATCTGCCACACATATTTTAATCTGGAAAAATTAAATACTTAGTATTTATTAGAATTAAGAGTTTACTAAACTTTTACGATAATGAAATGAAGATCATATTTTAAATAATAATAGAATGAGATATTAATTAATTAAGCACATTGTTTGAATTAATGTCAGACACGGTTTTTGAAATTTGTTAAATAAATACCATTCAAAAGACGGTTAAAGAACATCTGAAACTTCATCATGTGTGTCACAGTTTCCCATACAAAGTCGTTGCATTCAGGTTACATTGAACTCTCAGTAATTGAACTTTGGATCGCCTCGCTCTCAACCTAGTTATTAAAATCTAATATTGTACTACAGATGTACACTCTGTATTTAAAGCAAATAATGATGATAATAATTTTTTTTTTTATAAAAATCAAAAACAGACATTTTCAGTCGTTATGGTTATCGCTACGGTAGATGCTATATTAATTTTCAAACGAATGAATTCTAAATTATGAAATTATTCTTTAAAATTTGGAAGTTGAAAATTTTCTGATTAGATTTTATTTAACTGTACTGATATTGCTCCAACCACTGCGCCACATGGACTGTTTATTGTTGCCCTTCTCTGTCCCTATAGTCTGTTAATAAGGATTGGACATGTGAAGGAAATGTGCAGTGGGGTTTCCAAAATTTTTACCTACATCATATCATGGCTACATGTATATACCTATGGTTTTAAGAGAGCTAAGTTAATTTTCAAATATACACCTGAATCCTTCCTTGATTATGCGAATTTTATCAATGAGTACTTGAATATTTTTCATTTTCATTGAATAGTAAAATTACATTGTACATGTATGTATTTTTATGAGCACTCACTTCTGATTCTACACTGAAATTAAAGTGCATATTACCATATTAAGTAATCAATAAACATTGAAATGACATAACATGACAATTACAATATGAACTGTTCAATGGTGGACAAAAATACAATAACATGAAAAAACAACATAGGATTGCTTCATTTAATCTTGATATTCAAGATCTAAAAATTCCTGAAATATGATATAAATTAATATACTTTTGTTTCATTATCGTCAGTTATTTGATACGAAGGAGTTCTGTAATAGTAAATGTGTCGAAGTTTTACTTTAGTCACGTTTTTCATGCTGCTTGGTACTTTAAGTGTTGGGGACGGCAACAACCTGTACCCCCTTTGTTGCTGAACTTTTATCTTGAACTCGCAAAGGCCCTGCTACCCTGTCCCTGAGAAAATAAATGCAATATATATTTACTGTTGTTCTGCTATTTTACATGCAGTTATGATATGACTAGTACATTGACCTATTGGTAATACATTGCATAAAAAACATATAACCTACATAGAGTATTATATGTAATCTCGAAGTACAATTACATCTAAATTATGTTGTAATACGTACTTTTATTTTACGATTCTTGAACTAGTCTAGTATAGTTGGAAACTTAAAACGGGATACATGTAGGTAGAGAGTACAATGTTATGTTATAAAGTACCACACTCAGTAGTCACGAGATATATTTACATGGATCTTTGTATTTTATACGACAATCCTCAACAAAGGACTCATGTATCTTTTTACATGACGTACAAGGGGTTATCAAAAAGTTCCTGGACTAGCGCCATAAAATTAAAACCGCTTCAGGCACATCAATGAATTTTAAAATATCTAGTTAGCATCATCTTTTCTATCTAAAGAATAAACCATAAATCATAAATTCTATTTTTATACGCCCGTCTTAAGACGGGACGTATTATGTTATAGGCTTCGTGTCCGTCCGTCCGTCTGTTAGCTTTTCTGGTGTCCGGCTCATAACTTTAATACTATAAGGCCTAGAGTTATCAAACTTTGTCAACTGATACATCTTGGGTAGAAGGTGTGTCGCGCACAAAAAGTAGGTCGCTCTGACCTATAATTAAAAAGTTATAGCCAAATATGGAAAAATCCTGTCCGGTCCATAACTAGAAAACTATTAGACTTAGAATCATCAAACTTGGCCAGTTTATGCATCTTAGGTAGAAGGTGTGTCGCGACCTATTTCAAGGTCACTGTGACCTTTAACTTAAGTGGAATTTTAAAAAAAAATGTCTTTTTTCTATTCATTTACACATTCAAAAAATATAAAACTATTGCACTAACCTTATTAGAAAAATGTTAAATCAAGAAAATACTTATTTTTTTAGCATATACTTGGCAGCAATCTATAACAAATATAATGTATGTTAGAGAAATTCCACCACTCCCATGAGTCTAATTATCAAGCACTGGTCAAGAAGAATTTTGATAACAGAAAATTACATGTCAAATTAGAGAGAGAAATTAATGAGTTTAGTGTGAGGAGTAGCTGTAAGAGCATTGGTGTTATCTATATCCCTTGAGTATTGGGCCAAATGTAAGCCTGTTGGATTAAAAATAGCTCTTGTTGGCTAGCCGAAGTTTTAAAATGAATTTGATGAGAAGTAATTAAAACTAATTTGATATTGCGTATTAAACTATTTTGATATTACATAATATTATGAACTTAAAAATTAATTTTATGGAGGTAGGGGTGGAATCTGCATGTCCATATGAATTGCATATTAACAATTAACTGCCTGACATTAAATCTAAAAAAAAAAAAATCATTGATGTTTTATATATTTTAAAAATGTTTTATGATAGATAGTGCAGATCCAATAATTTTTTGGGAGTAATGAGTAGACAATAATCCAGTTAAAGATTAATTAATGTGTTCAATGTAGGAAGGCTAGCTGCATGTCTCTTTCATAATTTCTTCAGAGCATGGTCTTATCTGTATCCTTCGGGAATTAGACAGAAGAACTGTTGGTCAGTTTATATTTGATGGCCAGCCTTTTATTTCCAAAATTAATTAGGTATAGATTAAGTTGTGAAGACTAATTTGATATATTCTAATATGATAGGCATTTGGCAAGGTATAGAAATCTATGAATGATGCAATATTTGTTATAATTAACATGATTAATGCCTACACCACAGGAGATGGATAAACAAATTTTTTAAGGTGTGTAAAAATCATTGAAATCTTAAAATCAAGGTTGACATGATTTTCCTGCACTTTTAACTGTTTAAGATACATTGTAATTGTATTTTTTTGACGGGCGTATCATGCTGTGGCGTGGCACTTTATTTAATAAATTAGTAATGTTTTTGTAAGCAATGGTATTTCCAGGCGGCGCAACCTCGAACATGACGTTTTTGCGACCCATGTGTAACTGAGAAAAACTTTTTTGATATGATCATTTGACATCCAAAAATACCGTTAATTCAGGTTTGTGTCGGGACACAATTGTTCCATAAAATATGAAATTTTCACTTCATTCTAAAAGTTCTTTGAAATTTTATCGTAAATTTTACACGGAATGTCCAAACAAATGAGGCCTTGAAAGTGACGTTAAAAGGGGGGGGGGAAGTTTCCGTTTCTAACATTCAATAAAGTTTTGCCCCTGAAGAAACTGGTATAGACCAAAAATATGTTGAAATTGGCTACAGAAAAATAATATGCATCCAAAGTACTTGTCTTTTATTGTCAAAATAGATTCAGAGAGAAAAGGAGTACACAGTTAATGTCGATTTGCAGTCAAGGTGTGAAAAATTAATCACGTCAAAAAATGTGTTGTAGATATTGAACTCCCAAAAGTAAAATATGCCGTTACAATCAAGCTCGGATCTCTCCCAATGTATTAATCCATTTGGAATATTTTATTCATTGAAGGCAACTGTTCATGACATTGTAAAGTCATATAAACAAGGCGGGTTTAAGTCCTTACTCAGACCCTGGGAATCTCATCAAAAATGTGTATGAGGTAGAAGAAGCGGACTTTGAAAAAACAATGACGTTATTGGATCATGAAAATAAATGACGACAGCGCCGGGTGATCGTATCATGTCGTTTTCATTTTATAATAATTTGGTAAATAATGAACGTATCAAGCTAAAATTTTCAACATTTCTTTATTTTCTGTTGTTTTATGTTCCACATAAATTTTGAAAGCACAGACTACACAGTTCTAATTTTATAGCCTCAGTCCACGAACTTTTTGATAACCCCTCGTACATGTGCAATCTCACACAGTCTAACGGAATTGTATATATGTTCCACGTAACATTATGTAATGAGACGTATACAATGTACTTTCGTATTTGATTATATGATTAATAAAATTAGGTAATTATGTTCCCCAAACGAAGTTGGGGAACATATTGTTTTTACTCTGTTTCTTATTATTATTATTATTATTATTATTTTTCTTCTTCTTCCTGGAACTTTTTTGTCCGGGAATGATCTTGTAAACTGTTCGTCCGATGTAGGTAAAACCTTTTTAGGGTTAGTAGACATGTTATGTAGATTTGCGGAATCAAGGTCATTTTGCGCGCACGTGCTTGCAAGAGCGTGCACGTGCAACACGTGAAATGACCAATATAATAGATATAGCCACAACTGTTCTATTTTTAAATGAAATGCTTTGAAACTCATAATGTGAGGATATATTAGTAGTATAGACATGACGACATGGTGAAAATAGCAAGATCTCACGCGCATGCACGTGCACTTCGCTCTGATTGGCTGCAACTAAAGTCTCAATATCTTTCTTGTTTTTTGACGAAATCCTTTGAAATTTTGAACATAGCCATGCATCAGGATATCCTACAACATGAAATAAAGCAATTATCATGAAAACACGTGCATGCACGTGCGCTGCAATCTGATTGGCTGAAACTATAAACAGCTATAACTCCCTTGGTTTTCAACCAAACAGGATGGGATTTGGAACATAGATAGATATAATGGACTTCTACAAGTAGGTATGGTCACCATGCACATGCATACACGTGCGTGTACATGTGCTGTAATCTGATTGGCTGAAACTTTAAACAGCTATAACTCCCTTAGTTTTCACCCAAACGGGGTGGAATTTAGAACATAGATAGATGTAATGGACTTCTACAAGAAGGTATGGTCACCATGCTCATGTATGCACGTGCGTGCACGTGAAATGAGAAAAATCAAACATACACTTGAATGAGCGAATTTTTTTTTTATAATTTTGGATTAAATACTTTAATATTCAGTATATTAAAAATATAGATTGTGTAGACAAGATGATATGGTCATGACGCATATGCATTCACATGTGCACGCGTGCAATGCTAAAGTTTAAATGATTTTTGTACACTTCTTTGTTAATGTTGTTAAAATCTCAGATGCATAGAGGTTGTCTTATTTAATGAAGCTTACAGGGAATATGGCACCAAAAGGGAGTTGGGGAGCGTTTGGGGAACATCTGTAACGGTCCCCGTTACAATTAGCACTAGTTTTTAAGTGCAATGCAATTATTACAAATTCTTGAATTCTATCCATTGCTCTGTTAGGGAAATTTGTTTAAAATCTATTTATTCAAATAAATGATAAACGTAAATTGAACAGCTGGCATGAATAACTATGATCGTTCTCTACATAAGTTTTCTCCATAGGAAATTTGTTCTAAACGTGTTTCTTAACTTCTATGTTTCTGTTGTAGGGTTATATTCTGGTAGAGGATTTTTTCGACACTGAGAAGGAATTAGATCCAGTGAGAGAAGCCATCAATAAATTGGTAGATGGACTAGCTAAAAAACTTCACGATGCTGGCAAAATTAAAAGTTAGTATTGCAAGACTGATATATTTAAAGTCATTTTACTGTTAGAAAAATATGTATGAAATAGGGAAACCATTTGTGGCAATATAATACATGTATGTATATCATGTTTATTTTATATAAAGTTTTTTTTAGTCCATCACCGATTGAAAGTATAAATACAGTCTCTCACTTAAAGAAAAAAAATGGATTTATAGTTAATTATGTTGTCTGATTTGGAATAAATACATTTTATATTTGAAACTTGCTTCCTCACTTATTGATATAATTTCCTTAATAGAATTATATAAAGAGTTTGGATTTTTTGAACGACTAACAAAAATTGAGGCGGAATTTCCAGGAGCCAACATTCTTCTGCACAAGATGGGCAAGCTTCCACAGGTATGGAATCGTGAGCGTCTAGCAAGGTTATATAAGTTACATTATCATCTTTTACAAAATTGCTGGCGTGAAAATTGTGTAGGTCAACAACACTGATGATTTTTCATATCTGACAGAAAATATTGGAGTGTTTTACCAAATATGCTTTATCTAAATATGTATATATCCAATAAAACTTTTAAACCACAGGCACCAAACTCGCTTGAATTTTTTAGTTAAATCTTAAGAATTATGCTTAAGTGTTTTATGTGATTTTCATCTAATCCTCTACCACAACCATCAAAAACGTCAAATCAACGAGTGTACGTCAATCTTCTACAAGTATGCTTCGGTTATTTGTCTATCGGCATGTACTCTCCTGAAGTTATAATTAGATTTTTTTCTGAAAACAAGGCCTTAATTGATATCACAAATTGACAGAATAATTGATTATAATTTCAGGCTTTCAGGGACCTCTGGTCAAATGATAGATTATTAAATGTCATCGAGCAACTTATTGGTCCAGATATTGCGACGTCACCGGTCTGGAATCTGAGAACTAAAACACCGAAGAATAATGCAACTATTGTACCCTGGCATCAAGGTCTGTTCCCTGTTAATGTGATTATTAACAGTTTTGGTTCCAATGACGCAGTTTACTTTCTGTTTTTGTTTATTGGAAAAATCTCAGTGTCATAACTGAAGTTCTACGCATATGAGTATTGAAATGTTAAGAAATTATGAAGGATCTTTTGTTAAGTATAAATTTATGAAAACTAAATACAGTGTACACATTGAACCTAGATATATAGTATTTAGATACACAGTTTTTTTTATACGCCCGTCTTAAGACGGGACGTATTATGTTATAGGCTTCGTGTCCGTCCGTCTGTCTGTCTGTCTGTCTGTCCGTCTGTTAGCTTTTCTCGTGTCCGGCTTATAACTTTAATACTATAAGGCCTAGAGTTACCAAACTTTGTCAGCTGATACATCTTGGGTAGAAGGTGTGTCTCGCACAAAAAGTAGGTCACTCTGACCTTTAATAAAGATGCTATAGCCAAATATGGAAAAATCCTGTCCGGCTCATAACTAGAAAACTATGAGACCTAGAGCTTTCAAACTTGGCAAAAGTATACAGCTAAAGTAGAAGGTGTGTCGCGGCCTATTTCAAGGTCACTGTGACCTTTGATTTCAGTGAATTTTTTTAAAAAACTAAGTCTCTTAAATTTTAAACTTCATAATCCTAAAAAATGTAAAAATATAGTTGTATCCTTATTAAAAAATGTTAAATTAAGTAAAAACTTATTTTTTCATTATATACTTTACAGCAATCTGTAACAAATGTTTATGCTTTGAGAGGAATTCAGTTTGTCCCATGGGCATAATTATCAAGCACTGGTCAAGAAGAATTTTGATAGCAGAAACTTGCATGTCAAATAAGAGAGAAATTAATGAGTTTATTGTCAGGAGCTAAGAGCATCTCTAGATCTGATGCAGCTGTTATCTTAATTTATCTCTTGGGAGTTGGGCCAAAAGAAATGGCCTCATAGTTGCTTGTTTTAATTAAGAGTTCTTGATGGCTAGTCCAGATAAAGATCTTCCAATTGTTGTAATGTAATTAAAACAAATTTATGTTTTAGTGTATGATTAAAACTAAATTAGTATTGCACATGTATAATATAATTAAAACTTATTATTAATATACATGTGTTCATTGAAAAAAAATATATATTTCAATTTTTACACATATTTGCAACAAATTGCAGTCATGTCTCACTTAGAATTTTATAGTCTGAAGAAATTATAATTTATTTTTGATTTTTTTATTAAACTGTAGCATTTCTATTATTTAATAAAAAATGCAATAAACAATTTAAGTTTAAGAAAGCTGCAGATGGATATTTGTTATGCTCTAACACAACCAGTTTAGAGGTATATGATGTATTTGTTATAATCAATCCCTACACTGCAAGTCTCTTAGAGATGTATGATAAGAAATGGAAATTAATTATGAATCATTGAAATCTGTGTCAATCTGTTAATCAAGGCTACCTGATTTTCTTGCATCCTAACCAATTTATTATCATTGAACAATATTTGACGGGCGTATCATGCTGTGGCGGGGCACTTTATTTGTACCAGAGGTTCTGTGATCATGCTGTCAGAATAAAAAATTCTATTATATTTTACTCTACAGTGCATATTAATTTTCAATTTTTCAAACTTTTTAAAAAAAATTCTAGATAGCGGATATTTTGACAATCAGTCATATAAGGTTATGATACCAACGGCTTGGATCCCCTTACTCAACACTGACGATTTCAACGGAGGCATGCAAGTACGTTTTTTGTTAGAAATTATGTATTTTTAAAAATGTAGAGAAACTGAAATTTTATGATAGGAAAAAACATGTATATGTTATACAATCATTCATCAACAAAGTTGGGGACATTGAAGAGAGCTATACCCTTTTAAGCAGTTTCTGTTAAATTAAGTACCATTTTGCTCTCTGTTGATCAGAGGTGCATTGACGGTGCTTACAGTGATGCCGCTTTTTGGTCAAAGAATAACCAGGTGAAATTTCAATGTTTTGGGGACACGTGAAAGTTTAAAGCAGGTCTCGTTTTTGGGATATCGTAAGCCCTATTTTGACCGTATTTACATTGATCGTAAATATAAAAGGAAACATGCCACAGAATAAAACTATGCCATTCAGTTAAGTGAAATGTGACTGAATGTTTACTGAATGGTGAGTGAGTGAATGGCAGAGCTCTACCATTCAATCACATTCCAAGACTTTTCAGTGAACATTCAGTTGACTTGAAGGTGCAGATACATCCTTTATACACTACCAGAGTTGCTTCAGATGTAAGCTCTGACTATAATTCTCTGGATGAGTATAAAAATAATTTTTCTTGAGCAGGTTCTTTTTTAAGTAATTTTAAGTGCCTAATGTTGACTGCATTTGCCTGAATATGAAGATAACGAACACTATTTATCCTCAAAAGTTAATTGCAATAATACATATGCAATTTAGGAGCAGAAAAAACACGGACCTTTAAAAAGGTTTGGGATTTTTTGAATCTTTAAGAATAAGCACCCACCCTATCGATGGCTCGGATCTGCTGTGTACGTCTTATGGTCTGACAAACAGAGAATCCATAGACAGTGCGACGTAAAAATAAAGGCATAAAAATGTGTATGAAAAAATTTAGGTTACCATTAACGTCTTTTCTCATGTATAATATAAAACAGATGTGTCAGACTCGGCGGTACAGTGTATCTTTTTTCAACTTTAAAAGGTTACAAATGTATATGGAACTACTAGTAATATAAAAAATATAAATTTTAAATTTATAAAACGTCGCCGATAAGGCCAAAGCAGAGACTTTGAAAAAAATTATTGGCGCAGGTTCATTCAAGTCTAACTTAAGGATTTCCATCCCTAATGGGACCTAATTCCCTACCCTTATATGTCAGTCAAGTACATAATACTCTGATATTATATTAAAGCAATTTATAGTCGAATAGGATTGCCCGCGAGAAAATTTCAAAAAAATCATTAATTAAGCAGTAGTTAATTAGTAAAGATTGCATTGAAGTCTATGGGGAAAAGCGTTTTTTCAAAATAAAAATTCAAATAATTTGAACATCAATAAATCCTGCGGTGGAAAGATGCATTGAATCATAAAAAATATAATGACAAATGAAAACAATTTTTTTACCGGCTAAATTTTTTTTAATTGATTTTTTTTATTAATTAAAAAAAGGGGAGATAACTCTTACCAAAATTCAAGGTCATGAATTAGGACACATCCCAATATACATACTAATAGTAATAAATGGCAAGTATTCTAAATAAACTGAGTATTCAATGCCTACATATCTGTTATGTTTTCAATTTCATTGAATTTGTTCCCATTAGGGATTGAATACCTTAAAATAAATGGAATTTGCATAATTATAGAAATGAACACTCGGGTGCTGGATTTATTCTATATTTTTGAATGAGTGATCAGGTTAAAGTTTTGTTGCAGGCTCATTTGTAACTGCTACATGTAACCCTGTCACGACCAATTTAGCATACATTTTGCATCTAGAAAGACACACTATCAGAATTGATGTCTGCGTGGTGCCGTGGTAACTTAAAATAAATGGAATTTGCATATAGAAATGAACACTCTCGGGTGCTGGATTTATTCTACATTTTTGAATGAGTGACCAGGTTAAAGTATTGTTGCAGGCTCATTTGCTGCTAATCCTGTCACGACCAATTTAGCATATATTTTGCATCTAGAAAGACACACTATCAGAATTGATGTCTGCGTGGTGCCGTGGTAAGAGCGTTTGCTTTTAAGTCGTGGAGTAAGAGGATTATCCTTATGTATCGAGTTTGAATCCAACCGCGGGACCTCGGTAAGGGTCTCTTGGACTAGACCTAATACTAGTAAACTGAAATTCGTGTCGCAGTTGATGTTGGCTAGAGAAAAACATCCCTCACTGTTCAGTAATAGAGGTCTGATTTTGCAACTCTTCATTGGCAAATGGCTGTGTCTTGATATGAGTGAAAAATGTTTCAGATGCTAGATGTGATCGTAAGTTTCTAGACGAGTGGTCACAGGTCAGTTTGAATTTTTAGAGCATATTCATCCAAGTGTAACTTCAGCCTCTGCCTAAACTTACATAAGCTAGAAGTACTGTGAGCACTAGTACTGAGCTCCCTAAATGATACTTCAGTCTCTCATATGATGATAATGACAAAGGACATGTTTTGCTCTGGGAGACCCGAATTTACTGTCAGATCAAAAAGTAAAATAGAAGATGCATAATGACATTATGTATAAAAGAAGTCGTGAAAGTATTGAATTTTATTTAATGACAATGGAGAAGTTGCGGATAAGAGATGGACACCCTTCAATATTATTAATAAAAATGGCAGTATCCACGTTTTGCTATGCGAAACCCGAAATGTACGTCCGATCAAAAAGTAAAATTAAAGGGTAACAATGGCACTATATTACTAAAATTCTGTGAATGTCTCATAAAATTTCAGTCAGGGATATAAGAAAAGGAGCGAATAATTAATGGGTACCCCAAAGTGTAACAGAGGGACGGACGGACATCCCATTCATTCTACCAAATTTGACTAAGATAATGGATATGACCCACATATTATCCTGATTTTAAAATTGAACAAATCAACGGTTTTGGAGCATATTTATTCCAGCTTATATAAGACCCTTCATAGAGCTCACTTGCATTTATGATATCTAGGATGCACGCTACACGTGCCACACTGACTTCAGATACACGATCCGCATGACTTGCGTTTTCCGGATGAGCAGCCAGTGTTTTTTTTGTAGGGATATTTCATTAAGATCGACTTGTACCAAGCATGTATGGGTGATGCAGCAAAATTATAATCTGTTTTTTAGGTGGCTAAAGGGGGTCATCGGACTGGGAAGGTAGCAACACATCAATGTTGTTGGGGAAACACCTGGTACGTGATGCTGGAGGAGGAAGAAATGCAAAAATCGTTAGGTTTGTGAATCTTGATACATATAATAGTTTTCTATCATTTAAAAGTTATTAACCCCTCCCATATTATTAAAAATATGTTCGACACTGTGTAAATTGAAAATTTAAAATTCTAAGTCATTATTTTGTAAGAGTGACTTGTATAACCTTAGTAATGTTTATTATTTCATTTTTGGTACATATTAGAATAAAATGCATGTAGATGAATTATGAAAGAAATACCGCTCTGAAATCATATCCATTAGAAGACTTAGCGCTTTGAAATAATGGTACTATGATTCGATTTTAAATTACTTTTCATCCTTAAAAAAAAACAACATTGAAGTGAATAAAATGCTTTTGAATGCTATAATTTACAGTGGTAGGGGTCTCAAGTTCGTTAATTTTTTCCGTGGTTTTGGCTTGGATGAGTGTTTGGTTCTAAATAATATCTATGGAAGTAAATCGAAGCAAACTTCGAATTTTTGTACAGAGGTTAAGTTTTGGAATGAATTAACATTTTTTTCCTGAACTTTATGTACAGAATATGACAAATGTCATTGTCCTGTAAGAATAATTTAATTTGTCCAGAATATTAACAACATATACATGTCAGTTCTGAGTCCAAAATTAGGCACGCAGGAAACTGATCAAGAAAATTTTTTTCGACCGGTGGGTGTGGAAAAACATATTAATGTCACTCTCAATTCTTATATTCGGTCAAATAATGAAATAAGTCCTGACAGATGTTTTGTTAAATTAAGGAGTGGACATGGAGAAAGACGTCATAACATGTCCGGTGCCATACGGAGGGATGCTACTGTTCAATAACCTGACTCCGCATCGTAGGTAAGTAATTACATATACAGAAATTAAACAAAAATGAGGTTTTGTTGTCAAGGAAAGACGGGCTCCTGAATGTGAAAGGAAATTATTTGACAAAACAAGATTTTAAAGTTAATTAAAACTGCTTCATCAAAATATGTACTACTAATTTTTATCGTATATTATTATTCATATACATCAAAGACATATCACTGAGTAGGAGTTGAATACTGTTTTCAATGAAAAAAGATGGTCTTAAATAAATATTATTAAATTCTGTTTCTCAGGAAAACTGATACCACCATTAACATAACAAAGTAAATAATCTTTATTTAAAACATACTCGTACATTAACTTATAAAAATGAAACATACATAATAAACCATATAGATATGTTGATGTAGAAGTAGACGAATTTTTTCCACTTCTTATTAGCTTACTTTGCAATTCATTTTTCAGTCTTCCCAACATTTCTAATCAAATTCGCTGGGCACTTGATCTTCGATGGCAACGACCTGACCAGCCATATGGTTTATTCAACCTGAAGGATGGACTACTTCTGCGCAAAGACGGCAAAAACGTTGAACGAGACTGGGAGAAATTCGAGTCTGTGGACAGAACCATTGTACAAAAGAAATCCGTGGAAGGCTTTGTTGATGTTAGTATACATTAAGCACTAAATTAAATTTATGTAACTTTAAAATATATTTATTAAAGTAAAAAAGAATGTATTCTTTAAGTCATCGAAGTTTTGAATATTACTTAATAACTGTCAATTGTCCTCTTCGTTCCTTGTGGAGCATGGGGCTGCCACAGTCACTCTAGATCTCTACTTTTCTCTGTTTTGGACTGTGCTTTTTGCCTCATTCTAGGTCTTTCCAATGTTTTCAAGTTCTTTTAATCCTGTTCTCCTAAACTTAATAAAAATCAGCAAACAAAATTATCAAAATGTTGCATACCTCGTAAAATCTGGTATTGTAATTTTTTTTAATTTTGAAATATGTTATACAATAAACAAAGAAGCCTATTTGTGGAATTCTCGGATTAGTTTCAATTAAATTAAATGCACATAAAGGAAATAGAGAAATAAAATAGAAAACGTATTATTATTTATAAACAATTGCATAATTCATGTACTTAGTATTTGATAAACTAAACACTTTTGCAGTGCATTTCATCAATGTGTAACATTTAAAAAAAAATAAAGTGTGATTGTCAAAAGAGCGTAGGGTGAAAACGCCATGAAATGTCAACTTGTTTGTCTTTATCTCTTAAAAATGATTTTTTTAGAATAAAAAAATTATTATATACAATTTGTAATCTGACAACAAGCTGATTTTCTAATGTATTAAATGACACAACTTTTAAAAATCTAAACTGTGGCCTGACTTTCTATTATCCTTTTAAAAATCAGGTGATAGTTGACGAAGAATTTGACACCACAATTCAAGGTCCTTGGATGAAGAAATGGAAAATCACACATATGAATGCGCATACAGATGCGCATGACCGTGCAGAGAGGAAGTGACGTTTGACTTGAGGATGTAGAGTGAAAGAAACATAGGTCGAAGTTGGATCTGTGATATCATCATTACAGATTGGGTCTCTATAATTATATCTGAAATATTTTCATGTTTACTTTCAAGTTATGAATTTATAATCACCATTATTTTGTACTCATGTATTTACTTAGTGTGTAAGTGACGTGTATTATGAGTGTTTTTAAGAAAATAATATATTTATAGTTTTTTCGAATTTTTTTTTGAAAAATCTATTTTGTGTATCATCAGGGATGTATTGCAATAATGTTGATGACATTAACAATAAAATTGTATACTTCTTAAATAGATTGAAAAAGAAACAGGGTTTTTGATAGTAGTTTCAATTCTGATAATTGGACATAATTTATCATCACATTTTTATACTTGAATGTTTATTTTTATGGATTTACATTAATTTCATAGAAAAAAAACATTCCACAAATAAATGCTGCTATTTAAAATGTCAATGATTATTTTAAGTGATAATTTTTCAGTCTTTAACTGTAATTTACGGTTAATTTTATCAATGAAAGAAGTTTTATGAGGACAGCAAATCAGCTTGACTTTTTTTCAGATTAACTGCAATGAAGAAACCATTTAATGTATTACATGCGTAAGCAAAACCATGTGCAGATTTATTTAAGATTTATATGATGTAAGCCATGATTGTCATGATTCAAGACTTTTTGTATGTTATGTATTTTTATTTGAAATAAACAGTTTGAAGAAAACAGATCAACAAACTTTGTTACCTCCTGTATATATTTGATTTTTTTTTTTTTTTCTAATGTAAATTGTAGGTTTGAATTAAGATTCAATTTATCTTGGATACTAAAAGAAAATTTCGACTCTAAGATATTTTAAACTAGAGAGAAATATATGTAGACAGTAACTATTCTTTTACCAAGAGGTCGACACCGTGAAGAAGAAATTTTGGATCTTCAACGAGATCTTTTATAAAACGAGGAACTGTGTCACGAGGGTGTTGGAATGATATTAATTCCTGACTGTTAATGTCCTTGGGTGCCGACTGAAGGTTTAAATTTGAAACCCTTCTTTGGATGTGGTGTCTTCACTGTATGAGTAAAAAATTCAGATCGGGAGGGACGTTCAACAACATTCATTCAATCAATCGATCTTAATAGCGCTTCAAGACTGCTGTGACGAATTTACACGATAATTTAGATCACGTATATAGCGTAACTCAATTTATCTTACGCGGAAAGACTTTTGCGCACTTACAGTATTTTAAATAATAATGTATGCATGTCACATATATTTACAAAAACACTATAAACACCCATTAAAGGAGCATTAGAAAAATATGAATTTCTGACTTACATGTAGATTAAATATACATGACTTCGCATTGTGTTACACTCTTCTGTTTAAGTCCATAGTCACAACCGAAATAAAGTTTTAAATGACCTGACAATGAAACTGACCCACTGTTACCTATCAAATATTACTAGAAAAAAATTCAGCATAATAAATCTTTCTGAAAATATTGATACACACCACGTTAAGTACCATTATATCTATCACCCCCTTTAAATTCGCTTCCTACGTGGCCACAGTATTGTCTTTTTTAATCCCTTACGACAATTTCCCAAACCTGTACACTAAAAACGTTTCGTTTAACAGTGGAACGGTAAAGAGAAGGCTCGAAAAAATTAAGGTAGGTTGAATACGACGAATAATAAATATTTATTTTAATTGATTAATCATAATGAATGAGTTTTTGATCGAATTGTAATTAATGAATAAAATATGATTTTAAAGTGTTTTTAAAATTATTAGTAAATTGGGGGGAAAAATTTATCTACTGAAAATATTTCATTGGCAATTTTCATATTTAAAGAAAAAAAAAATATGGACCATTCGAGTTTATTGATTAAATAACCAGAAAAGATTTTCCTGTTAAATAAATCTAGAAGTTTAAAAAAAAAACTACTTTCCTATTCCTTCCGAGATAGTGTTATAATATTTCTTGTACATGGAGTTATTTCATAATAACTTGAAGTTGTCTTTAATACTGACATCCAAGATTATATTTATTTTGAAACTAATAGATGGATATATATATACTGATTAGAGTATTATACTGTTGTTAGAATTTATTACACGACGTTTGTTTACTCAGCGAATGAGCAATTTAAATCACTGACTTTTTGTTTTATTAGAATCCTCCTACGTGTAACACGCGATTTTTTTCCTTCTAGTAAATAGGTAAAATAACAAAATCTTTTAAATGAATTTAAACATGCTTTTAATTTACGCAGAGAAAACAAGATGGGTTGTGGTGACTGCTGTTCGAAGTTTTTTCTTGTTGTTTTCAACATGATATTCCTGGTAAATACAAGTTCATTATTCATTTTAACACAGAACATTTACTGAAATTGCACATATAAATTACGAAAAGTTATCGATTTTACGAATCACCCTTATATATACATTAAATAGTTATCAAAAAGCGAGTAACTAAGGTTAAAAGCATTATATTGAAATCTAACTATTTTAAAGATTTATTTGTTTTGTAATTTCATGAATTAAAATCTCATTTTTGTTACGTCATTATATTTCCTTTAAAGCTCTTCGGAGGCGCATGTCTGGGTTTGGGAATTTTTGTCCTAGTGGACAAGAACGAGATTTTGGTCCTGACCCGCAGCGTGGATACCAGCAGTCTAGATGTACCCTCCCTCCTAGAGTCAGCCGCCTATGCCCTCATTGCTGGGGGAGGATTTATCTTCTTTGTGGCCTTCTTAGGATGCTGTGGCGCCATCTTGAAAAACAAATGCATGCTGCTTGTGGTATGTTTCATGAAGCACACATTGTGGACATGTGATATCTGTTTTGTTCTTCAAAAAAAATGATTTTCATATCAAGAAACAGATTTTTATATCTGTCATAGTTTTGTCAACTATCATGAAAAAGCTAGAAAACTTGATACTTGATTTTTTTTTCATTAACGGTTGTGATGTCCAAACTATGGAAGTTGAAATTTCAAGTACTTAAGATATGAAATTCTAGAGAGAGATAAAATAATTTTGTTCAATAAGAATTTTCTTATATTTTTCATATTGAATAACGCTTCCAGTACGCAGTTATTGTGGGATTGATTTTTGCTGTGGAGGCCTCGGCGTGTATCTTGGCAGTTCTTTACAAAAGTGATGTAAGTACAGTTTAAAATCAGCAAATATCACAATGAATATTATGGGGTTTTTAAATAATTTTTTTTTCAATGGCATTTTTGTGTTTGCAGTTTGACAAATACGCAAAAAGCAATCTGAACACTCTGTTGGAGACGAGATACAAAGGACCATACGACACCTCTGACGCCATCAGCTTGGCTTTTGATCTTGCATTTATCATTGTAAGTTAGTGTAATGTTATATCCACTCTCTCATTCGGAATTTCCTCATTCCGAGGAACAAACATTGATTTAAATGTAGACAAAACATAGATAAATTAAAGAAACTACAGTGATAAATTGATTTTTTTTTCTATTAAACTCCTCGATTATGAAGTCAGCATGATAACATCCATCAATCTACTACTTTTCCCATGAAATGAATGCATCTATTTCATATTATTGAATAGATGCTTATATTTTAGAATAAATGTATACATTGTTATATTGATGTATTTCAAATGTTACAGCTGGAATGTTGCGGAATCGAGTCCGGTTTGGAATTTAATTCTACGGTAACGAGCTGGAATACGACGTATGTCTATGAGTCTGGGGGTAGTTATACCACAGCCACGGCGGTAATTCCGCCCACTTGCTGTGAATTCACCAACAAGGACGCTTTCCCGTCCGATCCCGTAACATTTTACAATTCCATGACAAATAGCCAGTGTCCAACCAATGCCGCCAACTCTTATTACAATCAGGTAAAATTTCACTACATACAATTCACTTTTTGTTTCGTTAATGTACAGAGATTTCTATTGTATAACTCATGTTAATTTTCATAGTCTATAAGTATAACCAAGCATGTTTAAAAAGATGAATATATGTATGTTGTAACGACATTAAACTTGTGTTATGTGCAAGTGCTTCAAATTCAGACTTGGAAATTGAAGAATTTTAATACAAATTAAGAAAAGGATGAAAATTTATGACGTTTAAAGAAGAATACTTAGAAATAAATTTTGAATGACTTTCACTTTGATTTAGGGATGTTATGATCAACTGCAGTCAAAGTTTGAGGCATATCTTTACATTCTTATCGGAATAGCAGCGGGCGTCGGAGCGTTAGAGGTACCCGTGTATATAATTATTTATATAGATAATTTTTATACCAGGTTCCATTATTTGTTTTGTTCAAAAGCGACATACAATACATTTGCTTGCTTCTGAATAACTAGATTCAGCTGGAAAACTTCATTTAATTTCCCAAAGGGTTTATAAACCCTATTTTGCATTTATTGAAAAGTATTAATCTAAATTATTTGATTTATTTTTTATTTTTAGTTGATTGGCATAATAGCAGCTTGCTGTTTAATGAAAAAGGATAAAGATTCGGATATATCAGATGCAGCAAAAGCTTAAGGGACCAGAAAGGACAGGGGACTAATTAACATTGCGCTATGTGTACCGACCAAAAGAGATTTGAGAGTGCTCTCAACAAGGAGTGACGTCACATACTGCTGAACTATAGTCTTAGCATAATTTATTTTTAAATATTTGTTATACGTTTTGTTATGCTTTACTACCTTATTCCTGTTAACAATAAAATAATAATAATCGAAAAAATTGACGATTTTTTAAATACTTTAGGAGAGTGAGGCAATGGTTTCAATTTTGCAAATAAACATCTAATAAAAAAAAATCGATCTTTTGGCATGCAGTTGAAAAGTTATATTCAATTTAGTTTCAATAATATATTTTTTAAAAAGTTTCCAAAAAATGTTGCAAAAACTATAATCAAAATGTTTCAGTTGTAGTAGAAAGAATTAATTAATTAAATGTTTTGAATAAACATTTTCACTGCCTTGAATGTCTAACTAAGAACGATATTAAGAATGTTTTAAAAATATGCTTTTTAGAAAAGTTCACGCATATCTTTTTGCGTCAAAACTATTTATTAAAATACAATTTTTATAACATATTGAAATTCAACAATTTTAATGATTTAACATTCAATGAAAAAACAGTTAAAAAAAAGACTACAAAGAAGCAAGATTTATAAGGGACTATTTCTTGTGGTGGAAGGATATTGAGCAGATAATTCTGCAAATCGGCATATTTATTAAATTGAATACCTTGGAACTTTAGCCTCATATACATTTACTCGGAGAATATTTTCCGTTATGATATTGCTAGGAATATTAAATATAGGTCTTAATTTATATTTTTAGAACAAGTTTTACACCTTCCTTCAACAAACTTTGCCAAAAAATAAAGATATGTCAAATAAGTCTAGATAAGATTTATACCATTTTTCGCTGAAAATCACATATTTTGACCAATATTTCAAAATTAACATCACTGACAACAACTTCTTCTTTCCTTATTTTAAAGTACTCGATACTTGTGACTGATCAGCACTTAATTAAGTCGTGAAAGGCTTGATTTATTAAAATGATTTATTGCCTGTTTAGTTTTTACATACCCCAAATATGTTATTTTTAGTGCAAAAAGGTCACACAATAATTTACGTGCATGATAATCGTCATGCATGCTGTGTCAGAAAAAAATATTCTGTAAAAATTTCATATTCCTCTGCAGTTAATCAATGATCTGTTTCGAGGCTTGCGAGGTGCATGACAGTCGTAGTTTTAAACACAATTAACTACTCTTGTCATTAAAATAAGTAGTTGTCAGGACTGAAATGCAATAAAATTTAATCATGGCGGCTGCCGATTTTAACCATGGCGCAGCTCTTTTAACCATGGCGCACAAAAATTTATCATGGAGGGCCGCCATGGTAGAACCCCTTGTGGAGAACCCTGTGATAATAATATGATATTTGAAAGCTAATTATACTTTTTAAATCATTATCTAAAACGTTTATCAGACATTTAAGAAAAATGTTCCTTAATCAATATTAAGAATGTTTCAAAAACATTTTGACAATGTTACTTCCAAATGTTTCAGAAACGTATTCATACAATGTTTCAGATTTATGGAAAAGGAATGTTTCATTTTAAGTTTTTAGAACGTTTTTAAAACGTAATATAAAAATCTGTAATATTTGAAAGCTTAACATACCTTTTGTATCATTTTTAAAACGTTTCAAAAATATTTTAGAAAAATATTTCCAAAAAAGGTTTATCTTAAGCTTCTTGAAAACATTTTTAAACTGTTATAATGAGAAGAGGAAATGTTTTAAAAATATTTTTAAAATGTTTAGTCTGAAATGTTTTGAAAAAAAACCTTTTTACAACACTAATAAAATGTTTTGTGCTACCTGGGAGAATTCAATGACATGTAATAAAACAGATTATTTTGATTACTGTAGTAGTGGAACGCACTCCAATCCAACATTGAGCATCAAATATATACAATACATGTATTGTCTATCTAAACTGATAAAATGAATAAGGTTGATTTAGTTGTATACATTGTATACCTCAGGTATATGTACCTCTGAATAGTACACGTTCCACAAATTAACGAGAACATTAAGCGAGGTCCAAAAGCTGCTAAATGCATACGGCGAGCTTAGTTTCAATAAAGTATAATACCCAGTATGTTGTGCCTACGCTTTATTACAAGATTTTCTTTGAAGTTGCAGACTGGCTTATTCAACAAAGTCATCACCAAGATGGTAATTATTAATATAAGTCTCGTTAACATAAGAGAGGCTCTAATGAGATACGTATGAGAAAGCATTTTCACGTGACAATACCCCAGACTTTTGAGTGTTAATTAATTTTTCATGTACATGTGATGAAAGAGTGATTTAAAATAAATGAAAGTCACAATCTAAATACCGTGTTGATTTCACTGTAAAGTAAATACAGCCTCAAAAGCTGTTGATAAAGAACAAAAAAATAATTAGTAATCGTCAACATCTAACAAATAGATCTCTATAGGTACCGTGTAACATTAGATGTATATACATCAGTTCGTTTGCTCTTGTGGAAATGTCAAAGACACACACAATTATTTTTTCCCTTTTCTGAAGGTATGTCACTCGTGAAATTTGTTAAATCTGAGATTTTTTTAGAAGTATATTTTGGATTAGTACTCATATAGTATGACTAAACAACGCACAGAAAATAGTGGGTCAGTGTGCATCTTACTGAGCTACGTACGGTACAATTAAGTTGACCTTTCTGCACTTCAATTTTAACTCTTTGGTTAATTACTCGTGTTACTTTAACCGTTATCATATTTTATCAGATGTAAACATAGCAAAAAATATAATCCTATTTTACGTAAAATAGTTTGAATAATATTTATCATTGAACAAATCTTGCAAATTAATGCGCAAAAAGCAAAAATTATTGTGTGACTCTTTTGCACTGAAAAAGTAACATATTTGGGGTATTAAAAATCTAAATAGGCATTAAAATATTTTCTTATATAATTTTTTTACGACTTAAGTGATAATCAGTCACAAGTATCGAGTACTTTAAATAATGAAAGAAAAAGTAGGGGTCAGTGATGTTAATTTTGAAATATTGGTCAAAATATGTGATTTTCAGGCAAAAAACTTTATCTTGACTTCTTTTACATATCTTCATTTCTCGGCGAAGTTTGCTGAGGGAAGTTGTAAAATTTGTTTTAAATTATGAATTGAGACCTATATTAAAAGTAACTAGCATATCATAACGGGAAATATTCTCCGAGTAAAAGTATGTGAGGCTAAAGTTCCAAGATCTAAAATTTAATAAATGTGCAGAATTGCAGAATTTTCTGCTAAATATCCTTCCACCACAAGAAACAGTCCCCAATAAATTTTGCTTCTTTGTGGATTTTTGAGCAGTTTTTTCACTGAACGTAGAACAATTTACATTGTTGAATTTCAATATGTTATAAAAATTGAATTAGAATAAATAGTTCTGAAGTAAGAGGTTCTGCGTGAACTTTTCTAAAAAGCTGACGAGTGACATACCTTAAGCTTGAATAAACAAAGGAAAGGACAGAATGCTTTGATAATTTTTTGAGATTTGATTAAGTTCATATTCTTGGCACACATACTGTACGTTTTGGAGATACTTCACTAAGTGTTGCTGAAAATGAGTAATGAGTATATTTTTTCCAGTGCATATTCATGTATTTAGCATTCTGGTGGTTTTAAATATTGCACTGTAATTCTTGTGTACTAGAATGGTACTTTAGTGATTTTCTCGCAGTTTATAAATCAATATTGTGAGTTAATCGAATTATTTTTAAAACTCTGTAACTCAAAACTCAAACGTTAGACTTTTTAGGTCACCTGTGTAAACTCTGGTGACCTATTGCTATCCGTTTTCGTCCGTCGTCCATCGTCCGTCATGTGTTAATATTTGAACATTTTCAGCTTCTTTGCAACCGCTCAACTATTTCAACCAATTTCGGCACAAAGTATCTATGGGTGAATGGAACAAAAATTGTGAATTTCATGGCCCCTGCCCCCTTGGGGCTAGAGGGGTGGGACCAAAACCACTAAAATTAATGCAATCTTTAAAAATCTTCTTTACTCCTGGACATCAAGCAGTCAAACTGTTGGCATGATTGTAATTAATATTGCGTCCTCTACCAAAATTGTTAAATTCATGGCCCTGGGGACAAAGGGTTATAGTACTAGGTCAGGGCTATATAGATTATATAATGAAAATGCATTATTTCTTTGAAAATCTTCTTCTCTTGGGTATTAAATAAACTAAATAGGTACATACCCGTATAACGGGTATTTTTTACGTGCTGCTAATTTTTACGAGTTTTATAAATCCGTAAAATTTAAACGCGTAAAATTTCACATAATTTATAAAACGGCTCGTGTAAATTTTCAACATCGTATGTGTAAAAGTAATGCTAATTGTCATTAAGCCCACTCCCTGGAGGCTACATAATTAGTGTACTGTTGGTATTTAGAATTTTGAATCATCAATTGGGATGAAACAGGTAAGTCTCAATTAACTTGTATAAATTATACAAACATCGTCAATTAATTAATCAGTTAGACCTACCTGGTTACTCTTTTTTAAAAGTATTTTTACGAGACACATAACTTCTGATAATCATAATGACTTAATAATTACAGGTCTTCCAATTATACCCGTGTTTTCAATCTCTGACACTTTCGTCTGTTTCATGTGCTTTGAATAAAATTTCTCGACTTCTTAATTCACTGTACATGTATACATTCACTTCAATTATGATAGTTTGAGCTGTCTCTCTTTGTTTTTGGTAAATACCAGACGAGCACGTGATGTGCCTAGACATGTGTTTTATAAAACACGAATAAATGAAGGGTACATTGTTCATGTATATAAAGGTAAATGATTAAAAAATATATACAAAATGTAATTTGTTGCATTGTTTATATTGTTATAATTTAATAAATCTCTCTCTCTCTCTCTCTCTCTCTCTCTCTTACATCGGGTTTTCGGACACAATATTTTTACGTAAACGCATTCAAAGTGCTAACAATCAGTGATATGGAATTTTACATCATTCTGATGATTTTAATTTTTACGGACTTGTTCAATTTGTAAAAAAATTAACGCGTAAAAATTTAAATCACCCTTTTTTGACCAAAATTTGTTAAAATTTACAGCAGTAAAAATTACCCGTCATACGGTAGTTATGATGAGCAAGAGTGCCTCTTACAAAATTGTGAATTTTATGGCTCCAGGGTGAAGGGTTCTGGTGTTAGGGGACTCTTTTAATAATATATTTGTGAGAATGCATTAATTCTTTGAAAGACTTTTTCTCTGCTCCTGGGTATTGAATAAACTAACTAAGTACATAGTTATGATGAGTAAGAGTGCCTCTTCCAAAATTGTGAATTTTTTTGCTCCAGGATCAGGGGTTCTGGTGTTAGAGAATGGCTCTATTGATTATATAGTGAAAATGCATTAATTCTTTGAAAATCTTCTTCTCAGCTCTTGGGTATCAAATAAACTAACTAATACATAGTTATGATGAGCAAGAGTGCCTCTTCCAAAGCTGTGAATTTTATGGCCCCTGGGTTGGAGGTTTTGGTGTTAGGACGGGGCTCTATTGATTATATATTGAAAATGCATTAATTCTTTGAGAGTCTTCTTCTCTGCTCCTAGGAATTAAATAGACTAACCAAGTACATAGTTATGATGAGCAAGAATGCCTCTACCAAAATTGTGAATTTCATGGCTCCAGGATCAGGAGTTCTGGTATTAGGGCGGGGCTCTATTGATTATATAGTGAAAATGCATTAATTCTTTGAAAAACTTCTTCTCTGCTCCTTGGTATTGAGCAGATGAAGTACTTATATAGTTATGATGAGCAAGGACACTTCTTCCAGAATTGTGAATTTCAAGGCCCCAGATTCAGGGGTCCCATGGGGGGGGGGGCTCTTCTTATATACTGAAAATGAATTAATTGATTGAAATCTGCTCCTTGGTATTAACCAAACAATAATTTGATAAGCAAGGGTGCCTTTTTAAAAGTTGTGCAATGTATGGACCAAGGGTCAGGGGTTTATGTGTGGTAGGGGCACTACTGATTATTGCTGAATATTACTGATTATAGTTGAAATGCGTTTTTGTTCCCCTACCCTGCCTATGGGTATAAAGTAACCAAACTAAGCAATTGCTAAGAGTATAGTTATGATGAGCAATGGTGCCTCTTTCAAAATTGTGAATGCCATAGCATCTAGCTTAAAACATGAACCAAATTCAATCACAGTTGTTGTATGTTGCTCAGGTGACCTAAAAGGCCCATACGCCTCTTGTTATATAGGGATTCAAATTTGTTCTGGGGGTAGGGCGGAGCCACAATGGACGATCAAAGTTTTACATAAGAAATATAGGAAAAATCTTTGAAAATCCTCTCCTTGAGAACTGCAAAGCCATAATTGGTCATAGTTATATGGAAATATCCTCAGGTGGTGTAAATTCAAATTATGATCCCCGGGGATAGGACAGGGTCACAATGGACGATCAAAGTTTTTCATAGATTCAAGTTTACATAGATTCAAGTTTGTTCAAATCATACCTCCAACTCATTTTAGAATCGGGACCACTTATTCATTTACTGAATTTATTTTTGCTTTTTTTTTTCCCTAGCTAGTAGCTACACTGCTAAGGTGAGCGATATTGCACAAGGACCTCTTGTTTCTTTAGATAGCATTTTAATCAGACCTTCCTTCGCTTTTTTCCCCAGGAATTTCAAAGAAATTTACAAAAGACCTAATTAATTAAGGATGTGTATATTCTCATTTCCGTAGAGGATAAAAATAGAACAAGGCGTGGCAGGGTGAGAAAAGACATGTTACTGCTGGGATTTCTTCCTTATAGAAATATAACGGAGCTGTTCAGACCCTACTATACTTTTCATGCAATTAGATGGAGAAATTACTGCATAAACATGTACCTCAAAATTTTAAACTTTTCATGCAGGAAGAGGGCGAAATCCTAGTAAGTTGGAAGATTTTGAGCCCAGTCTTATTGTGTATATATTTTGTTTAATTCAGTTCGACTGTTTTGAAGATGGTATTTCTTAATTAAAATTTTGCATTAAAAGTCACCTTCTTTTGTTGCATAAAGGTATGCAAAAAGAGACAATATGAAGTAAAAAAAAACCTATATTTTCTGGCCATGGATGGTTCATTCAAACTCAAATCTCAATGTTTAAATATGCTTATCTTATTAAGTTATTATTATTATTATCTTATTATATCTTATTAACTTTGACATCATTCTAATAAGACCTTTCTTTGTTCTCCCCCAACAATTTCAAAGAAACTTACAAAAGACCTAATTGAGGATGTGTATATTCTCATTTCCGTAAAAGATATAACAAGAACAAGGCGTGGCAGAGGTTGCTGCTGAGATTTCTTCATAAAGACAGGAATAAAACGGAACTGTTCCGAGTCCGTTGTACTTTTTCTGCCATTTGATGAAGAAATAAAATAAACTAAAAGCATGCATACTCAGTAATAACTGTTCAAAATCAAATCCGCCATCTAGTGTAAATGTGCAAAATATTCAAAATATAGACAATAACATTGGATATAGTGACCGCCGTTTGACATGCAAATTATACGGCATTATTAAATTTAAATGATTATGATAAAGTGGACATGCTGTATAATTTTTTTCTCCTATTTGGAAATCTCAATCTAAATAATTATAAAGGGGTTATTCATTAAATCAACATTTATTAAGACAGATCTAGAGGAAATTTTGCTTTTCGCCTTATTTAGTATATGTTTTATTTTACTACATCATTTAAGGATACTTGTTTGCACCTAACTTTCTTATCATGAAATTTCTGTAATTTTTATAACGTGTTCACAGTATTTTATAATCTCAGAAATTTTAATAAATACCGGCATGTTAACAACAGTTTTCATTTCTTTGCCATAATTGCCATACTGCTATGCTTGATAATCGTTCTTCTGTTAAACAATAAATTGTGAATAATACATGTTTCTTTTTAAATGCTATTCCTTTTTTTCAAATTTGAAATGTGAAACTAACAAAGCAATCACATAAAACAATCACAAGAACATACAGAATAAATTTGAATCTTTTAAAGCAAAATGAGGCGCAACTTTGATGTCGGATTTTTTTGTTGCAAAATTGTAATTACTAGTACCTATTTCAATGACAGAAAATAATAATAAACTTCTGTTAGTATCCATATTTGCGATGGAAGATCTGTTTTAAAGCTTCGATTGAATAGAAATTACATTATTGTCGTTCTGTACAATAATGATGTTTAATATAAAATTGTACACTGTAAAATCTCATATTTTCGAGGGGTCAAATTTTCGTGGTTTGAGGAAAATATGTTGCTTTGTGGGAGATTTGATTTCGTGGTTGAAGAATTATTCAGTAGTAATATATGTGTACAATTGCATTTCATGGTGGTCATAAATTTGTGGGTCTTTTCATACCTTGAAAAAACGAAAATTAAACCTCCATGAAATTTAGTGATTTCACACAATTGGATTGTATAAATAAGTCTTTTTTCTGCTTTATTTTAGTCTAATTGATCATAAAGGTTTAAGTTACATACACATTTATCATAATAACACATTTAAGATTTTTTTCAAAAATGCAGCTCATATTCCTTTAATTAACAGAGCAATATAACATTAACTAGACAAAGGCATTTGTTTTTACATGTAGCTAGCCATTTAAACACTAAAGCGAAGATTTGATCAATCGTAAAATATATTTGGAACAATATCAAAGTTAAAAAAACTTTATAAACATGTATTTATACGATCACAATTCGTCAGTTATAGAACTATAAGGTATTGTGTATTGCGTTGATAACATTGGTGATATGTTTGACCACGTGCCGTTATGTTGAGGATTTGGATTTATTTGAAGAATCTTGCACATCAGCTGATATAATTCTACATTATAGAATGGTTTACTGGTATAATTTTTCTTAAATTCTGAAAAAAAAAGTTTAGATAATTTGACTTTTAGTCTAAGAGTAGTATTTAAAAAAAGGATTCAAAACAAACCTCAATATAATATTTAAGTGATAGAAAATTCAATAGCAATTATCATACTTATACATGTGTATCACGAATTCGAATATAATTGCAAATTAATTAACACAATTTTCAATTAAACAGAAGCAATAAATTTACTTACATATTATTTTTCCTATTTAAATGGTTTTGAAATATCTTCTGAGACTTGCAATGAAAGGTCTTAGAATTTTATTTAATTTAACAAAAATTATAATGTTGAAAAGTATCGTACAAAAATATACTGCAGGTATATAAATTTCCATATGCACTAACCTGGTCCAGATGCCAAAAATATCGCCCGCATATCGGGATCAGTGTTGTCATAGCCATGCATCCCTCTGATTGGCCCAGTTCCCTCATAATTATAAACGTTCGCATAAGGTATAGTCTAAAACAAGATGTTTATAATATTCATACATGTTATTATATTTCTTTAATTTTAACTTTTAAATCGTTGAGTCCGAATTTTTCAAAGTCATATATACAACAAGTATGAAGTATTCAAAATAAAATTAGACATTCGTAGGGAAATATGTTATAAAAATATGGTACAAAGAATAATGATAATAGTTTTTAAAGATTTACATTACAATTCCATGTCTTTACATATATGGAAGGTGATCAATTTAAAAATGCAGACAAAATGTATATTTTTCTATGGAAATATAAACTAACATTAATTGTGTTACAATGCTTGATATTTGAGTTTTAGATCATCAAACTACAACTTTAACTGTAGAAATACAAATAGACAATACAAATGATAAAAAAATTACTAAACAATAACAAAAAATACAAAATTTTAATTTTACATATTATCTGGATTTTATTTCAACACGGTAACTCTCCATTTGAAATATAGCTGCACAACTTACACAAGGTGAGCAGCCCACACATTTACAGGGCAAGGTGATATACACGCCATCATCCGCCTCTATGAATATTGGTGACACCCGATAATGTTTCTTAAGGTTGTATCGTTCTGGAATATTGTCCTTCCTGTAGACAGTGAACTTCTTTCCTTCAGCTTCCGCTTGAAGAGCATCATAAACCTGATAAGAACTATGACATTTATTTCTGACACTGTAATACAAATCGACTAGATGAAATAGTATTTTTTATGTTCATATTCCAACTTTTTGCTTCTGTCTGTATTTTACTCGTCCCAATTTGTGTAAAACTTTCATAAGTAGTAATGTATTTTCCTTCCATGCCCCCCAACCCCGTAATCGAAGATTCGGGGGTATATAGTGTTTGCCCTTTCCATCTGTATGCCTGCCTTTTTGTCTGTTTATCTGATTGTTTGCTAAAACTTTAACCTTGTCAATAACTTTTGTATTTCTTGTGACAAGAATTTTCTTAGGGTACTACCAAATTGACTCCCTGACTTTGACCGCAGAATTTGAACCTCTATTGAACACAGTGAACATGATTTTAGCTTAGTTTTGGATAATTTCGCTTTTATTTATTGTACAGCTCGATATAAAGGCACTCAGAAGAAAAGAATCGACAGGGTAAAATTGTTTTTAAGGTATCTAATCATTACGAATACAGTGATCATTTAAGATATATAATACAGGGCATTATTTATTAGCCTTTTTAAAAAGATATTTAATTAGATGTTAAAATTTAAAAATTTCTTACCTTATCAATAGCACCATCTTTAGGCCAAATTTTGATATTCGCTCCCTCTGGGATTAATACTGATATATCATCCATATTAATTTTACCACTTAAATCTACTGTTTCTTTTAGGTTCGCCATTCCATGATCAGAAAATATCATAATACTGACGTCATCTAAACCTAATGATGTCATTTGTTCTTTGAATTTGTAGATTTCATGGTCAGCTTCTATGATTTTCTCTTTCAGCTGTCTGGAACCAACGCCGTATTTGTGTCCATAATGATCCACTATTTCACTGTAAATGCCTAAAACAGAAACAAACAATGATAAAGTAATGAAATACATCTGTATATATTTCATTATATAATCGCAATTAAACTATACAATGCAATTATTATTGTAATTAATGTAACGATTATTACTATGACACTTTTTTTATAGTTAGGTTATTTTGACGTTCCATTTAAGATATATAAATACAAATCGAAATGAAAATAATTATTCAAAGTTAACCACAGAGAAGAATATCTTTTCCCATGCATTTGCTGTTGAGGAATAGTAGAAAATAAAAGTGCATTTACGCAATTTAACAGACACCAAGTTAAACATATATTGGTAGATCTAAAGGTTTAATGTAATGCGTGAAACCTACCTATGAAATCTGCGGTGTGGTTTTGCAAAAGCTTCAGTGATTCATTAAAAGAAATCTTCATTTCTGGAATTCCAGTCATGCCTTTCCTGGGCATACAATAGGTTGGTTTAACTCCCCTTATGGCCACTTCGCACTCTCTCCAGTAAAAGAAGTATGTCTTCTTACCCTAAAGATAAAAATACATTGTAAAACTTTTTCAGATGACTGACACGTTTCCTACAGCCCTTAAGAAATGAATTCCTAAATATGATACAGCGCAAAATACATACATGTACATGTATGAAACTTCAGGGATGTGCAAGAAAAAGGTACATTTTTTGCATGAATTTTATTTGACGCTTGCTTTTTAACTCCTAGACACATTTAAGCTTATTATCCAAATCACCATATATACTTTTTTAAGAAGTAAATTTTAAAATCTATTCAGTAGTCAGTTCGATTTTAAAAATATATGTGAAAAATCATATTCTTCCGGTTTCTTAAGGTTATATGAATGTTTTCTTAGACTTTTCCACGCCTCAAAATTATGTTTATTTTTTCAATTATAATTTGTTGAAATAATTCACTTGATTTTCGGCAGTCACCCACAAAGGTTCCGCATCGTCCCACCAATGGGCATTGTGCTTTTCCTGATGAAACGCCCCTTGGTCCATGAACAGGTTTGCTCCATGTTTTTCATCAAACATAAAATTGGACACATAGCCATGGTCTTCACTATGCACACCTTTACATAAAATATTTTAAGATCCTCCCTTGCCCCCCTAATGGGTGGGTGGGTAGATCAAATACCTGCATTAAAAATAGATCATTGCACTTAAAAATTTTCGTGAAAAAATTATTGAATGGTTAAATCGTTATCATAGCAATCTTAAAAAAACGAGGTAAATAAATCTCACCTGTCATTATGGAGTAGTAATTAGGGTAAGACAGAGTTGGATAAACGGGGAGCATGTATTCAGCCTTCACCCCTTGTTCAAAGATACTTTTGAAACCAGGCAACATTTGTCCATCTTGTTCAAGGTAGTCCCATCTGAATCCGTCCAGTAAGATAACAAGTAGACGTGACCCCGAAACGTTTGATCCAGTTAAAATCAAATATAGAAAGGACAATGACAGTGAGCAGTGCCTGGTCTGATGGTAACGGCTCTTCATTTCCTCTATAAGATTTCATACAAACACAGTGTACTTATTTTAATCTGTTTTAAATACTGAATTCTAGCAAGAAATTTATTTAAACATGACAGTTGTAATTAGATAAGATAAATATTATACAAATTAATTGTCTGAGAAAGAAGTGGGAGGAGAAAAGAGTGTGTATGTGTACATGTACGTGTGAATCAAGAATTGAACGTACATTGTGCTAATACTTACTTTATTGATACATAAACCTTTCGTACTTTTTCATGTTGGTTTTATGATTTTTAAAAAGAATATTACCTAAGTATCGCTTTTATTATGCATAATCTATGTCCATATTTTTATTTGCAATAAATAAAACAGATGCCTTAAGGATCCCGTCTGCATTATATTATCCAACTGCTTTAAAACTTAATTATATCAGTATATGCACAAACAAGATCATTCTTTAAATCTATATAAATACGTTAATTCAAAAACAAAATATATGTACATGCATACCATATCGTAAGAAGCAATTTCAGTTTGAAGGCAGCAGGCCGGAAATGTGTCATCTTACAGAAAAATTTTTACAAGGAACAAAAAGAAAATGGTCACGAGACCTTGATAAGGGGGATATACTTGTAGATTAGCTTTGTTTTTCTACAATTTTTTAAAGGAGAACAATTATCTTCATTATTAGACGGGCATTCACCCCATATCCCGGACCTTGCATACATGCATCGATTTGTTTTTCATAATGTTTATAGTACGCCGTTATTATCTAAATATTTACAAAGGGAAAGGCAGGCAAATATTAACATGTTCTGGACTTTTTTTTAATAAATTGGTATATTCAATAATACTCTTTTTGAAAAATGGAAAAAGTATCAATAATGTAAAATAAAGCTTTAGCTTTCCAACTTTTCGACTCACCTGCACTATTTGTTGGTATTTCCCTCTGTTAAATACCTCACCGATTGTAAACTGTCATGTTCAACATTTAAATACGGGTAGAGGTCAAGCATTTACTAAGATAAGTTTTCTGGGACGAAGAGATCAGGGTAATATTGATAAAGAGGTCTATTTAATCAGCGGTTTGTTTAATATAACTTAGGAACATTTTTGATTAAGGGAAAATGAACAGATAGTTACATTGGAAAAGTCTTTAAAAAATATCTAAAAACGTTTCATGTGTTATTACATCATTTTTGAATCCATTATGCAACAAAATGGTAATAGTTGATCGACATACATCAATAATCAATAAATTTTGCCAGATTTTTTTTCATTCAATGTGTACATTAATCTCCAAACTAATTTTTTGATGGAAAGTTGCTTTTTTAATGCCTTTTTTCTGGTTACTTTTTTATATAATCAGTTTTCTAAATTGACTGAGAAATCAATGAAGTTTATCTTTTTTATACACTTTCAACAGTCATGCTTATATATTTTTTGGATGAATTCTTAGCTTTTTTCTTAATTCATTTCATTTACACTGTACATGTATCTTAATGAACCATGAAAAATTATCATTTTTAATGAAATAATCAGAATTATTTACTTATGAAACTTGGAATTTTCTTGAAGTGTATACGTTTATGAATAGCAAAAAAAATTCCAAATCCTATCGGAAAATTTTAACAAGTCTTTTTTTGATGGGATGCGCCGCACTCTCGATTTGATGAAACAATCTAATAATCATGTAGGATTTACCGCTTAGGTTCAATCCCTTCCATATTCTTTTTTACCACAAAATACTTTTTGCAAACAGAATTTTCTACACATAATGTCAAAATCGTATACATGTACCTATTAATATAAGAATCTTGTCTTCAAAAATATATACAATTTTACAATAAAAAGATTATTGAGTCTTTATTTAATCTGCTGTGTGCATTTTCAAATTAGCCTTATTTGACAATATTTGAATATGTAAGGTAACAAACTTGTCAGTTTATTGGCTTTAATCAAATGCTTCGAAAGATTTGGTCAAATGCGAAACTAATGTCATTTGTCGTTCAGCTGATTACATGTGTAGGTTATTAAAAATGTGTGCATTCAAAAACATAATGGAATTCATCACCAGTCTTATAAAGATCACATAAAGTACAAATCCTTTGTTCTCTTGGAAGACCATTCCATCTCCCAGTTTCAATAGGGAGTTTACAGTTGTTACATCTAAATTTACATAACAAAAATTGAAAATTTTCTAGGTAGATTAACAAGACATCTTTCTGGTTCTAGTATTTCTTTATAAATACGATAATTTACACCCTTTGATGAGTTAAAAATATTACTTTGCCAGTTTTGGATATTTTTGTCAACAAGTATTCCTTTTATTTCATTTTTACCCATGCTACACTGTACATCTGTTGTGTTGTCCATAAATAAGATAATCCAAAATCATCTAAAATGTTTTAACATAGTTAGCCCAAGGCAAATTATGCCTTGACGCTATTACATACATTTTTGTAGCAAATTTATCCATCGTTTGAGAAAAATGTAGTTTTGCCCAAAAAGAAATCATTCTCACCTTAATATTAAGGTTAAGCGGGAATCTGCCACGTTCTTCATATACCATGTAATTTGGTGTTTTAGTGTTCAAACCTAGTATATATTTACAATATTTTAAGTGAAGTTTTTCGATCGGAGTTTATTTTGTAAATCCCCATATTTCACGTCCATATAACAAAACTGGCTGTACAATTCTGTCAAACAAATCTATCTGACAATCAATAGAAAGATTATGTTGTTTACATTTTGATATCACTAGATACATAGCTTTTACAGATTTATTGTATTGTTCTTTTATATTTTGATTGAAAGAACCTAATTTTGAAAAATATATTCCTAAGTACTTATAACTATCAACAATCTCTAGACTTAAACCATCATAGGTAAAATATAAATCCTGTGTTATTCGACCTCTTCCCAAAATCATTATTTTTGTTTTGTCGACATTTACTTTTAACTGCCATTTTATACAAAAATCATGAAAACAATTCAACATACTTTGTAATGACTCAGGGTTTTCAGCAAATAAAACAGTGTCATCAGCATACAACAGAGCAAAAAGCTTAAAATATACATGAAGTTCATTCTCAATAATTTCAGATAATTTCTCTAGACCAGTTATATCATTCATGGTGAGGAATGATTCTAAATTATTTAAATAGAGAGAGAACAGAAAAGGGGATAAATTTTCACCCTGTCTTACACCAAGTTGACAAGAGAAAGTACTCCTTTTGCACTTGGTGTAAGAATGCTACAGGTATCGTTTACAATTTTGTCAATAAAATCTGTATCGATTTCTTCCTCTTTAATATTGTCTAGAATTCTACATAAATTGTTAATTTCAAGATTTTTCTGAACTAATTTTTTAAGAAAAATGTGTTGCAAGTCATCATTCCAACCTTTAGCTTTTTCTTTTTGTTCGCTATTACAAGTATTTTCATTATTAGTATTTCGCTTCTCTTGGTTAATTGTCAATGATAGTTCTACATAAATAGGATTATGACAATCAGAATATAGTTTTGAAAAATCATGAACTTAATTCGAAATTTTTAACAACAGTCAAAAATTCAGTATTACCTATGCAATAATCTATGACACTAATACGTTTACATGTAGTTTTACCAGTACATCTATCATTTCCCATACGACCATTCAAAATAAAAAGATCAGTACGTTTGCAAAAATCGAGTAAAAGTTTTCCAAAATTATTCTTGACTAGGTCTTGTGATGAACGTTGAGGTGGAATATTAAGTAAGTCTAATACATATAAGCTTTCAGGTAAAAAATCACAATAAGTGTCACAGTTAGTAGTGTAATCTGGGTCTATTCCAGTTCTTGCATTAAAATCACCAATTAAACAAACGTATTTACACTTATTAGAAAAACGAACACATTCTTCTTCAAATTCTTCAAAAATATCACAAGATACATATTTAGTATTCAGGTGGTACGTAAATAGCGCCTAAAAGTAATGTTTCATTGAACACTTTTTTTATTAAGGTTGAATTTTAACCATAAAACAATATTATCACAGATAATTCAATTTATGCCGCTATGAGAAATATATTATATTTTACACCTAAGGATAATTCTGCATATCCCTGCGCAGTCTGCAGGATATGCGCCCTTATCGCAGCGCAATTATCATAGAATCTTTCATTGCGAAATCGCACCTTATTTTGCTTGACAGAGTTATCCAATCAAAATCCTTGATTTTGTTGCGCCATTTTGGTTAGCCTGGCAGTGCATTGAAAAAACTTAAAATGCTCAAGCTCCTCTTATGGATTCTATGTTGATATCTGTGTTGAATGGCAAATTTTTCATTCAAATTCATTTTCTCCAACTCGTACTGCCAATGAACATCATATACAGTAAAACTCGGTTATAACGAAGTCGCTGGGACGCATGAAGTTACTTCGCTATATCCGTAATTCATAACAACCGTACAAGAAATTTATTAAATTTATACAGCTGGGGATCCAAATTGAATTCGCTATATCCGTGAATTCGCATTATCTGTGTTCGTACTAAACGAGTTTCACTGTATAGAGTAGTCAGCACCTGTTATTCATTTAATGTGTAAAATAAGATTTGGCAATATATTAGCTTCTTATGTAACATTAATTGTTCTATCATTGATGTTGTAAATCTGGTCATTAGTCCAGTAAAGTGTTTATCAAATATTCCACAATGTACATCCTCTATAGTCATCAACTCTGTATAACTCAGCTCAATTTTAAAGTCTTCATAGTCGGCTTACTGATATCAATGAGTTCAGCATTTAAACTTGCCTGCATAGTCTTTGAGCTACATGTAAGATGACGGCTACTGATTTAAATTGTATGTTGAAATCTACCCGCATAGACTTGAGTGAAGATACATAGTTCAGCAGAGAGCTGCTTATGTAAATTGTGCTTCAAAATCTGCTTGCATAGTCTTGAGTTAAGATACATTAGTTGAAGTTCAGCGGATAGCTGCTCATGTGAATTGTGCTGCAAACTCTGCTTGCATAGTCTTGAGTTAAGACACAAGAGTTCAGAGGATAGCTTCTCATGTAAATTGTTTGTTATAATCTGCTTGCATAGTCGAGAGTTAAGATACATGACTTCAGCGGATAGCTGCTCATGTAAATTGTATAATAAAATCTGGCTTGCATAGTCTTGAGTTAAGATACATGGCTTCAGCGGATAGCTGCTCATGTAAATTGTATAATAAAATCTGGCTTGCATAGTCTTGAGTTAAGATACATGGCTTCAGCGCATTGCTGCTCATGTAAATTGTGTGTTAAAATCTGCTTGCATAGTCTTAGTTCAAGATACATGAATTCAGCGGATAGCTGCTCATGTAAATTGTATGTTAAAAACTCTGGCTTCTTTTGATCCACAATTTAACAGCTAACAGGTGAATGTTAATGTCTTTGTTGCATCAGTACTTGTTATTTGTCAAGAACACCTAGTCTAAAATGTATGTGATATCATATGAACTTCAACTTCAATGTTGTTTTATGTATTTGCAAAGAAAAAAAAAAAAAAAAAAAAAAAAAAAAAAATACTTCAAAAAATGCTGTAAATTTCAGTATTTTTACTATTTTTATAAAAATTTTTTGTTTTGATTTTTCTCCTTGTTTGGTGTCTTAACCCCTCACTGCGTGACACTGCAACATGAGGGCTTGTGGTGCAATTGTTTGACGCCTCCAAGGATTTACTCATTTATGTTATATTTTATGCATATTTACATGTACTCTTATATGTTCACTGCATGTAAATTTCTAGTCAGTCTCAGGGGGATCACACTTGTACCTTTCACCTGTGTACATGTAACCTGTATTGTTTAATATTAGATGATCCCCCTTAATGATTTGTTATACATTTTACTATATGTCATTGAATAAAATGACATATTCGACTAAACTGCATATCTGTGTTTGGTTGTTTTTCACTCCACTTTCAGGCATGTATTTTCATAGGAGGCATAAAACAATATTATCACAGATAATTCAATTTATGCCGCTATGAGAAATATATTATATTTTACACCTAAGGATAATTCTGCATATCCCTGCGCAGTCTGCAGGATATGCGCCCTTATCGCAGCGCAATTATCATAGAATCTTTCATTGCGAAATCGCACCTTATTTTGCTTGACAGAGTTATCCAATCAAAATCCTTGATTTTGTTGCGCCATTTTGGTTAGCCTGGCAGTGCATTGAAGAAAAAAAACCCACCACCCACCCTTTTTGGGGTTTTTGGTTATATATTATTTTGCATTTTAGTCCAGATTTGTATTTTTCTAACTTGTCATATATTTTTTGATTGGCGCAATTGTTTGAACGCCCCCAAAGATTTACTCATTTATGTTATATTTTATGCATGACATGTACTCTGATATGTTCACTGCATGTAAATTTCTTAAAAGCACAGTCTCGTACGACAATGTTTGGACGCCTCCAAGGATTTACTCATTTATGTTATATTTTATGCATATTTACATGTACTCTTATATGTTCACTGCATGTAAATTTCTAGTCAGTCTCAGGGGGATCACACTTGTACCTTTCACCTGTGTACATGTAACCTGTATTGTTTAATATTAGATGATCCCCCTTAATGATTTGTTATACATTTTACTATATGTCATTGAATAAAATGACATATTCGACTAAACTGCATATCTGTGTTTGGTTGTTTTTCACTGCACTTTCAGGCTGATATTTCTCATAGGAGGCATAAACAATGTTTACTTGCAGTATCTATTAATTCTAGTGAATTGACGAGTGTTTCTCTAACAAAACCAACAATAGCACCTGATTTAAAGCGAGATAACTCGCGAAAGTGCTTTCCAAACATTTTAAAACCAGGTATTATTACATGATCTGTATCATCAGTTTTAGATTCATTTACACATATATGATATCATGATTTGTGATATATTCAATAAAATCTGTACAGTTAATTTTACTTATTAAACCACAGACATTAACGAAGTGAAACAGGATATTTCACCACAGGAACTGCGTCCATCCTTCTCAAGTCCCTAGTATCCTGATTGTCCGGAATGATTGAAGTCCATTGGGGCGGATCCGCTGACTGGACTTTAATTCAGTTTTCGGTAGCGTTATTTCAATGTTCACTGACCTGAGGCAGTATCGTAGTTCGTCGTATAAAGAAATTGTGCAACCTTCTCCAGACCGAACCAGTTTTCCAACTTTAAGCCAAATAGTAAGTACATTTGTAAATCAGGTCAAGACAATATATTTATAAGCAAATTTTGTTTCTCTAGAATTTTGATGATTTTAAACAATCTGTTGAGAGAGTGATATGGAAATTTTGAATGTGTTAAATTCAAGATGATTTAATTCATTCGGATCTTCGTTGTACATCGAAAATATTTACATGGTTTATAAAGATGACACAATTTTTATTTTGACAGAAGGTATGCCGATTGCGTAGTAAATTTTCTCTGAGGCACCTTTATGATTTCTATATCGAGAAGGGAAATTCCCAATTCACCTCTCCTTTAATTGTTTCTTTTTGCATTTTTTAGGGTTTTCCTTTGGTGAACAGATATTATGTGTTTTACAACAAAAGTACTTTTCCTCCTGTCGACATTTTACTTCGCGTCATGTTCTAAACTTGTTCTGATCCTGATGGATGGATTTCGTTGGGATTATTTTAAGCACGTGAATCTGCCGGGTTTTGATAAAATGGCGAATGAAGGCGTGAAGGCGGAATACATGTTATCAGACTATCCTACTTTATCTTACCCAAATTATTACTCCATCATGACAGGTAATGTTTAGCTTTTAAACGTTAATTGAAAATAGTTATACATGTATTTCAAAAAGGAGAAAGTTTTGTTTTGTTTTTTAAATTACTTGGAACTGCAAAATTTCATTAGTGATCAGTACTTAAGAAATGTGTAGATATAAATATGTTATTAATTTTTTCCTCATGTCATGTAAAAGGTTTGCATTGCGAATCCCATGGTATGGTAGGAAATTTTATGCATGACGTCGACAATGACAAGGATTTTTTAATTGGTACTAATCCTGACCAGAATCTTTCCATTTGGTGGGACGATGCAGAACCAGTTTGGATAACTGCTGAAAAAGAGGTATTCATATTCAGAATTCTTCAAATGCAAAACAAAAAGCTTCAGTTCGATGTTTTAGCGAATTTATTACATGTAATGATATATTAGATAAAAAAAAATTTGGATTTATATTCCAATTATATTATTAATTTTTTCTTGTACCCACTCCATTCACAGTCAGTTCGGTATCGCTGTTTCGAATTTAGTAATTTTCTTTTAATTTCTTTTATAATATATATTTTATTGCATGTTTCCATATGTCATTAATTGTATTATAATGACAGATGTATAAAAAATTGATTCAGTAATTCCGGAACATAAAATTCTCCTCTGGATGTGAATTTTATTTACTAATAAATCTTCAGATCTACCCTCACTGTAAAACAAAACATTGTAAATCAAATATATACCTTCAAACCTTGCTAGCTTTCTCAAGTGTATAGATATAAGACAGTTAAATCCTATCATATTTATTTAGTGCCACATAGATGTGTAGTAAATTTTCCCAATTTTTATATCTATCCTAAGGACCCTGGAGAATTAAGTAGCGTTCCCCGTGAAGTCTTAGCCCTTGTTTTACTACTATGCCTGTTGGTTATTAAAATAATCGATAAATAATGAAAAGATGATAACAGTGAATTATCTGGTACGAATAACAAAGAAAACAGTTTTGTGAATAGGGCAAAAACACGGACCACTGGAAATTTCAAAGGTGGGATCAGGTGGATAGAATGAATAAGCATCCTATGTATGCTAAGGATTCAGTGATGCGCAATGAGATCTGGGATGCTTAATTTACCTGAAATACGTTTTTTCTCTTTCTCTCACTCTCTTTTTAGATGATGTATTTCAGTCATCTGTAATCTACATTTCGAAAAAACTTCCCTGGACGATAATGTCTTGAAGGTCGTTTCTTTAAATGCTCATAATTTTTGTAGATGGGATATTTTTTTTCTTAAAGAGCGAGCAAGATTTTTTTTAGTAAATGTTGTCAAGTGTATGTTCATGTAGTCCTATACAGTTTAGCCTTCACCATGAATTTCATTTAACATTTCACAATGTAAAGCATATATTTCACTGGATGCTATATTAATAAATTGAATGATTTTGATAATTTAGCTTTTATTTTAATTGCATACACCCATGCATTGATGCAAATATATGCACTTTGTTGCCTTTTGTAAAAATTAAAAATCTTCAGTGCAAATGATTTTGTAATTGTAAAGTTCTATTGTATAATACGCGAGATTCGAGATTGTAACTCTCTAACGGATAGAGGCGCAAAAAGTATATCCATTTCAGCATGGAGGTGGGACAGGTTGTTTCTGTATACAAACGTACATAAATAGATGAACGATATTTATGGCCTTTAAAATCTAATCAATGTTATAGAAAGATAATAATGTTAAGCAGTGATGCATTTGATGATTTTATAAAGCTCAACTATGCATTTTTACAAATATACTTTCAATTATATTGTACTGAAAACGAAAGAAACGTCGTAATCTTATAAAAAGTAACCGATTTTCTTGATTGTTCGAATATTTTCCAAAAAGCTAGTTGGGTTTTTTTTAAGTTATAATATGGAAAAGAATCGATGTGTCATTTAGATTGCCGACGTACAATGTTCAGATGCAAATGTACCATATTTATTAGAGGTCCATATATCTTCCCTCGTCTGAAAAGTCTCAAATCCACTGATATTTTCTTTTTGTAACGATTTTTTGCTTTAAATAATGACGCCTTTACATTAATTCGGTTATTCTTCAGTTGTAGAATGCATCCTGATAATCATGTAGTCATAATAAACCAGTATATCGATGATGCAATGTATCTGTTACAGTAAATATGTGTAATCAGGAATTTCATGTATTTCCGGAATTTTAGGAAATACTTGAAATTCCTATTCTGCTGAACTTTTTCATACTTTTTACACATATTTACTGACTGCGTTTTGGTGGGATAATTTAAAATATGAATTATAAAATATAAACAGATGCACAGTGCATTCAATGTTGAGATCAGTTACACTGTAGCATAATTATCATGCGTGAATAAATAATATTTGAAATAAACTTTTGATTACTTATGAATTTTAAAAATTGCATTATTTGTAAATATTGACCAAAAAACTTAATGATATTCTGCTTTCATTTTATATTATATAAAATGTGTTTTCTATATCACAGCATACTTTCACTAACTTGAAGTTATTTAATCTAAAATAAACTAAAATCGCTTACTGGCATTTCTTTTTTGTTTTATTAGATATTCATACAATGCTACATTTAATGACAGTAAATTAAAAACCCTAGAGCATCTTATTTGCAAATAAAACAATTCTTATGCGGTCTCCTCTAAAATGAAAAAAACCCTCATATTTTAATAGTTCAAAATAGAAAAAATATTTAGTTTTGCTTAATGTTTGAATTAACTAATAATTGCAAAACATATCTATGTTACCATAATTTTAAAGATGTAATACTTTAAAGCCATATATGGCGTATGTACAATGAAAATTATTAGACTAAAATTATATGAACTTATTATTTGTATCATTACTTTATATAAAGATAGAACTTTTGTTAAATTACAAAATCTAAGTCAATTGCGTTATAAAGATATCACAATTTAATTTGGATAGTGAAAATTTTTTGACGGCGGAAGAAAATACAAAAGATTTAAATAACACATTACAGAGAAGATACAATCGTATTATTAGATGAAATGAGGTGCTCTCCGCGTTCAGAATTGTATGAAAAGCTTTAATTTATATGTATTAACTATATTTCTTTACTTAATTTTGAATTTTTCAAAAATATATTTTTTTGATCAGTTACGCCATATATGGCTTTAATAAACAGATGTACCGAGTAAATCAACATTTAAAAATCGTACATTTTTGATAAATTTTAAAACAAAAATTATGTAAAAACTAGTTGAAATACATAATTCTGATGTTAAATCTCCAAATTAATAACTACTTTACAAATAAATTTGAATATCAGGGAATCCATTTAACATTAGCAGTACAAAAAGGAATTAAAAATGAATGCATAATGTCAGATTAAAAAAAAAACAGTTCTTATCAAATGCTTTAAAAAAATAAATTTTAGTATTTGTATACTTACGGAATGTTTTAAAGGATATGTATATTCATCCAGCTTAGTTCAGTAAAAACGTGTAAAATTGGCTAAAACTTTCAGTAAATACATGAATTTCCTAGCAATTCACTAATTACGCGTATTTTCTAAAATGGCCAGTAAATACATGTATTTACTAAATGGTGTAGGAAATACATTAAATTCCTGATTTCACATATTTACTGTAACATATCCAATATATAAATATTTGTCCCACCTGTCTGTTTACGATTTTTAAAAAAATCTTAACCATGTGAATATAAATCATATTCAACGGAACTCCCTCAGCGAAGAGTGCACCAAGGGAGATAATCTCGAAACTTGCGTATTGTAGTTAGTTTACTGCAATTAAGGCCTATAACTTTCTGCCTTGTTTCTTTTACTTTCTCTCTGAATGTTATTTACAAAAATATCTCATGAAAATATATCTTTTACTTTTTTCAATTAAGGGGAAGAAATCTTATTTCTACTACTGGCCAGGCTGTGAGGTGACGATAAGAGGCAGAAAACCCACACTTTGTGTTGATTATAAGTTATCTCTGATACCCGAGTTTGAGTATTCTCTTCAGGAATCTTTAAAACTCTTACAAAACAACGCGGCGGATCTTATTGGTAAGGAAATCGAAATATTGAGGTCAAGTTTTATCAATTAAGGAAATACGCGAATATAAGTATACAGCATTTATACTCAACCCCTTATACACTGTTAAAACCTATATAAAACGATTAGAAAATATACATTTTTTAAAAATAATTTACGCGCTATTAGAAATTAAAAAAAATGGATATGCATGTTCATTAAATATCTCATTATAATTCTTAAAGATAGAAATGTTTTTTTTTTTATTTGATCAGGTCTCTGAATTTTATGAATAACTACATGTTAATCGTGTAAGATACGAGGGTCATTCAAAAAGTTCGTAGACTTTTGTCCTAACTTTTTTATTGAATGTCATATTTTATCCAAATTTGGTACAAATATTTGAACAACAGATTCAAATATTTTGAGCAAATAAATTGGAATATTTCTTGATTTTTATTAAAATTAATATCAAAGATTTAAGACGGCAAAAAAGGGGTAATGGAGCAGGGTCAAAAATGAGGGTTTTTTTTCCTAATTATACTCTTATGATGGTCATACTCCTTTAAAATTGGTATCAAAAGAAATAAAATTTAAATGCTTAAATTTAGTATTGTTTTATTACTTCAGATGCTAAAAGTAAATGTAATACATTGCTTGTTTTAAAAGATATCAATATCTGAAGACACGAAGTCTTGATTAAAAAAAGCAAAAAAATCATGACGTCGAAGGACGTCACGGAGCAGCAAGCAGCAATTAAATTTTGTCTTGCATTTGAGAACTTCTAAACCAACCTCCGAAAATGCCGGAGGAACCAGGAAAAATATATAAAATGAGCTATTTATTTGTTTATAATGGAAAGACAATTTTTGACGGGGAAAGACTTTGAATTGGACGATTGACGGTCTGCAAAGAAACAGATTATAGTTTAAAATCTTGTCAAAAGAGTTAGTAAAACGTCATAAATCGTGATGTGCGCTTCACTGTTGCAGAACATGTGGAGGCAGAGTTACGCGGTAAGGAATTTGAATCATTGACATTATTACTTCAGGAACTCGAATTATTGTTAGGATACTAGGTGTCAAGTGTTATGGAAACGTTTTAATGAATTAATAATGATACAAACCGTGTTAAAAACGAAAAGACAGTGCGAGTTTGAGAAACTTTCTCGACGGTGTTTTTGACGTTACAATATGTTTAACCTTGCTCCGTGGTGACAATACATGTTGCTTTTAAAATTGGCTAACATGAGCTCCATTTAATCAAATGGAATGAAACTTCACACATTTATTAAATATACGTTTTTACATATAAAAATGTGCTGTTATTTAACTTTGTAAAAATAATGTGATGAGGAGGAACATTGTATGTGTATTTTTTGAATGACCCTCGTATAATCTATTAAAACAAAGGTTTTGTCGCCCATGTTGTTTAGTGGTAAGAATGCATGGGCTTGCCTCGCAGAATAAAGAGGTGATACAGCATCGCGGGTTTAAATCTGACCGCGGAACGTGGGAATTATATGAGTTGCATATATGTGACATACTATAAAATTAATTTTTCAGGAATATACTTGGAAGCGCCTGACCATTATGGACACAAATTTGGTGTGAATTCTCAAAATTTGACCACTGTATTGCAAGATATTGATAACAGTTTACAAAACTTTAGGCAAAATCTGACGTCACTGAATTTACATGATGACGTCAACATAATGATTTTCTCTGATCATGGAATGACCAATATAACCAAGATGGTGAACATCACTGATGTATTGGAACTGCAGGACATTAAGGTTATTTTGTCAGAGGTGCCCTATGTCAGTATCTGGCCAATGGATGGAAAACTTGAAAAGGTATCTTGAAATTATTGTATCTACATTGTATTTTATGAAGAACATTCATCTCGGTCTTTTAAGAAAATTATAAACATATTTAAGAAATAATTGCAGACAGAATTCTTTATTATTTCTTGTTTTTAACAAATTTTCATTAAAACATTTAAGGTCTACAATGATTTAGTAACAGCAAACAAGCCCAACATAACAGTTTACAAAAAAGAATCAATTCCTGCCCGTTATCTTCTGAAGAACCACAAACGTACAGCACCAATCGTAATAGAAGCTGATAGTGGAACAGCAATAATAGCTCCATGGAAATGTAGCGAATGCGCAGTAAGTATGCATAAACCTGTATCTCTACTAATGGAGAATCAAAGGAGATAATCAAGTTATCAGTGAAGTGTCCACTAACCCTAACAAAACAATACTATAGTTAATTATAGTTTACTATAGTTAACTATTGTAAATCAAAGTGTCAAAGTTATCACTGTAGTAGATCAAAGTTTTCAAAGTGTAAACTTTAGTGTCAAAGTGATCACTTTAGTAAAGCAAAGTTTTCAGAGTGATCACTAGAGTGTCATAGTTATCACTATAGTAAATCAAAGTTATCACTATAGTAAATCAAAGTTTTTCCATAGTGAATCGAAGTTTAAATAGTGATCACCATGGTAAATCAAAGTTTTCATAGTTTTCACTATAGTAAATCAAAGTGTTCACTATAGTTAAAGTTTTCAAAGTGTCAAATTGTTCACTATAGTTAACTATAGTAAACTATAACTAACTATAGTATTTTTGTTAGGGTTGTTTGTCCATCAATCAATCGAGCTTAGAGATAGTTTCCAACTAGTCTGAATTAAGTAAGATTTATTTCATATAGGTCGTCTTATTGGAGGTATACAAACCCGAATTCCTTCATTTCTTGTACTCAAGCATATTAAACTTGTCATAATGGACAAAGGGGAGAATAGGAGAATATAAAACAATTTTTCTAACGAACATATGTTAACTCAAGCCTCTTTTTGTTCATAATTTTATTATTTATATGTTTTTTGCTCTTAAATTTCTGCCTACAAGTTTAAAATCGGTTGCTCAAAGAGGAAAATTCGCTACCTCCAGTATGGCGGCCAACGGGATATACATGTAAATCTTGCTTAAATCAGGCCAGTCGAAAACTGTCTATAGCCAAACGTAAATATCAATCTTGAGTATCTTTTTTTTTTTTGATAATGATATTTTCGGAAATATATAGCTTGATCGATAAACAGAGGAAATACTTACACCGTCTTAACAGATTAAAAGATACTGAAAACTGTATAATCCATTAAAACTTTTGAAATGCTAATGTCGGTCTGATATTATAAGGAGAGATCTTAAATAAAACATTTTTTTTTACTTATTGGTGTTTTCAGGCAAATTAAATCGCTATTAAATTTGTCTCTCTTCGAATATGACGGATTTTTTTATTCATTAATTTTAACCTAGCGTACATGTGTATACATTGTAATTGCTAAAACAATGTAAAATGCAACTGCATGGTTTCAGTCTTTCTCGTGATCAACTGTCATGAAAGGTATGATGAACTGAGACTTGCTTATTTTACCCATTGAAAAACTAATGCATTTTTTTTAAAACTAGGATAAATTTAAACCTGGAACTACCTACAAAGGCATGCACGGATATGACAATACTAATCCAGATATGAGGGGGATTTTTAGAGCAGCCGGACCGGGTATGTTTATGTCAAAACCAACAAGACTCTAGAGTTTATTATGCGCACCAGATCAGTGTACATGTATATACATTTTTTTAAGAACAATTTGATAATTAAGTACTGGAATGATTTTGTTTTATCATGTCCTTATTTCAGCCTTCAAAAAGAATTTTGTGAGCAATCCGATAGCTAATGTGGAGCTTTATCAAATAATGTGTGATATTCTTGAAATAAAACCAAAGGATAACAATGGGACTTGGAGTAATGTCGCACAAATGATGACAAAATCTGACATTTCTTCTGCAAGATCAACAAAATTGTTCTTTCCTTTGTTTCTGTTTGTCATGTTTAGTGTTGTTCTCATCTAATTTATAGATAAAATACATAATTATATGGACGAAATGTATTTCTGTATTGCAACTTATTTTATGTTAAAAACAAAGTGTTATACTTCAAACCTCATTTGAAATGTTATGTCTCTTGACCGCCATCTCTCAGGAAAAACCTATAAACACCGTCAAGACGAAGCTCACTGGTCTAAAAAAAATTTGGATAGGCGATTAGAAAGCCACAAAGCGAGTATATAATTATTTACTAAGTACAAAAAGTGTGCTGGTTTTCGTTTCATTTTTCTGTCTAAAAACCTAGAAGTTGTGAACATCCCAAATTTTGCCTAATTATAAGTAACTGATTTGTTGCACTCTTTTTCTCATGCCATAAAGACATTAACCTTAGTATTGATACTGTTTTTTGGTATTGACATTATTGGTACTCGTATGTATGTCGTAAAAAATTACAACATCCTTCTATTTATATTTACATGAAACCAACACGGAAAATTTGGTACATACAGTACCCGCATCGTTATTCTATACAAAATCTATCGTGCATGTATCATATCGTATCGTGCGTGTATCCTATCGTATCGTGCGTGTATCCTATCGTTTCATGTTTTCCGTTCATCGTGTTTTGCGTTTTTTATCGTGTTTTCCGTTTGTCGTGTTTTGCGTTTATCGTGTAGATCGTTTATCAGGTTCTACCGTGTATCGTGTTTTGCGTTTATCGTGTATATTCGGAAACCCTCGCATTTTATCTTTACTACAGGAAGGAACAACCGAGGTATTCCGAGTTTCCTTTTCGTTTTGTTAACTAAAATAAGATTATTTTAACGAAGAAAGAGAAAGGAAAGTTTTATCCCTTATTTTTTCATCATTAAAAGAAATATGAAAGCGTAGAATGAAAAGAATAAATATATAAGTAATATAATTAATAATTTAAATAATCAATAATCAATTCAATTAAGAAAATAACCATATCATAGTCGAGCAGAAAATCAAAATTAATTTTTGAAAATGAAATAATCGATACCCTGTTTCTTTTTTAATTCATAGAATTGTATGATTTTTTGGTCAAAATTAAATATAAATAAGATTTTTTGAATTAGTCAGAGTCACTAGAGGATGATTTTCGGTAAGTCACGGTGTATACGTACCCCCCTCCCCTCCCCCCGAAAAATTATAACTATAATTAGCTGTGGATTGACATGTATCTTTTCTCAATGCAATATTCATTTTCTTCCGATCAATCGTCGGTACTATTAGGAATGTGTTTTCGCCTCTGATCTACATGTATGCACAATTATTTAAAATCTTGATTTGAAAAAAAATAATAATAACGAAGCATTTAAGACATTGATCCAGATAACTTTAACACTGATTTTTGAAATGTATTTTTTTCACTATCTAATTAGTTAAATTCCTTAATATGTCTCTATTTAAAAAAATCAAAATTATAAAATGTAATACATGAAAATGCTCTACTCGATTTAATTATCACACCATGGCAGTTAATATAAAATAGAAGTTTTTCATTAATTTTATCTGGCATTAGATAATCTATAAATAATAAACAGGAAAAAACATGATGACTTAATTTTAACAGCTTACCTTTTCGTCGTGGAAATAAACTGAAATTATAATGCACGTACCTGAGTGTCAAATTGAAGAGCTTTCCTTGCCGTAAAACTGACACTATGTGTATCTCTCTAATCAGCACACTGCCCTCTTGTGCGGTCAACACCCCCTCCCCCTTCTCCCCTATCCCCCTAAATGACAGCTAGGCCTGTGTGAGTTCACCGTCAACATACCTGAACTGCTCTCTCACCTTGTGTCAAACAGTATCTATTTTCGGGATTCTGTTCATACCTTGTGTGAACTACATGTACACTCATAAAAGATTTTTTCCAAATCAATTAAATATAAATTGTACAATTTGTGGATTAATTATAGATACAGGGAGTATGATCCCTTTACACAACTTTCCGCTTAGTGTACTTTCCGCTTAGTGTACTACCCTCCTACAATGTGTTTGCAGCACAAGCGCTTTGCTTCGGAGTCCATCCCCTACTAAGATAACAGACATACAGACAACTCAGATCAGACCCATCCAATCATGTAAACACCTGTAATGATAACACATGTATTACATTTATCACTTTATTATTGATACTTTGAGCACAAAAACACACATTTGTTACAATCAACGTAATTGGAGATAAAAGGCCGCAATTTTTTGTGGGGACGGGGGATACCTACAAATGTACCAAAATAACAATGGGCACATAGGGGGCCGAGTGTAAGCACAAGTGCCCGATCCGAACGGTCACCACGTTCTGGACCAGTGAATGCGGGACTGCCCTTCTCCCTGTCTCCAGCGCCACCTGGTGTACCCATTTACTTTACCAGACTGTGGCCTCCCCCAGCTTGTGCGAGGTGGAGGTGGAACCAGCCATGACAGGCCATGAACCACGGATGTTACCATATAATGTTACTTTAGACAACTTATGTGCTACATGTACTTATGTATCACATACCAAAACGCCCCCCTGCTTTGAGGCAGGGTGGGGAGACAACCAGGTTATGGGGCCACTTGATCCCAACATACACAAAAGTATCCCTCAGTCCCCGCCCCCCATCCCGGAATTGCGACAATAAAGGGTTAAAAGATAAGTTCCCAAATATGTTTTCCCCATTTATAATTAACCAGGTTTCCCCTGTTATGAAAGTGTTCATGGTAGATAATTTACACTACATGCACTAGAAAGTCTAATGAACTGGTGTAAGCGTGTAATTAGTCCTTGATGGTCAAAGGCTCTGCGCTTCTCACACTTTCCTACACTGATGGGTGCATGGTATCTCCATGGGTCCGCATTCCAGTGTCCTGCAAGATAAAACAAAACACAGCAGAAAGGAAAACTCTTAAATTCTGATAAGCAATGACCTTTCAACTATTAATTACAGGGGTGGGTGGGCTGGGAAAAAAGCGTCTGGTTTCAACAATTTGCTGGTTAGAAAAGGGGGATAACTTCCGGTGCACATTTATGAGTAACTCGTACGTAGTTTGACTCGTAATACATATTTGTATATTCCTGATGTAATACCTTGTGTACAATTCGGCCCAACTACCAAACATTAAAAACCCTGTCCTAAATTAATAATTTACTATTTGATATAAAATCAAATAATCTTGATTAAAAAAAAATCATTTCCTTGCTTGAATTTAAATAAAAAAATCTAATAAATCAATTTAATGAAACAAAGTCCCTTAACTCTATCCGCTGATTTATTTTATTTGTAAAATGTTTCCATAATGTTTATGTAAATAAGTCCTTTCATGAACTTAAAAAAAATACTGCACTCATGGTACATGGACTTTCGGATCACCGGGTTTTCATATGGTTACAGACAGAATTAATTTTATGAAACAATTTCTTTGATCGTAGAAAAGATTGAAATAATTCTAACATTCTAAACTATGAAAATTTGCTCGCATTTTTTTTTCTACGGTATTTTACTATAATAATAAAAAAGAAGTTTGATTCCGCCGTGACCATGCAAGACGAGTAAATGTACTTCACCCAATCAATATATAGTATTAATCTATTTTATTCCATACGTATATAACTTAATTCAAGAAGTCAATATTATTTTTGGCTATTTGGGTAGATAATGTTTATCAAACTTTAAATTGGTTACGGACTTTCAACATCCCACCCTTCGAATATGCCGTATATGAGATTACCGGGTAAGTTTAAAATAATTTCAGGGTTTAATAATTCATTTGCATCAGAAACAGTACACACAAAGTTTAATTTCAATGATTTATAATTATTTAGTTGGAAAAGTCGCATTTTACCCTTTTAATATTTGTTTATAAATGTTTGTGTTTTGTATAATAAAGAAAAAAAGTATTTTATCATTCAATGTTCGTTAATTAACACTAGGTTTTAAGTATCTGATATATGAATGTTTACATGTACATAAGTGAGAACTTAACGTAAAGGTACATGTACATGTCCATTTGTAGCAGATTCATATTCTGTTGACACAGTTTACATGTATTAATGCAGAGCGGCACTTTATTAACAATCATTTAGATTTCTACTCAGAAAATAACTTTTCTTGAACTATATAGTTCTTTAAAGCCGATTTCTTTGGACCCTTCTTTCGACCGGTCCTCTACATGTATTTTTTCCCCTAAGCTTTTAATACATGTATTTAATTGCGATTTTTGGATACACCGCAGATTCTAAGCTTTAGACATTAAATACAAATATTTAATTTATTACGTAAATTTCTTCCGTGAAATAATTTAGTACTTGTAGATAAATTTAATGGGTACAAACGTATAATTTTTTCATAAATAGTAAATATATTTATATAGTTTCATAATTTAAAAAAAAAATACAGTCTCCATTTCATAATAATCCATTTAATCATTGCCAAAAAAATTAAATAAACAACTTTTGTAAAATTACCAGTCATCTCAATATTTTTATTATAATAATTAAATGTACTTTTAAATTATAATTTAGATTTGAAGCTTTGCAAGTATTTGAATTAAAATATTGCAGCAAACTACACAAAATAATCTTGTCGTCTTGTCAGAAAACGTTCTGCATTTTGAAACAATCCTATCAGGTTTTGCGTTTATCCTATCGTGAAGATCGTTCATCAGGTCTATCGTGTTTTGCGTGTATCGTGTTTTGCGTTTTTTCGTGTTTTGCATTTATCCTATCGTGCGTGTATCCTATCGTATCGTGCGTGTATCCTATTGTATCAAGTATCCTGTAAATAATAACGATGCGGGTACTGTAGAATAAAAAATGTACTGAAAAATCTTAAATAATTGAGTTTATATTATTTCAATTCTTCATGTGTAATTTATATACATTAGTATTGTTCTACTTTTTACGAGGAGAGTTTGTATCATGTAAAAAAATTAATTTTGTTCATGTAAGGTTTGACTTATTTAATTTAATAATGTAAAAATTATTCAAAAATAAATTAAAATAAAATCAACATGTCTAATCAAGCATATTTTTCCAAAAAAAAAAAAAAATAAATAAATAAAATAAAATTTTTCATACCTTAAGTATATTTGATTATTATTAATTTTTGAAAACAATGGTACAAGTTTATTACGCTAAACAACACCGTTGATTTTGTGTAGATAACCGATGACAATTATCATAATGACGTCAACTTTGGAACCATGCTCCCTCGTATCATTAATATTAACGACCAACAGTTTTTTTTTTTTTTTTTTTTTTTTTTACATATATTGATATAATCAACATGTAATGCGAGATAACCTCTTTAGATGTTTTATACATAACATTGTATATATATATATGTAGTATGTATATATTTTACTTGACTTTTGTTTAAATCAGTTAAATTAGAAATGAAGCTTTTTGACTTATCTCATACTTTCAATATCGATATCATTGTGTGAATTTGAGTACTAATCAAAAAGCAAAACCTAGAAGTCGGATTATGCTAAAAGTAGCGAGTATATTTTCTACAGATGTAAAAGGAATCCTTCAAGAAAAAAATCTGCAATTAAAACTGATTTGCGGCATTTGAAACACAAACAGACTACTAAGCACAAGCAGAAGTTCAGACTAGCAAATTCACGACATACCTGCATGTACGAAAGTGAAAAAGTCATAGTACCTCGAAGGTCAAGCAAAATAGCAAGCCAAAATGAGCCAATTAAAATTGCTAAAAGAAGAATGGATTAATCCTTGAACCAATTATCTTTATCATATGGGATCTTGTGCGGATGAATATCAGCAATTATTAAAACGTAAAAACCCATATATAATCGTAGGTACATGTACAAAGTACATAACTAAAATTAGAACAAAAGCCTTGTTGACAAGAATGGTCCTGAACAAACAAAAACACAGCAACAATACAATATAGAAATTAGTTCATCTAATGAAACACAATATACCAGAAAATAATGTGATAAGAGGTATCCACTCATAGGCCTTATTAACTATCGCTATGGTTTGATGTTTTTATCGATAACTCATTACCGGAACTTGTTCACAGCATGTACGAAGCATGCAGCTAAATGTTGTTTTTTAAAGAACCACCTTTTTAGGTTGCGATGGGACAAATATCAGATTGCTATACAGCACAAACCGGCTATTCAATGAAAATCAATCGTACTTAACTCCGAAATCTCAGGTTTTTTTAATCAGAATACATTTTCCATTAAACTTGCTCTTCAGTTTGAATTTGGAATGCTTTTACTTCTGTATACAGGGTTATTTTTGCCCCGTTTTAAATTTGCCCTGTCAAAGTTTTGTTTAAGTACTTATACTGTATTATATGAATTTGCCCCGTTATAAATTCGCCCAAATGAGGCTAGGGCGAAAGGGGCGAAAATAAAACGGGGGGCGAAAATGTCCCTGTATACAGTATGTTAACGTTAGCACGTCATATTCAGTTGAGAAATAACGTGAAATTATATGAATTAAAATTCATAGAAAATATTTTAAAGTCAAATTAATATTTTTTATAATGTCTTAAAACTTCTTTCAAGACATTTAATTGTGCTTATCTTATGATCCCATGCTGATTATTCCTCTAATAGAAACATTTGTCACATTTGGGAAATTTTGTCCTGAAAACAGAATATTGAAATAATCTGCTTTTATTTCCCATGATGTGCAACTTGAAACGTTAATTGAAAACCTTATTATTCTGTACATTGACTTAACTAATGCTCTTAGATATATATATTTTTAATTTTATTTATATATTCTCTTTACACTTTCCCTCCCTAGCTGACTCACTAAATTCAACAACAAAATATATATAAATTTGTACTGTCAGTAATTTTTTTTAATTTTTCATGTTTTCGAGAGTGGACAGAAAGAGAAAACATAGATATATATTCACTTTGTATTACATTACGGGCACCATTGACCTTAATTTAAATTGCATTGTTAAATAATGTTTTGACAGAAACTGTCTTTTATCTCTAAATTTCATTAAGTGTTATTCCATACTATTCATATACATAGAAATAAAGGGCAAGAAATACTGTACATAGGGTTATTTTCGCCTGTATGTTTGCACGTACGACAATTTTGCCCCGTTTTAAATCGCCTAGTTATAGTTCTGTTTAAGAAATTATGCTGTGTTCCTTGAATTCTCCCTGTTTTTTATTCGCTTAACCATGAAGAGGGCGAAAGTAGCTCCTGTACATGCAATTCCTGATTTTCACAAAGAGACTATGAGACAAAATTTCACGTGATGCGTTTTTCAAAAACTCTGTAGTTCGACGTTGCAAATAAGTGCTGGTTGTCTGTTTTCTGCCTTTAAAAGTCTTTCACTGAAAATGAAATACGCATATTTAATATTTAGATTTACCTTCCAATAAAATCAAATAAAATACAATTAACTTACATCATGCAAAGATGCTTTTAATCAAGATATATATTATATTTTAAGCAATTTTTTCTGTATCATTTTTAATCTTTTAAAAGTGATATTTAGTCATCATATTACCTTAGGAAGTACTTTTTTGTTTTTCTACAACGAAGATAAACAACCGTTTTAAGACTTTGTATAGTTTCAATGTCATAGCAGAGATGTTTAATACAGCATCACCAATGTAAATAGATAAAATTTACCTCCTTTTCCAGTTAATTGCCAGAAATAACCATGAAATAAAGACAGCGATACCCCCTCCAACTATAATTAACAGATCTGTAAAAGAAATAATAAATCTTATAAACTTAAGGAAGTCTTTTCCAGTATTATTCTATACACTGTAATTGTTTGATAGATGTATATGAGTATGATTGAAGAAATAAACTTCTTATTCACTCACAAAGTGATGATCCTTTATTGACTTCAGTATCTTCCTTCAGTGAACATTCTTGTTGGTGTCTTGATCCCCTTCCGGGGGTTGTCTGCCCAGCTGGACATTTTGTACACGACAGTTGACCTTCCTTCTCCTGATAACTACCAAAGTCACACTTTTCACAGGTACTGTCTATATAGAATCTTCCTGGAGAACATTTAACTGGAAAAGGGAATCTTTAACATAGTTGCATTCGATAAATAAATACTAGATTTAGTATAAGCATGGGATATAAATTTTATATATTATCGAATATGACTTGTTTCATTTTGTAACATATTCTATGGTAATGAAACCAACATACACACTTATTAAAAATGTAGTATTTAAGGCAGAACCATACTCGAGTGACGTCACCAAAACTTCATAAAAAACATAATTATCCAAAACAGAATTGATGTAAATCTTAATTTAAAATGATTTTGCATTACATGTAGTTGCAGTGCAGTAAGAATTTGATTTCGCCTTTTTATCTTCAAGTTTACAAAGTATTATAATTGACATACATGTACATGCATATTCTAACTGCTATCTACTGTTCATACAGTATTCACAATAACTTATCGTTGAAAATTGTGAAGTTTTTTTTGTCTTAACAAATTTCTCTTACTGTTTCTCAAACAAATAAATGACGCCAATACTATTCGTAATTTTAATCATTTTCAAATAAAATAAAGTTTTCGAACACGCTTTTATTATGTTTCCATGTGAAATATTCTAGTAGCATATTAATAATGATATTACACAGAAAAAATGAGTATTTATTTCAAATCTTTGGTCAAATCCATTTAATAAATTAAGTAAAAAAAAACATTCCTGTATCCAAACAGGAAACTACTTTAAGGGATACCGGTATGTAGAAATATGAAAAATACCGAAATACCACAATAGAATTTGATGGCTGTAGATATTTTGGGCATTTTACTCCGCTTTCTGCGCTGGCTACGTGTATACGTTTATGAGTAGTAAAAAAAATTCCAAATTTTATCGGAAAATTTTAACAAGTCTTTTTTTTTTGATGGGATGCGCCCTACTCTCGATTTAAGGATTTTGATGAAACAGTCTGATAATCATATAGGATTTACCGCTTAGGTTCAATCCCTTCAATATTCTTTTTTACCACAAAATACTTTTTGCAAACAGAATTTTCCACATAAAAGTAATGTCAAAATCGTATACATGTACCTATTAATATACAAAAATATAAATAATTTTACAATAAAAGATTATTGAGTCTTTATTCAATCCGCTGTGTGCATTTTCATATTAGCCTTATTTGACAATATTTGAATATGTAAGATAAGAAACTTGTCAATTTATTGGTTTTAATCAAATGCTTCGAAAGATTGGGTCAAATGCGAAACTAATGTCAAATGTCGTTCAGCTGATTACATGTGTAGGTTATTGAAATGTGTGCATTCAAAAACATAATGAAATTCATCACCAATCTTATAAAGATCATAAAGTACAAATCCTTTGTTCTCTTAGAAGACCATTCCATCTCCCAGTATCAATAGGGAGTTTAAAGTTGTTACATCAAAATTAACAAAATTGAAAATTTTCTAGGTAGATTAACAAGATATCTTTCTGGTTCTCGTATTTTTTTTTATAAATACGATAATTTACACCCTTTCATGAGTTAAAAACATTTCTTTGCCAGTTTTGGATATTTTGATCAACAAGTATTCCTTTTATTTCATTTTTTACCCATGCGACACTGTACATCTGTTGTGTTGTCCATAAATAAGATAAACCACAATCATTTAAAATGTTTTTAACATAGTTAGCACAAGGTAATTTATGCCTTAATGCTAATACATACATTTTTGTAGCAAATTTATCCATCGTTTGAGAAAAATGTAGTTTTGCCCAAAAAGAAATCATTCTCACCTTAATATTAAGGAAAAGTGGGAATCTGTCAAGTTTCCCATATACCATGTAATTTGGCGTTTTATTCTACAAACCTAGTATATATTTACAATATTTTGAGTGAAGTTTTTCGATTAGAGTATTTTTTGTAAATCCCCATATTTCACATCCATATAACAAAACTGGCTGTACAATTCTGTCAAACAAATCTATCTGACAATCAATAGAAAGATTATGTTGTTTACATTTTGATATCACTCCATACATAGCTTTTACAGATTTATTGTATTGTTCTTTTATATTTTGATTTTAAAAACCTGATTTTGAAATAAATATATTCCTAAGTACTTATAACTATCAACAATCTCTAGACTAAAACCATCATAGGTAAAATATAAATCCTGTGTTATTCGACCTCTTCCAAAAAACATTATTCTTGTTTTGTCGACATTTACTTTTAATCACCATTTTATACAATAACATGAAAACTTTTCAACATACTTTGTAATGACTCAGGATTTTCAGCAAATAAAACAGTGTCATCAGCATACAGCAGAGCAAAAAGCTTAATTTGACATGAAGTTCATTCTCAATAATTTCAGATAGTTTCTCTAGACCAGTTATATCATTCATGGTTAGGAATGATTCTAAATCATTTAAATAGAGAGAGAACAGAAAAGGGGACAAATTTTCACCCTGTCTTACACCAAGTTGACAAGAAAAAGTATCTGAAAAACCACCATTTACTTTAAGTTTTGCCTTGATACCCTCATACCTTTTCTTGATTATTCTAAAACATTTTCCATCTATATTGCAATCAAATAGTATTTTGTTCCAGAGTCCTATTCTCCATACAGAATCAAAAGCTTTTTCAAAATCAATAAAGGCACAATATATTCTTTTTTGAAAACCTTTTCGAATATTTCGATGATCGTATGCAAAGAAAATATATTATCAATTGTACCATAATTTTTACGAAATCCAGCTTGATTTTCTTGTATTGTTTTGAATTCTTCTGAATATCTGTTAAGTCTATTATTTAAAATGGATGTAAATAACTTTCCAACACAACTAATTAAAGTTATTGGGCGATAATTTGTGGGTTCAGTATCATCACCATTACTCTTATAGATAGGAATAATTTCACCACACAACCACTCGGAGGGGAAACAACCACTGTTAAGAATTTTGTTGAATATTTTTTTATAGAGGGGCACCATTATGTTGAATGAGCTTTTAATATATTCATTGTATATGTCATCACTTCCACATGATTTGTTTCTTTTAAGACTTTTTATACTTTGCATTATTTCATCACAAGTTATCGGTTCATTTATAGACTCATTACACTGTAAATTAGAGAGAATATCTATATCCTCATTTGATAAAACATAGTCAGGTATTTCATTATCTTTTTCCGTATTTAAATCTTTAAAAAATTCATATAATTCCTCAGCAGGTGCATTTTCATTATTTCTATTTTTTCTCCCAGAGTTTATTATTTTCCAGTATTCTTTCGGGTTTGTCGATTTTAGTGTTTTTTCAATTTTTCTTTTGTTTGATTTTTATGGTTATTTACACACATGTTCAACATTTTTTAAATATTTTTTTTACTATACATATCGTATTTGAGATCTTTACTTCTATATCTCTGGAAGCGTTTTTTAGCCTTACGAAATGTTTGTCGTGCGTTGTAACATTCTATTGTAAACCAAGGGTGGTGAAAATCTATTTCTTTGATTATTTTTTATCCCAAATGTTTCTTTTGCACTTGTAAGGATGCTATAGGTATCGTTTACAATTTTGCCAATAAAATTTGTATCGATTTCTTCCTCTTTAATATTGTCTAGAATTCTACATAAATTGTTAATTTCTATATTTTGCTGATCTAATTTTTCAAGAAAAATATGTTGCAAGTCATCATTCCAACATTTAGCTTTTTCTTTTTGTTCGCTATTACAAGTATTTTCATTATTAGTATTTTGCTTCTCTTGGTTAATTGTCAATGATAGTTCTACATAAATAGGATTATGACAATCAGAGTATAGTTTTGAGAAATCATGAACTTCAAAATTTTTAACAACAGTCAAAAATTCAGTATTACCTATGCAATAATCTATGACACTAATACCTTTACATGTAGTTTTACTAGTACATCTATCATTTCCCATACGACCATTCAAAATAAAAAGATCAGTATGTTTATAAAAATCGAGTAAAAGTTTGCCAAAATTATTCTTGACTAGGTCTTGTGATGAACGTTGAGGTGGAATATTAAGTAAGTCTAATACATATAAGCTCTCAGGTAAAAAATCAGAATAAGTGTCACAGTTATTAGTGTAATCTGGGTCTAATCCAGTTCTTGCATTAAAATCAACAATTAAACAAACGCATTTACACTTATTAGAAAAACGAACATATTCTTCTTCCAATTCTTCAAAAACATCACAAGATACATATTTAGAATTTTCAGGTGGTATGTAAATAGCGCCTTAAAGTAATGTTTCATTGAACACTTTTTATTAAGGTTTAATTTTAACCATTAACGATGTTTACTTGCAGAATCTTTTAATTCTAGTGAATTGACGAGTGTTTCTCTAACAAAAACAACAATACCGCCTTATGTAAAGCGGGATAACTCGCGACGGTGCTTTCCAAACATTTTAAAACCAGGTATTATTACATGATCTGTATTATCAGTTTTAGATTCATTTTCACATATGATATCATGATTTGTGATATATTCAATAAAACCTGTACAGTTAATTTTACTTATTAAACCACAGACATTAAGTGAAACAGGATATTTCACCAGAGGAACTGCGTCCATCCTCCTCAAGTCCCTAGTATCCTGGGGCCCGTTTCACAAAACTATCTTAAGATTTGTCCTTAGACAGATCTTAAGACAATCTTAAAATCTGACTTACGACAATCATAAGATTTGTCACTGCTGTTTCACAAAACTGTCTTAAGTAGCTGAAATCTTAAGACAAGTTTTAAGATGTATCTCGCGCCACAATGTTATAGAGAATGTTATAAAGGACAAATTAAAACAAAATATTAATAATTTTTGTTCTAAGTTAAGATTTCGTCAAATACATTTATGTGTAGATATTTTCAATGTTGTAAATAAAAGTTTTCTTAAATATTGTAAAGGAGTTTTTTGATCGAAAATAAAATGTTAATTTTCTTAATACATTTACAGTGTTCACATTTTTGGAGGGGCAGGGGGGGGGGTCGGATTGGAAGCAATAATGCTGATTTGTGAAGTCATATGTGTGAAAAAAAGAAGACAAATTTGTATGTCAAAAAGTATTTTAAAAATGCATTTGTTTGATAAAAAATAAATATCAATTCTGTTTAAAATAAATTTAAATTTGATCCACCAACGCATTTGCCTTTGCATACAAGTAATGAATGGTGTTCGAATGTATTTATCTGTGACCACAAAACGGATACAAAGTCTGTGCGCTCGGAAAGAAATCTACTAAGAAAATGGCTCTGAAAAGAAGCCCAAAGTTCAGTTTGGCCGAAATCACTGTGTTAACGGACGAAGTCGAGAAAAGAAAAGACATTCTCTTTTCCAAGAAAAATTCAACAGTTTCCAAATCGTTGAAGAAGGAAACATGGAACAAAATAGCTACAAAGGTAAATGCTGTAAATGCGTCAGACCACATCAGGTCCGGAGAAGAAATGGATCTGCTTAAGCAGCGAAAGCAGAAAAAAACTAGCTTTGAAAAGAAGAGAACAGAAAAAGACAGGGGGAGGATCCTTGCCATCTGGGGCTTGCGACCAATAGATTAAAAAATTGAGGGGATCATCGGGGAAACATCCATTTCGGGAGTTGAGGGGGGCATTGACGTTTTAGAGGCAGAGATGGTACGGGAAACGCCACCAAGCGGGAGCACAGATGTTGTAAATGGTATGTGTAAGACTGATACAAGTTCAAATTTCCGGTAACAAAAAAGGGGGGGTCTACAATTTCTTATCTATTTAAGCAATCCTGTAAATGGTGAAAAGTAAAAAGCATGTTATTTTCCGTAAAAATAAAAGTTAAATAGCTTACGTAAAATTTCTTACAAAGGTACTAGAGGATACGCAGAGCGGATATTCTCTACACTGTAAGAAAAGTCGTATGCAATATAGAGGAATGATTTTTGTGTGATATTTTTTTGTTTTGTTAATTTTTCATAAGATTATGTAATACTCCACATGAAATTTTAAATTAAGATAAAATAAACAAAATTAATGTTTTAATATTTTTTAAGAAAAAAAGTTTTGTGATTTTGTTTACAAAAATTTCGTATTCTTGGTTGTAAAATATGAATTTTGTTTACAGAAAAAAGACTTGCCGATGAAAAGCCAGCAAAGAAACGAATGAAGAAATTTCTTAATCCCTGTAATGAGGCCCTCACATTAAAACTTGTTGAAGCAGAGGAAGAGATGCTGGGTGTGGGAAAAAAGGGGTTAGAAATCGAGGAAAAACGATTGAAAATTGAAGAACGGTGACTTGAAGTTGCAGAGCAGCAACTTCAATTACAACGTGAACAACAAACGCTTCACCTCTGTCAGCTTGGAATAGTTAGCAATGCGACAGTAACAGTCAATGCCCCTTCTGATAATAAATAAAACGTATAGTAATGTGTTCAATTTACTACTTGTTGTTTATTTTTGTTGGTCATTACAATCACAAGATACAGAACACATGTTTCATTTACCTTTTATGAAAGTTATCAATATTTCATGAAAATTAAATCACATTCAATAACAATTGTGTAATATACAAATGGACAAAATATTTCTAAGAAACATTACTGTATTGTTGGTTCTGAATCCATGCTTTACTATGATACAGAAATTGAAAACGTCACAACATTTTTACAATACACAAACAATTCTTGTTTGTGGCACAACTTAAAATCTAGAAAGAATCAATCGTTGGCGGATCTCGGTCCCGTCATTGTTGGGTCCATGGTAGATGTAGTTGTCTGGTGGATTAAGATATGCTCCAGGGTTTTGTGCTTGTGGTACTGGAACATTGTGATCAGTACACATGTTGTGGAGAACAACACAAGCAGTCACAATTTTACATACTCTTGCTAGATGAAAAAGTAGCGTTCCACCAGAATGATCAATGCACCGAAGGCGCATTTTAAGCATACCGAAGCTTCTTTCAATAGGGTTTCTCGTCTTAGCAGCCGCACCGTTGTACGCTAATTCACGGAGATTGCTTGGGTTGAGCACTGGTGTCATCAGATACTTTATCAGAGGGTATGCACTATCCCCAAGCATCAAACCTCTTCTGATACCCCCATTTTCAAAGAGATCACTTAGTGATGAATTTGTCCACACAAAAGCATCGTGTGATGACCCAGGCCATCTGAAAACTATGTTAGTAAATTTTGTACTAGAATCAGACTGCCATAACATTAATAGAATGAAAATTTTTCCTGTTCACAAACAGATGCTCGTCATTTTTCGGGGCTTTAATTAGTACATATACATGAGTTCCATCTATTGCTCCGATGACATTAGGGAAATTTGTAATGCGGGAAAAGCCAAGTATGGTGTTATTGATACTTCTGTCATCGAGTGGAAATTTAATATAATCAGAACATACATGTACTAGAGCTGATGATACAGCATTAATTACTCTTAAAACACTGGCTTTGCTTATACCATGGAGATCCCCAGTGACAGTTTGAAAGTTCCCACTGGCATAAAACCTGAGCGCCACCATGATTTGCAGTGATGTAGGAAGAGCATGAGATCTGCTAGGCATGCGCTAGATGAGCATTAAGCTCTGCACATAATCTCAAAATTAAATGGTGTGAAAGGCGGAACATATCAGTAATATAATCATCAGGCATGTCCAATGGGTTATTCCTATCTCTAAATATTAAGTTTCTTCTGTTTTGGGCCAAAATAAAGATTAAGATAGATCTTAAGATTATCATAAGATATGAGAGTTTTGTGAAACAGCTATCGTACATGACAGATCTTAGTCGTAAGATAGTTTTGTGAAACGGGCCCCTGATTTTCCGGAATAATTCAAATTCATTGGGGCGGATCATCTGACGGGCTCACGTGACTTTTATTCAGTTTTCGGTAGCGTTATTTCAATGTTCATTGACCTGAGGCAGTATCGTAGTTCGTCGTATAAAAAAATCCAGACCAACCAGTTTTCCAACTTTAACCCAAATAGTAAGTACATTTGTGAAACGGGCCCCTGATTTTCCGGAATAATTCAAATTCATTGGGGCGGATCATCTGACGGGCTCACGTGACTTTTATTCAGTTTTCGGTAGCGTTATTTCAATGTTCATTGACCTGAGGCAGTATCGTAGTTCGTCGTATAAAAAAATCCAGACCAACCAGTTTTCCAACTTAAACCCAAATAGTAAGTACATTTGTAAATCAGGTCTAGACTAATGAGAAATTATATTTATATGCAAATTTTGTTTCTCCAGATTTATGACGATTTTGAAGAATCAGTTGAGATCTAGAGAGTGATATGGAAAATATGAATGTCAAGATGATTTATTTAACTCGGATCTTCGTTTCACATTCAAAATATTTACATGGCTTATAAAGATGACACAATTTTTATTTTGACAGAAGGAATGCCGATTACGTAGTAAATTTTTTCTGAGGCACCTTTTTGATTTCTATATCATTAAAGGAAATTCCCAATTCACCTCTCCTTTAATTGTTTCTTTTTGCATTTTTTAAGGTTTTCCTTTGGTGAACGTAGATGATGTTTTACACGTATACAACAAAAGTACTTTTCCTCCTGTCGACATTTTACTTCGCGTCATGTTCTAAACTTGTTCTTATCCTGATGGACGGATTTCGTTGGGATTATTTTAAGCACGTGTATCTGCCGGGTTTTGATAAAATGGCGAATGAAGGCGTGAAGGCGGAATACATGTTGTCAGACTATCCTACTTTATCTTACCCAAATTTTTACTCCATCATGACAGGTAATGTTTAATCTAGATTTTTAACGTTAATTGAAAATAGTTTTTCACGTATTTCAAACAGGAAATAGTTTTGTTTTTTTAATTACTTGGAACTGTGAAATTTTATCATTGATCAGTGAATAAGTAATTTGTAAATATAAATTTGTTATTCATTTTTTCCTCATGTCATGTAAAAGGTTTGCATTGCGAATCCCATGGTATGGTAGGAAATTTTATGTATGACGTCGACAAGGACAAGTATTTTTTACTTGCTGCTAATCCGGACCAAAATCTTTCGATTTGGTGGGACGATGCAGAACCAGTTTGGATAACAGCTGAAAAAGAGGTATTCATATTCAGAATTCTCCAAATACAAATTAAAAAGCTTCATGTTCATGCTTTAGATAATTTATTACATGTAATGATATATTCGATAAAAAATTAGTTGGATTAACATTTCAATTATATTATTAATTTTTACTTGTACCCACTTCATTCACAGTCAGTTCGGTATCGCTATTTCGAATTCAGAAATTTTCTTTTAAAATTTTTATAATATATATTTTATTGCATGTTTGCATATGTCATTAATTGCATTATTATATCGGATGTATAAATAATTGATTCAGTAATTCAGGAACAAAAAACTCTCCTCTGGATGTGAATTTTATTTACTAATAAATCTTCAGATCTCCCCTCACTTTAAAACATTACATTGTAAATCAAATGTATACCTTCAAACCTTGATAGCTTTTTCAGGTGTATAGAAACAAGATCATTAAATCCTATCATATTTATTTAGTGCCACATAGAAGTGAAATATGTTTTCCCAATTTTTTTTATCTCTATCCTAAGGACCCTTGAGAAGTAGCCTTCCCCGTGAAGTCTTATCTCTTCTCTTAACTTCTATGCTTGTTTATCCTGCAACTACCCCTTGCATTGTCCTAATAAAGGTAACCTAATAAACCAAAGCTTTATCCGGTCACTGCCCTAATAAAGCCTCGTACATGTATTCCGACGTTCCAAAAGCATTGTGACGTCACGTATACTTCAATGTTTACGCCATGGCGTCATAGTTTCAACTGCAGAGATGTGCCTAAATCTGTCGGAATTAGCATGTTTTGGACGCTCAAATGTAAAATTTTGTTGCAGGATAAAAAAAATACATGATAACTGTCTTGAAATATAAGGAAGCCTCAGCAAGCCTCGCTCTCTATCACGTTTTCTTACCCTCGCCCAAATATCGCTTATATTTCAAGACAGTAACCATGTATTTAATATTGATTATTTGAATAAAAGATAAATAATGAAGAGAAGATGATAACGGACAGTGACTATCTCTTGAAAATAACAAACAATTTTGTGAATAGGGCATAAACACGAACCCCTGGAAATTTCAAAGGTGGGATCCGGTGCCTAGAATAAATAAGCATCCTATGTATGTTGACTGGACATGCTAAGAATTTAGTGATGCGTAAAAAGATCAGAGATGCTTAACGTAGAACCTACGTCGTATGACATCATAACTAGTGAATGTGTTTAGCCTGTGCTAGATCCATTATGACGTCATAATTAATTCATTGTCACTTTTTCCCGTACTTTACGGCTTCAATAGTAAGGCCAGCATTTTTTTTATTTTTAGGTTTACAAACCCGCGCTCAATTTTTTGAATTTTCAGAAAAAAATTAAAATTGAGAAAAACAGAATTTTTTCTTTCCAATGTCAAATTTGAATCGGGATCGAGATTTCAAATTTATGAACTCGTACTTCCGGTTTTAAAATGCATGATGGCGGTAATGAAGGTAGATTTGTAAAGTCCATAGCAGCACTTAAGCTTGGTTTAATGTAAATATTTATCGATAGGAGTGCCATTCAAAACGTTTCATCCGTTCAGAGAACAAATTAAATGCTGACGACTTTGTTGCATAATGACATGTTGGTGAGATAATTATATATCCGCATTCAAAAGTATCTGTCATCTGTCTGACAGTGTAAATTTTTTTCCTCCCACAAGTTTAAAACTGTCCATCGTAACTATTGTCAGAGAAATTGTTTAGGTTTCTGTTATAGCAGTCTTGGCATCATTCTTCGGAGAAGGGTCGCCGAAGCATCAGATGTAATGAATAAAACTATGGGAAAAGTTAAGTCCATTTGAGGTATAAATAAACAATAGCCTAAAGAAATAAAGTATTTCAACTATTTAAAAACAAGTATATACAAATATATACAGGCATTTAGTATCTTTTGTGGCAGCTAGAAAAATCATTTTACACTTAATTGAAAAAAATTCCATCCTAATCCCCAATACTCCCTGTCTGTTTTATGAAAGGAATTATTATTTTAGGTCTCAAGTATATTTTAGAACAATCTAACACGTTCACCTAACACATATTGAAAACAAAAATGAAGATATATATTAAAAGAGTTTTTAAAAAACTGAATTTTAAAAATATCTGTATTTTGTTCAACATCACAAGATTTATATCACTAGCCCCAACTGGTAGATAATGAAATAAACAATTAAAGGTTCTATTTTCCCCCTTTCTAACCATTATGTGTCCAGTGGCAAGGAGCCTGTTAGGAGAGCATCAAAAAAGAAGCAAAAATTAATGCAGAAAAGTCGATAATGTAACCAAAAGAATAATTGTTTTTTTTTATTTCCTCCTCCTACGGGACTTTTTCATTCTGCTGTTCGTAAACCTAAAAATAAAAAAAATGCTGGCCTAAAGGAAGAAAATACTGCATTTTGAAATTCACAGAATTCAATTAATATATTTCTTGAATTAGAGAAACTTGAGGGCACCTTTCATCTAATAGATCTTGACCTTAATTAAGTTGACAAATCCAAGACTATCTTGTGTAATGAAATTACAATGTATTACAACTTACTGTAATAGTGTAAATGGTATGTAACTATTTTAAAGGAATGCAAAAATCCTAAAAAAAAATCTTTAGTGGCCAACTAAATAGTGTAATATCTTGATGAAATGTCTAAGTCAAAGATGTACGTGTTGTAGATCGTGTGATTGTGTGTACATTTTTTGATATCTATCATGAAATGATGTGCATTCCTTTTCATATTTATTTATTACTTATTCATATTCTTGGAGTTTGATTACAATTTTTGCATTAAATATGATCTTTTTAAATTAAAAGTACAATATTTGATAAAAATTTGAAATCTGAATCTGAAACTATCCCCAAACAGTCTTTTAATAATTAAATCCCGTGTAAGTGCAAAAAGGTCAAGAATATTTTCATTGGTAAATAACATATTTCTCATTAGTTAGAGGCGAAAGGTATATATTTTAATCTCTTTTTGTAATCTTTTGGGTATGTTCTGTATCATATTAAAGATTGAAAACATTGTGACAAAGACTTCTGAAAAATATTTACAAATGTAGGGTGGAAAATTGACTGAAAATAAATTATAGAGTTCATTTGCCTATAGTTTTAAAATGTGGACTTATCGTATATGGCAATTGAATAAAAAATTATTCTCGGGAAATATTGTTTAATACTGTTCAATTAATAAACAATAAAAATACGATGTTTAAAGAGGTAATTTTGTGAATTTTTGTCTTCTTTGCATGACAAGTACCCCTAAAAATGACTGAATTGTGAAGTCACAATATGTAATTATCATTCCATGTTTAACTGGCAGCACTACATTTAATAACAAGGAAACATGTCATGTGCTTTTAAAGTGCTTATTTATCATTATGAAAAGTTTGAAAATCTTGTGACAAAGACTTCTGCGACATAGGTTCTACCTTAATTTACCTGACATACGTATTTTTATACCCCCGCTCCGAAGGAGAGGGGGGTATACTGTTTTACCCTTGTGTGTCTGTCCGTCTGTCTGTCTGTGTGTCCGTTCGAAACAAATTTTCGTCGCAGTTTTCTCAGCAACTACTCATCGTAGATGCTTGAAATTTTAACACAATCTTCTCTGAGGCATGCCATATGGTGGGATACATTTTTGCTCAAATCCGATGTCAACTTCCTGTTTGTCTGTGTGTCTGTCCGTTTCATACATAACAAATTTTCGTCGCAGTTTTCTCAGCAACTACTCATCGTAGATGCTTGAAATTTTAACACAATCTTCTCTGAGGCATGCCATATAGTGGGATACATTTTTGCTCAAATCCGATGTCAACTTCCTGTTTGTCTGTGCGTCTGTCCGTTTCATACATAACAAATTTTCGTCACAGTTTTCTCAGCAACTACTCAACTTAGATGCTTGAAATTTTAACACAATCTTCTCTGGGGCATGCCATATGGTGGGATACATTTTTGCTAGAATCCGATGTCAACTTCCTGTTTGTTTGTGCGTCTGTTCGTTTCATACATAACAAATTTTCGTCACAGTTTTCTCAGCAACTACTCAACGTAGATGCTTGAAATTTTAACACAATCTTCTCAGAGGTATGCTATATGGTGGGATACATTTTTGTTTAAATCGGATATCAACTTCCTGATTCTGTGCGTCCGTTTCATACATGACAAATTTTGTAGCAGTTTTCTCATTAGCTATTCATAGCAGATGCTTGAAATTTTATTACCGACTTTGTTGAGGCATGCCATATGGTGGGTTTAATTTTGATATGAATCTGATGTCAACTTCATCTGCCTGTAATTGAACTTGTGTAAACAGTATATTAACATGATAGTGCTTATTTACATCAGAGCGGGGGTATTACTAGTGAGCATTGGCTCACAGATTTCTTGTTCTGTCTCTCGCTCTCTTTATAGATGATGTATTTCAGTCATCTGTAATCCTTATTTACGAAAACACTTCATTCCCTGGACGATTTTGTCAATTTTGAAGAAGGCATATTTTTTTTTCTTAAAGAGCGAGCAAGGTTCTTTTAAAATTAAAGTTAAGCGTATTTTCATGTAGTCCTATACATTTTAGCCTTCACCATGGATTTTATTTAACATTTCACAATGTATAGCGCATATAACTTTCTGTCTTTCTTAGTTTACTTTCTACCTGAATGTTTTTTTTTTAAATATCTCATGAAAATATATACCTTTTTTCAAATAAGGGGAAGAAATCTTATTTCTACTACTGGCCAGGCTGTGACGTGACGATAAGAGGCAGAAAGCCCACACTTTGTGTTGATTATAAGTTAACTCTGATGCCCGAGTTTGAGTATTCTCTTCAGGAATCTTTAAAACTCCTACAAAACAACACAGCGGATCTTATAGGTAACGAAATCAAAATATTGAGGTCAAGTATTATCAATTAAGGAAATACGCGAATATAAATATATAACATACATACTTGACACTGTTAAAACCTAATATAAAACGATCAGAAAGTTTACAGGAGCACTATAATTGCCAAAAAACTTGCACTTTTTTAGCTCACCTGAGCCGAAGGCTCAAGTGAGCTTTTCTTATCAAAATTTGTCCGTTGTCTGTCGTCGTTGTCGTTGTTGTCGTTGTCGTCGTCGTTGTTGTTGTTGTCGTTGTAAACTTTTCACATTTTCATCTTCTTCTTAAGAACCACTGGGCCAATTTCAACCAAACTTGCTACAAAGTATCCTTGGGTAAAGGGAATTTAAGTTTGTTCAAATGAAGGGCCACGCCCTTTTCTAAGGGGAGATAATTATGAATTAGAGAAAAATTAATGACATTTTTAAAAAGTCTTCTTTTCAAGAACCACTGGGCCAGGAAAGATGGAAATCATGTGGAATCATCCTCAGGTAGTGTAGATTCAAATTTGTTCAAATCATGACCCCCGGGGGTAGGGTGGAGCTAAAATGGCCGATCAAAGTTTTACATAGGAGGATATAGGAAAAATCTTTAAAAATCTTTTTCTCAAGAACCACTGAGCCAGGAAAGATGGAACTCATGTGGAATCATCCCCAGGTAGTGTAGATTCAAGTTTGTTCAAATCATGACCCCCGGGGTTAGGGTGGGGCCAAAATGGCCGATCAAATTTATACATAGGAATTTATAGGAAAAATCTTTTAAAATCTTCTTCTGAAGAACCACTGGGCCAAGAAACTTGGAACTCATGTGGAATCATCCTCAGGTAGTGTAGATTTAAGTTTCTTCAAATCATGACCCCTGGGGTTAGAGTGGGGCCAAAATGGCTGATCAAAGTTTTACAGAGGAGTATAAAGGAAAAATCTTTAAAAATCTTCTTCTCAAGAACCACTGGGCCAGGAAAGATGGAACTCATGTGGAATCATCCCCAGGTAGTGTAGATTTAAGTTTGTTCAAATCATGACCCCCAGGGTTAGGGTGGGGCCGAAATGGCAGATCAAAGTTTTACATAGGAGTATATAGGAAAAATCTTTAAAAATCTTCTTCTGAAGAACCACTGGGCCAGGAAAGATGGAACTCATGTGGAATCATCCTCAGGTAGTGTAGATTCATGTTTGTTCAAATCATGACCCCCGGGTTTGGGGTGGGGCCAGTATGGCCGATAAAATTTTTACATAGGAATATGCAGGAAAAATCTTTAAAAATCTTCTTCTCAAGAACCACTGGGCCAGGAAAGATGAAACGCATTTGAAGTTATCATTAGGTAGTGTAGATTCAAGTTTGTTCAAATCATGACCCCCGGGGGTAGGGTGGGGCCAAAATGGCCGATCAAAGTTTTACAAAGGAATGTATATAGGAAAAATCTTCAAAAATCTTCTTCTCAAGAACCACTGAGCCAGGAAAGATGAAACTCATGTGGAATCATCCTCAAGTAGTGTAGATTCAAGTTTTTTCAAATCATGACCCCCGGGGGTAGGGTGGGGCCAAAAAGGCTGTTCAAAATTTTACATAGAAATATATGGGGAAGCCTTTTTAAATCTGCTTTTCAAATACTTCCAAGCCATGATTAGTTATATCTATATGGAATCATTCTCAGGTAGTGTAGATTCTAGTTCGTTGAAATAATGATCCCCTGGGGTGTTGAAACTCAACCCCCCCACCCCCCACCCCACCTCAGTAAACCTTCAGTTCTGATCTGATGTGCTTTTTCCTTGCCAATGTGCTCAGATGAGCGCTGTGGCCACTGGGCCTCTTGTTTTTTTTGAAAAAATTTTGCGCTATCAGAAATTAAAAAAAACATGGATATGTTCATTAAATGCTTCATTATAATTCTTAAAGATAGAAATGTGGGGTTTTTTTTTGTATTTGATAAGGTATCTGAACTTTATGCATAACTAAACAGTGTTTACTAAGATGTAATCTATTGCAAAAAAGTTTTTGTCGCCCAAGTTGCTAAGTGGTAAAAATGCTTGGGCTTGCCTCGCAGAATGAAGAGTTATACAGCATCGCGGGTTCAAATCTGACTGCGGAACGTGGGGACAATTTCTCGGTAGAGACCGTTTTTAACAGAGTTCCCGCTTGATGCACTAGGTGCTCTCTCAATACTCTAAATTAAGGCAGTAATTGCCGACTACAAATCTCAATATGCAGTCTTACATGTAAGTTGGCAATTGCAAGTGGTAACGTTTTTAAAATATGAAGGACAAATTGACGTCAACAAACAAAATAAAACGATTTTATTTATCATGTGATAGTATAATTTATATAAATAATCCAGGTGAACTTCGGTATCCAAAACTTTGATATCTTGAATACTCTGGATATGTTGAAGTAATTTACTTATTCTAAAATAAATTTATTATTACTTATTCTTTTAGTATTTTACCCTCGATATCTCGAATCTCGGGTATCTCGAATTTTTTTCCGGTCCCGTCGGGTTTGAGATAACGAAGTTTGACTGTATATGAGTTGCATGTATGTAACATAGTATAAAATTAATTTTTCAGGAATATACTTGGAAGCGCCTGACCATTATGGACACGTAGTTGGTGTGAATTCTCAAAATTTGACAACTGTATTGCAAGATATTGATAAAAGTTTGCAAAGCTTTAGGCAAAATCTGATGTCACTAAATTTACATAATGACGTAAACATAATGATTTTTTCTGATCATGGGATGACCAATATAACAAAAATGGTGAACATCACTGACGTATTGGAACTACAGGACATTAAGGTTATTTTGTCGGAGGTGCCCTATGTCAGTATCTGGCCAATGGATGGAAAACTTGAAAAGGTATCTTGAAGCTATTGTATCTCCATTAAATATTATGATAAATATTTTTTGTGGATAGGTATTTTTGAATTGAAATATGGCAATCAAATATACGCGTTCATGGACGCGTGGATGTATCGAACCACAAAGGAAGAAAATAAAAAATATCTCTCTTTTTTCTTCAAAGTAACAATATCTTAACACTAGCAAGAATTCTTAAAGAATTTACAAATAAAAGCAATTTTGTCAAACATAAACATTTTTTTTTAAATAATGGAATGAAGACAAAAGGATATACGTGGGTTGATAATGTTAATATGGTTATGTATTTACTTAAGAAATAAATAACAAGTTTATAAACTTCAATGGGAATTGAAGTGGGTCGGTCATGTGATCAAATCCTGTGAAGGCGAAGGCCTTCTCAGAAGATTTGATCACGTACCCACTCCTACTAATGTGTTCGGAACCTTTTATTTTTCGGTGTTCTGCAAAATATAAAACCCGATGAGTTCAGAGTAGCTCTGGCAGTGACTCTGGCGAGAGTTAACGAGACTACGCGAGATAAGGTAAATTGGCTAGGAAGTGACTAGCACGTGGAGACATTGTAAACAGAAAAGTTATGTTGCGTCTCAGTTTTCACTACCCTATAATATCTGTAGAAATGCACTTCAATCAATCTCTATTGAACTCATTCAAACTTAAACGAGTATTCTCTATGATTCAATTTTCTGCAGTGACTCTGTCATGAATTAAAATTTCTTTTTGGACAAATATTTTTTTTAGCGTCAGATTAGCAAATGAGGCAACAACGTGACTTAAACTGACTAATAAGCTGAATTAGAATTGCATTATGGGTTACTACAAATACTACAAGAATTGTACGTTTCAGAGAAAAGGGAAATTGTATGGCGATCGAAAAGGCACAAAGACCATTTTTCCATCCATCTTGTAAATGAAAAGCATTTAAAAAATTTCATCATTTCCATGCTCACAATGACAAACAATTCATTTGCTATACAAACAGTGGAAGGCTGGGTTTGTCAGTCATACTGCATAGCGACTTGCGTCTGTATTAATTCCTTTGTACTATTGGTGAATACAATTGTCAGGTGGATTCCCTGGCCAAAAACACGAGATCACGAGTATAGTTATGTAAAAATGTTTTGTCCATTTAAATGCAAGAGATGGTCATGTCGTGCTCGTTTTAATTACCCTTGAAGCACTGTTGTTCTTATGAATTCTTTTGAATTGAACTGAATTGAACTTGACACAAACTACATCTCATTTAACATATTTTTTTCTAGATAACAAAATATTAAAAATGCCAGTAACATCTTTCTTTGTTTCTAATCTTTGTATTTTGTTCATTTTTTTTCTTTTGCGCTCCATTGACAAGAACATAGATAGACCTGAGACACGTATTCGAAGTAAAATGTAAACATGTTTTTGGAATAAACGTTGCAATTCAACGATGGTCAGTTGCTCGTGGTGAGATCCTCTTGCGCATTATTAACAATAACCATATAAGGCAAACAAAGTATTGTCTGTGTATATAATGTTACACATTTTTTTAACAGCGCATCGGCCGCTAGTGAGTTCTAATTTTCACCGTAAATTGTGATAGAATATTTTGTTATTTTAACCTCTCCCCCACTAGCCACCCTTTTCTGTTGAAAATCTTTTAAGTCTTTCAGAATGGTCTGTAAACACATTTTTCACAGGACATATTATCGAAAGAAACAGTCTATAGCAATTTCTTGTTTGCTGCCAATCTTATTTATAAAACCGGTTTTACTCTATAACCTTTGAATAGGTCAAACTAAACCATGTGTCTTGAATTTAAATCACAATAACATTAGTAGGGGTGGTATCGACCCACTTCAATTCCCATTGAAGTTTATAAACTTGTTATTTATTACTTATATATACATTTGAGACAGACAATTTAATATTTTCGAATTTAAATTATTGCACTTACCGTCCGTCGTAGATTTTGAAAAATGACACAAGGTGTAAATCGGCTTGCATGGCGGTTACGCTTCGAATTCATTAGGCTAAGGAATCTATTTCGAAGGGAATATTTTGTGAGAGGCTACTTGTGATCAGTAATATTGAACAGATTGTTGTCTGGGAATATTTTTATTCGTGAAAATTGATAATCGATGCTGAAAAGACACAAGAAACACGTCCGAAGTTTGATGATAAAAAGTTGGAGGAATTTCGGTCGTCGGAAAGGGATGGATGGATCCGATGGATTGAGACACATGTCCAAGCCAGTTAATTTGCAATTTGATCAAAAACATTCTACAAACTTCATACAGACTTGAAGATATTTTCTATCTGTATGTTTATATAATGGAGAGATACCACAAATGTATATATATAGTTAGTAGTTAAAACAGATTCGGGTACTAGTGAAAGTGTGTATGATGATGTTCATAAAATCAACTTTTTGGAAATTTATAGCATTTTTGGCATAACTTTTGGATCAACTATCGTATATGTATGTGGAATGTACAAAAGTCATTGAAATTAATTAGTTGTACACCGTTGTCGACTCTGGCTTCAGGGCCATCAAACTTGCAATTGGTTGAGCTCACTTATGTTTACAGTCTCATTGGTTGTTTTAAACAAAATTTGATTTTAAAAATGGCAGGTCTACAACGATTTAGTAACAGCAAACAAGCCCAATATAACAGTTTACAAAAAGGAATCAATTCCTGGCCGTTATCATCTGAAGAACCACAAACGTACAGCACCAATCGTTATAGAAGCTGATAGTGGAACAGCAATAATAGCTCCATGGAAATGTAGCGAATGTGGAGTAAGTACTTATATATATATATATATATATATATATATATATATATATATATATATATATATATATATATATATATATACTGTAGAAGTACTTTTTTCCGCGTGGTATTAATTTACGCTATGTACGCGGTAACAAACTTTTCGCGGAAATTTGTCCTAGCGTACTTAATATAAATGTAAGGCAAATAGTGACAGTCTAAGAAATCCGCGTAATTTTCTACCCGCGGATTAAACCAGAAATTGAGATTCCGCGGAATTATAACCCCGTGGAAAAAAGTACGTATATATATATATATATATATATATATATATATATATATATATATATATATATATATATATATATATATATATATATATATATATATATATATATATTGATGGAGAATCAAAGGAGATAAATCAAGTTATTTCCATTGTCTATCAATCAATGGAGCTTTGAGATAGTTTTCGACAACTCTGAATTAAGTAAGATTTATTTGAAGTTGGTTGCCATATTGAAGGTATACAAAACTGAATTTCAAATTAAACTTGTCATACTGGACAAAGGGGTAAATTTAAACATAACACAATTTTTCTAACGAATTTATGTTTACTCAAGCTTATTTTCGATCATAATTTAGTATTTAAATGATATTAATAATTTTGCTGTAATAGGACATACATGTAAATCTTATGGGAAATACATGTAAATCTTGCTTAATTCAAGACAGTCGAAAAACTCTCTAGCTATAAACTAATGTAAATGTCCATCTTTGAGTATAATTTTTGATAATGATATTTTCGTAAATTTATGACTTGATCGATTGACAGAGGAACTACTTACACCGTTTTAACAAATCAAAAAATACTGAAAATTGTATATCCCTTAAATCTTTTGAAATGTTAATGCTTGGTCTGATATTATTAGGGGAGATCTACAATTCCATCACGTCTTCGAAATGGAATTTTTTTTTAATTATTGGTGGTTTTAGGCAAATTAAATCGCTATTTGATTTGTCTCTCTTCGAATATGACGTTTTAATTCATTAATATTAACCTAGCCTACATGTGTTTAATTGCTAAAACAATGTAAAATGAAACAACATGACTGTATGTTTCAGTTTTTATTGTGATCAGCTGTCATGAGAGGTATGGTGAACCGAGACTTGCTTATTTTACCAATAATTAAACTAATGAAAATTATTTTTTTTCATTAAACAAGGATGATTATAAACCTGGAACTACCTACAAAGGCATGCATGGATATGATAATACTAATCCTGATATGAGAGCGATTTTTAGAGCAGCCGGACCAGGTAAGTTTAACCAATATGACCTTGATTTCAAGAAAAAAAATCTGATTCTGCTATTAATAGCTAGAATGATTTTATTTTATGTCCTCATTGCAGCGTTCAAGAAAAATTTTGTGAGCAATCCGATAGCTAATGTGGAGCTTTATCAAATAATGTGTGATATTCTTGAAATAAAACCAAAGGATAACAATGGAACTTGGAGTAATGTCGCACAAATGATGACAAAATCTGACATTTCTTCTGCAAGGTCAACAGAATTGTTCTTTCCTTTGTTTCTGTTTGTCATGTTTAGTGTTGTCCTCATCTAATTAATAGATAAAATACATAATTATATATATTACTGTATTGCAACTTATTTAATGTTTAAAAATAAAGTGTTTCACTTGAAGCCACATTTTAAATGTTATGTCTCTTGACCGCCATCTCTCAAGAAAAATCCATAAAACAATGTAAAGACGAAGCTCACTGGTCTAAATAAAATTAGAATAGGTTATTAGAAAGCCACAAAGCTAGTATATAATTTTTACTAAGTACAAAAGGTGTGCTGGTTCTCGTTTAATTTTTCCATATAAAAAGTCTGGAAGTAGTGAACATCTCAAATGTTGCCTAATAATCAAGTAATTGATTTGCTTCCGGTGTAACGTTGAACATTGACCCGGGTTGAAAATTGACCCGGGGTTCATTTTTCAACGTTGAATATTGAACCAGGGGTGTTTTTTTCTCCGTTAAAAATTGAGACGACCAAAAGTCGTTAAATTTATACCCAGGGTCATTTTTCAACAACTTGATAATTTTTTTCTTATCCCTGATGACCTCAACAAGTTGAAAATTGACCCTGTTGAATATTGACCCCACCTCAGATTTTGAACATCTTTTGAACTGGGAAGTTGTTGAACGGGATTTATCAGTATCTTTATTATTCATATTTCGGATTCAGTTTTTTCCCTTTTAAAGAATAATAAACATAAACTTATCATCTCGTGTATATGTACAGTCATTTTGATCAGTACACGATTTCAGATATCTTCTAAAATCTATATACATGTAGCATCCATAAATGAGATCAAAACTATGAATAGGGCATAAAACAAAAATCCTGGAAATCTGATGTCTAGAAAGTGAGCACTATATATATTTGAAACTTTATACTTTGAAATCTGAGATATTTTGTCACTATTTTATTCTAAGAATTTAGCTGAATTAATGAATTAAATGTGTATTTATTACATTACAGTCGGAAGCAGACGCGGATCTAGGAATTTTTTTCCAGATGGGGTATATTCCAGTGAAAAAAAAATCCAACCCAGAAATTTGTTGACGAGCACCCCCCCAAAAAAAAACGTTATCTTATAAAAAAAATCATATTGTTTGTGTGTGAGTGTGTGTGTGTATGTGGGGGGGGGGGGGGGTAGTCGTTGATACCTATTTATACGTACATGTTTGACTTTTCATGCCAACTTAACCATGTTCAAGTTTTGGAGGGGTTCTGCGTATATTTGGGTGGTCCAAGGTCACGTTTTACTTTGTTTAGTATATAAATTTAGAAACTCTTCAAATCCAGGAGGTCCGGATCCCCCTCGACTCCCCTCTAGATCCGCGCATGGGAAGCAAATTGAAAATGCGGGAGGGGAGGGGGCTAATTGATAGAAAAAATTAAATCTGAAAAAAATGTCCCAAAAAAAAGAGAAAATTTGTCCTTCGTCTAAAGTAGTAGTACAAACCCGAAAATCCTATTTCGGTGGGAGTGGGGGTTGGTTGTTCGGAGGTTCCGATTTCTACTTTTTTCAAGCACTACCACTTACTGTTCTTTCTTTGATTAACTTGCCTGTTGAAAGGGGAGTTGGGCTAAACCCATGTCACTTTGTTAAATGCTATATTATGTCTGTCTTTGCAAAAAGTGGGGAGAGCGGCTAAGCATCCCCCCGTTCCCGACGCATATGTTCTGAAAACCAAGTCATAAATATGTGTTTTTATGCTGTTGAATTTAGAACCGGTTTCATGATCAAAATTCTACGACCCGGCTCAGTTTTCAACAAACTAGGGTCTTAATTCAACACCTTTGGTCATGTTTGCTCAGTATACAACGTCGACAGACGACCCCCGGGTCAATTTTCAATCCAGGTCAAAATTCAACGTTACACCGGCCCCTTTTCTCTGAAAAAAAGTCTCATGACCATATAGACGAAAACCTTAGTATTGTTAATATTGTTTGGTCTTGATATCATTGGTACAAGTATGTATATCGTAAATAATTACAATATCCTTCTTATTAATACATATAACCAGCACGGAAAACTTGGAACATAAAATCAAAAATGTTCTGAAAAATCTGAAATAATTGAGTTTTAATTTGCTTTAATTCTAAAAATTCAATTATATATAATTTGTAAAATATTTTTTAATTATTGTAAAAAATGAAGGTCATTTCTTCTATTATGTACGAGGAGAGTATTTATCATGTAAAAATAAAAGTTAATTTAGTTTATATACGGTTTGACTTATATTTTTTAATAATGTAAAAATTACATTAAATTAAAATAAAATCAACATGTCTCATTAAGCACAGTTTTCAAAAACAAATGAAAATAAAATCAAACTTCGTAAGTATATTTGATTATGATTATTTTTTTAAAACAATGGTACAAGTCACTTACTTCAAATGATATTGTTGGTAATATGCAGATAACCGATGACCATGTTCATTATCATGACAACTTGAATTGGAAACCACGCTCCCTCGTATCACTAATATTACGACCAACAGGTTTATACATATAATGCGGGATAACCTCTAAATACTTAATATTGTACTGTATGTATATATTTTATAAATCAGTGAGTAAAGAAGCTTTTAAACTCAGTCTTATATCATGCTTTTAACAGAGGCAGGATTGAGTGAATTTGAGGTAGTTAAAAGGTGAAACTTAGAAGTAGAATTATGCTTAAAGTAGAGACAGTAGTGAACTCATGTATATTTTCTTCATAATCGATCAAATAAAAAGGAATAATTTTTCAGGAAAAAATGCATATAAAAATGATACATGTCATAAGAAAAACAGACAGAAATTTCTAAACACAAACAGAAGTTTACCAATATCACGACATATCTACATGTACGACATTGAAAGAGTAAAAGTACCCCGGAGGTCAAGCAAATTAACAGGCAAAAATGAGCCAATTATAAGTGCGCGGTGAAACTTATTCATTTTATTCATTACAACATGCCCCAAGTTGTAATTTTCAAAATGTTTGACAAAAGTTTGTTTGTTTCATCTGTACATGTCATTAATTTTTTTTTTTTTTTTTTTTTGAAAAAAAATGTTTTAGGTTGCGATGGGACAAAGATCAGACATACAACACAAACTGGCAATCTGATTAAAATCAATCGTTCCTAAACTCCAAAATTCTCAATTTGGTTAAATCAAAATGTATTGTTCAGTTAAAACTTGCTCTTCAGTTTGAATTTGGAATGCTTTTACCTTGTTAACAAGTCATATTCAGTTGAGAAAGAATGTAAAATTAGATACATTTAAAATTCAAACGTATAGAAAAAACATTTTAAGTCGATTTAATTTTTCTTTTAAAATGTATTCTTTAAAGCCTTTTAATTGTGCTTATTTTTTGATCCAATGCTGATTATTCTTTTAAAAGAAATATTTGCCACAATTGTCACAAATCATACGTTTTGTTCTGAGAAAAGAACATCAAGAAAAAACTTCTTTTTCCCAAGATGTGCAACATGAAACATTAATTGAAAACCTAACACAGTGACTTAACTACTGCTAACGGAATATTTTAATTTTATATATTCTTTTTTCACTTTCCCTCCTTATTTGAGTCACTAAAATCAACAACAAAATACATGTAATTTTGTACTGTCTGTATTTTATTTTGATTTTTCATATTTTTGAGAGTAAACAAAAAGAAAAAAACATTGATACATATTTACTTTGTATTACATAACGGGCACCTGTTTCTAGCTCTGCTCACAGATGTCCTTGTTGACTTCAATTTAAACTGCATTGTTTAATAAACTTTTAAAAGAAACTGTCTATTATCTCTAAATTTCAAGTGTCATTCCATACTATTCATACACATAAAAATAAAAGTATCATGTTGTAAATTTTGAATTTACCAGGGGGAGGTAAGTGCAAATTTTGCATTTACCTCCCCCTAGTAAATTCAAAATTTACAACATGATAAAAGGCAAGAAATACTGTAAATAGGGTTATTTTCGCCTCGTGTTATTTTCGCGCGTTTGCACTAACGGCAATTTTACCTCGTTTTTAATTTGCCCAGTCAAAGTTCTGTTTAAGAAATTATGCTCTGTTCCTTGAATTTTCCCTGTTTTAAATTGCGAAAGGTGCGAAAATAAAACGGAGGGGGGGATTCCCCTGTATACAGTAGCTTTATGAGACAAAAATTGCACATGACGCGATAGAATGTTCAAAAACTCTGTAGTTGGAAGTTGCGAGTAAGTGCTGGTTGTCTGTTTTCTGCTTTTGTAAATGTTTCACTGAAAAGGAAATACGCAAATTTAATATATATACCTTCCAATAAAATCAAATAAAATACATAAGCAAAACATTCAAACTCATACAAAGATGCTTTAAATCAAGATATTAATATATTTTATTGATAAGCAATTTTAAGCATCATTTTTAATCTTTTCTAAGTTATATCTAGTCATCATATTACCTTAGGAAGTACTTTTTTGTTTTTCTAAAACGAAGATAAACAACCGTTTTCATACTCTGTATAGATTCAATGTCATAAAAGAGGTGTTTAATACCGCATCGTCAATGTACATGTATAAACTTTACCTCCTTTTCCAGTTGATTGCCAGAAATAGGAATGAAATAAAAACAGCGATCCCCCCTCCAACTATAATCAACATATCTGGAAAAAAGTAATAAATCTTATAAATGAAGGATTTTTCTGTATTGTTCTTTAAACTGTAGTTGTTTGATAGATGTATATGAGTATGATTGAGGAAACCAACTTCTTATTCACTTACAAAGGGATGTTCCTTCGTTGACTTTAGTATCTTTCTTTAAAGAACATTCTTGTTGGTGTCTTGATCCCCTTCCGGGAGTTGTCTGCCCAGCTGGACATTTTGTACACGACAGTTGACCTTCCTTCTCCTGATAACTACCAAAGTCACACTTCTCACAGGTACCATCTATATAGAATCTTCCTGGAGAACATTTAACTGGAAAAGGGAATCTTTAATATAGTTGCATTCGACAAATAAATACTAAATCAGGTATAAGCACGGGATGTAGATTTTATATATTATCGAATATAACTTGTTTCATTTTGTAACATATTCTATGGTAATGAAACCAGCGCGTACAATTATTAATAATGTAGTATTTAAGGCAGAACATACCCTACTCAAGTGACTTTACCAAAACGTCATAAAATACATAATTATCAAAACCATATTTATGTACACCTTTTTAAAAATGATTTTGCGTTACATGTAATTGTAGTGCAGTAAGAACTTGATTTTACATTTTTATCTTCAAGTTTACAAACTATTGTAATTGACAATAAGTACATTACACATTCTAACTTCCATCTACTGTTCATACAGCATTTACAATAACAAATTTCTCTCACTGTTTCTCAAACAAATAAATGACACCAATACTATTCGTAATTCTAATTATTTTCAAATTAAAAAAAGTTTTTGAACACGCTTTTATTATATTTCAATGTGAAGGATTCCAGCAGCATATTAATAATGATATTAAACAGAAAATTTGAGAAAATATTTATTTCAAATCTTTCGTCAAATCAAATTAATAATTCGAAAAGTCGAAAAAAAAAATTACTGAATCCAAAAAGGGAACTACCTACCGGTAAAATTTATATAGGAATATAAAAAATACCGAAATACCACAATAGAATTTGATGATTGCAGATCCTTCGGGGCATTTTACTCCGCTTTCTGCACTGGCTCTTTCAACGTCTATTTCAAATTGCTCGCCTTTTACCTCAATATCCAATGAATGATTTATGGCTAAGGCATGTAAGTTGTTTACAGATGTAACGAGATTAGTGTGACAGATGTCCGAATTATCTGTGAAACATAAGATATATCAAAAATGAGTGTTTTGTTAAAATTACAAAAGACATCGATCATGATGAATTCATTTCAGTGAGGATAAAACTTACAAATTTTAGGATCACAGTTCATCGTGATCGAAAACCCAATGTTTTCAACACCTGTCGATCTCTTGTTTCTTTGTTTACATGGCGTTATAGTTGCATTTTCATAAGAACATATATTCTTTTGAAAACAATCTAACTGCCGTAGACCATTATCTATAGCATTGTTCACTTCCTTGCGTATTGTTTCAAATGTTTGGTCACATACAAGGTCTTTATAAAAGGCGGAATAGGAAACACTGAGTTCAGAGCTCTCTTGGATTTCTGTATGGAAAATAAATAAATGCTGAATCATCATTGCATAGATATTCTATGAATGAAAGAAAAAGTGAGCAAGCTCACATACCCCATGCTCCCTCAAAACTCAAAGTGCTGAAAATCCCGGGAAAAATAAAAGAATTGGAATTTCCTGAAAATATGCAAATCTACATATTGTGAACTAAATATTTGAAACGTTTGACGAAATTCTGTGCAGCGGTTTATGAGGAGTTGCGCTGACAAACTGTTCATCTTTATATAAAAGGTATGGCCAAAAACCTAAGATTTTAGTGCAGAAATTCCCGGAAAAAATAAAGGATTCGGAATTTCCTGGTACATGTGATATGCACATCTACATATTGTGTTCTAAATATCTGCAAAGTTTAACGAAATTCTGTGCAGCGGTTTATGAGGAGTTGTGCTGACAAAGTGTATGAAAAGTATGGCCAAAAACCTAAGTTTTAGTGCGGAAATTCCCGGAAGAAATAAAAGGAATCGGAATTTCCTGGTAATATGCACCTCTACATATTGTGTCCTAAATATCTGCAAATTTCGACGAAATTCTGTGCAGCAGTTTATGAGGAGTTGCGCTGACAAACTGTTCATCTCCATATAAAAGGTATGGCCAAAAACCTAAGATTTTAGTGCAGAAATTCCCGGAAAAAATAAAGGATTCGGAATTTCCTGGTACATGTAATATGCACATCTACATATTGTGTCCTAAATATCTGCAAAGTTTAACGAAATTCTGTGCAGCGGTTTATGAGGAGTTGTGCTGACAAAGTGTATGAAAAGTATGGCCAAAAACCTAAGTTTTAGTGCGAAAATTCCCGGAAAAAATAAAGGATTCGGACTTTCCTGGTAACATGCACATCTACATATTGTGAACTAAATATCCTCAAAGTTTGACGAAATTCTGTGCAGCGGTTTATGAGGAGTTCCGCTGACAAACTGTTCATCTCTATATAAAAAGTATGGCCAAAAACCTAAGATTTAAGTGCAGAAATTCCCGGAAAAAATAAAGGATTCGGAATTTCCTGGTACATGTAATATGCACATCTACATATTGTGTCCTACATATCTGCAAAGTTAACGAAATTCTGTGCAGCGGTTTATGAGGAGTTGTGCTGACAAAGTGTATGACAAGTATGGCCAAAAACCTAAGTTTTTAGTGCGGAAATTCCCGGAAAAAATAAAGGATTCGGAATTTCCTGGTAATATGCACATCTACATATTGTGTCCTAAATATCTACAAAGTTTGACGAAATTCTGTGCAGCGGTTTATGAGGAGTTGTGCCGACAAACTGTATAAAAGGTATGGCCAAAAACCTAAGTTTTAGTGCGGAAATTCTCGGAAAAAATGAAGGAATCGGAATTTCCTGGTAATATGCACATCTACGTATTGTGTTCTATATATCTGCAAAGTTTGACGAAATTCTGGGCAGCGGTTTATAAGGAGTTGCGCTGACAAAAAAAGAGGACTGACTGACTGACTGACTAACTGACAGCTGGCTGACTGACTGACTGACGGACGGGTCAAAAACATTATATCTCATGCAACTAGTTGCGTGGGGTATAAATATCAATTTAAATAACAGAGTAGGTGAACGTCAATATACTATGGAGTTTTAGAGATTAAAGAATACATTTTACACATTAAAGAGTAAAACTCTACACGTTATAAATTTTCAGTTAAGAAAATGTAGTAAGAGTTAAGTGTAAATTGTAAAGTTTATAGTGAATTTAAAAAGAGGTATTCATGGCAAGGACTCTCTATCGCTTCGTAACACATTTCTCAATTTTACATTTTTTTCGACTTTAAATATACTTTCGCCTACTACTTATTACCAGAACAGACGGGAGTTTTCCCGTCTGGATTGTCTTCGGTTTGGAAATCCCACATGTAGAAAGTGTCCTCGCCACAAAGGTAAAAGGGTTTAGTTTCATGATCAAAATCGTAGCCGTTATCGCACTCAATTGTGCAATTCAAGTTCAAGCAGTTTGCTTTCCCTTCCTATATGCTTCGACTATTAATAATTTATATCCAACCCAGATATTTCTTGACATGCAAAAAACCCCGTAAACTCGCCCAAACTTCAAAAACTATTTCAGGGGGGGGCGTGTAGCCGATGACTTTTAATGCTTCAAACCTTAGACTTTTCGTACCAATTTAACACAAATTCGCGTTTACCAGGGAGTCTGCGTTTTCCGAGGGGGTTCCAACGTAACTTTTTTTCTAGCTTTTGTATATAAATTTAATAACCTTGCAAATCCCAGGGGGGGTCCTAACCCCCTCTAGATCCGCGCATGGCACTCATGCATAGAATCACAACACAGCCACTTCAATTTATATTGATGGGGGACCTCCAAAATCAGTTGACAAGCAAAAAAAAAACAACAAAAAAACAAACAAACAAAAAACAAAACAAACACAAAAAACAAAACAAAAAAATCTATGCACCACACTCTATGCAATCCTTTTTGTAGGGGATAAAGGAGGCTTCCTGTAACTTTTCTGTTCGGTACATTACTTTTACATGCTTGAATCTGCGTATTTTCCTGCAAACAAAAAATGTGGAGAGAGCTTCCAAATCAAAATTTTAATTTATTTAAAACTGCAGCAAAGATTATCCACAGAAAAAGTGAGCCCCCCCCCCCTTCATCTGCATACTACGGGAACATTTTAAACCTTTATCTTTAACGAATCGAAATATTGCATGCATACTTCTTAAAGTTAGTATACTTCTAAAAATGGTCCAAAATGGTAAAAAAGTTAGCTGGAATCTTCCTTGCATGCTACTTGTGGGTGGTCAAGCCCTTAGGAAAGGGTTACCAAGACAAGATAGAATTTGTCCCCATTGTAATTTAAAAGAACTCGGAGATGAGTTTCATTACATACTAAAGTGCAGCTTGCTACTTTCAGAAAGAATGCACAAAATTTCAGAAAGTGATTAATTTTAAACACATTATGAATAACGATAAACACTGTTTTCTCAGAAAATTGTGCTCGTTTATAAAGAAAAAACAAAAAACAAAATATGCCCCCCGCCTAAATTCCCATACTTCACATTCATAGCAACGTACAATTTTTTTGTTTAGTTTCTTATTCAAGCATGCTTTATAGATCTACTGTTATGTATAAAATCACCTATATATTTCTGTGAAAAAAATATACTGTTGTAAAATGGTGAAGAGATTCAAATAATTGATTAAAAAATGATTGAAGGCACGCAGAGGAAAGCAAATCCACGAAAATTACAGATTTAGAGAACTGAAAGGACAGAGATTTTTTTTATGTCTTCAAATTATTCATATTATTAGACGTGTAAATATTTATATATTACAGAAAAAACATTCTCTCTCTCTCTCTCTCTCTCTCTCTCTCTCTCTCTCTGTATGTATGTGTGTACAAAAATAAAGGCCGGGGGTTCCAATCCCTGGAACCCCACTCCACCTCTGGATCCGCCAATGAATTCTATTTTGATTATTCATGTACCACAGAATCAAACTCGTTTATTGTTTATAAAATTATTAAAAAAAAAAAAAAAAAGAAGTTTAAATCAGTTATATAAGGTCTTTATTTAAAAAAAATAAAATAAAGCCAATACACATTATTTATAATGAAAAATATATGATCGTAATAAAATCCGATCTTTTTTAGAGAGCGTTTTTCCCCCCCCCCCCTTTTCACGGGAGAATCTCGTCAAAGGATGAATGATTCGTAATGTTGCATGCTTTAAAATAAATTTAATGTAATTAAGCAATGTTTGTAAATTTTGTTTACATTTACATATACAGACAAGAGTAATATTTATTTTTAAAAAAAAAATGCACTTTTTCAGTCAGATTTCCACCTTTGAAATTTCCCTTGACCAAATAGACTGGTCGTCGCGGACCACGTGTGTCCAAGTGCTATGTGGTGACAATTTTTTACTGTTCAGTTAGCAATGGATTACATGACTTCTGAGATGCATATTTCAATAAAAGTAAAATAGGATATTTCTTTCGACATGTCAACACATCCTTGTAGCGATAGCAGTAGTCAGGAATATCTTTATCACAGCGTTCGATGCGTAGTTTTTCCCTGCATGCGTGCATATCCAAACGGCTTTTGTTGTTTTCTGTATTATTTTTTCTAAATTAAATGCATTCAAAAATAATTTACTTCTCAGTATAGTTCTAGTTTTTGTTAGTTTAACTTTTAAAACATGTATTTGGTCAGTTTATGGATTTATGACAGCTATGCTTTCATAGATGTGTATTTTGTCGACAGCCAGGCAAAAATCACTTAAGTGAAACAAATGCACGAGGCTTTATATAACAGGTACAGGTGGCCAAAAATTTTCGGTTATGTGAAAAATTAAGAAATATGCGGACAAATCTTACAGGAATGTAGAATCATTTGCTAATCTGTAAAATATTTTTTAATAGTTCATGAATATATTTTAATGTGAACAATACATCAGAAAATGATTTATAATATCTTACCCTGTTTCAGAGATCTGACCCCCGATCATATTGAGGTCTATTGAAGAGTTTTGATTCTCTAGAGTTAATATTAACCTTTCGTCACCAGCAATATAAATCCACATTTTCAAAATAAATTTCACAAACGTTTTGGAAGCAGCAAATTCTGTTCTTATTGTGCTTGTGTTATGCAATAAGACGATATCAAAATCTGCAAATGGAGAATATAAATGTAAAATGGAATAATTAAACTAAGACTGAAATACCGAAGCTGTAAGTTTTGAATAAGACGCCATTTTGTATAACCTTTACAATCAGTTGACGTTTTTGAGCCCTCGTCTTGTGTAGTTTGGGAATAAGGGCACTTTGTACATTGGTCTTGGCCATATTCTTCATTATAGGATCCCTCGGAGCACAAAGAACATATGGGAGTGCCATCTAACGACCAACTACCTGGTTCACATGCCTCTGTAAGAATTGAAAACTTTTCAGCCCATTTAGTTTTTAACTTATGTTATTTTAGATGATTCACCTGAAAGGTAAACTGTAACCAAAATATCTTACAGGAGAACACATAGAAACAATTACTTTGATAAATGTAGGTTATTGTATTTTGATTCAAAGAGTTTTAATCCTTTTTGTTTTTAAAGATTATTTCATAACGTAAATTTAAGTAATTTAAGTACTTTTAAAAAATATAGTACCTGTGCATTCATCCAAATTTTGTGCTCCCTTAATACGCGTTGTTTGAAATTGTGGGCATACTATGCAGGAATTTTGACCAGTGCTTGGTTGATAATGGCCCTTCGGACAAAGGGGACAATTCCTGGTCTTATTGTCAAAATATGTTCCTGGAGCGCATTCAACTGTAATAAAGTAAGTCTCAATCAAACATGTCAATTCATTTTTGAGGAGTTCACTTAAAAGATGTTTTGTTTTTATAATCAATCAAAAAACTTCAATTTGCAATCCTATTTTGGTCATAACAATCGGTATAATTTTTGACATGGATCAACAAAAAATTACAAATGAATGCTAAAATCAAAACGTACATGTACACGTAATTGATAATATTTCAAGTTTTTTCCCTTTGTTTAAGTGAAAATGTCTAGTTACCACATGAAAGCGTCCTGAACGACGGAACTGTGTTATTGGAGCAAGCCAAAGTAACCTCCTGTGCAGAGAAATCTTCGGGTACCAATACACCTCCATCTGGAAGAGTTAAATTTAAATATCCCTCCCTTTTCATTTCTTCTAGTTTTTCCGTGACGATCGAAGAACTTTGGCTAAAATTTCTGAATGTCTCTTCAAAGTTTGTTGAATCCAGTTCTGCGATAATCTCAAAATCTATTCCAATATCAGATGATCTTTTTCTTTCTGTTAATCCACATCGAACCTGGTGCAATTCAAGGAAAGAAAGAAAAGGTCTTAATTCGGTCTATTTCATTTTTTTTTAATATTCATGTTTTATTTTTTTAATCAACATATGTAATACCTTGACGTTTTGAACTGTGCAGTCTTTTGCATTGATAAAACAGGCATCTTGATAAAGAGATTCCTTGAAAGCTTCGATAAACTTCTTTTTTATCTCTTCAATTACTGCTTCATCAGTACAATCTCCAGCAAAATAGAAATTTGCATGCATCACGAGCCTTCCACCCGTTGGATGATGTGTTTCTGAAATATTTAAAATTATTTGAGTTTGAGTATTTCAAAGATATGTCAAAAACATTGGTGACTTTGAAAAGAATACATTATTTTATCAAACTTTATTTTTTTATTACTTGCACAGTCTGGTAACGGAAGAGATCCAACAGGTAGCCATTTCCCTTGTTTCATTTTATCTGAAGACATTCCACAAACTAACATATCTTCTAGGCGAAAATTTGTTTGAACATCAAAGCCAGCCTTACAAAACATTCGACAGAATTGCCCACCGAGCCAATTGTCACACACAAGTGCCCCATTTTTCGGGATTTGTTTAATTTCTGGACATGTTATAAGAACTGTAAAGACGACAAAATAGAGATTTTAAAGTTTGTATTTTTGTAGCATAATTTTTTTTCGTAATTCAAAATGTCAAAATCACAGTTAAAAGAAATAATAATAAAGGTATGTTACCATCACAAAATGGCAATTGGCTTGAACCCCATGACCACATGGCAAAGTTCCCAGTTGAGGACTTTTCACAGCTGACCGCCTTGGTTCCATTGAGAACAGCACCATAATCACATTCAAATCTGCATATACTCCCATACTTAGTTCCAGATTCACAAATAATTCTTTGATAAGGTTTTTCAAACATTCTGGGACACTTTAGAACTGTGAAACAGGCAAGGAATAATATACAGCTGTAATTGCATGATAAATATTAATTTTAATTATATTTTTAAAATGTCAAATCACTTTTATACCGACAAAAACTCACTTTTCATAATTATCTTCATTTTACAAGGGACTGCACTATTTCCTTCGGTGTCATTGGCCATATATACCACTTGGTAAACCCCGGCCTCAATTATACTTCCGATAGAGATAGAACTGTAATTATGAATGAACACTACGTTGGAGTTATCAGTAGCAGTAGGCTCACTCCAGAAAATGGTTCCTTTCGTGGAATTTCTATCAGCATATCCTTCCACCACATTTGAGCAATTTTGAAATTTGGGAGGTTCAGTATCTAAGGATATTCAAAGTAAATAACAATATTGCCTTCTATAATGAAAAAATATTGGGAACAAATTATGAAAAAATGGTCCTTTGATATCGATGTTTTAGGCCTATAAAAGGAAGAATATGTATATGTTATAAGATAAACTACATTTATTCTCAAACCATATCCAGTTGTATACATTATGGATTCACCTTTGCACACAGGTTCCTCTCCTCGCCAACGTCTGTCTGCTCCACAAATTCGAATCCTGTTCATATTTGAGGGAATATCGTAACCCGCTGAACATGTATAGATACAAATACTCCCAAACCTGTTCCTGTCAGTACAAGTCCTGTATAACTTGCCTTCAGTTGAAGGTAAGGCTGGACAGGTTATCTCTGAAAAGGAAAATTACTGAGTACAAGTACTTCATATTTAATTAATTTTTTTATAAGTTTTAATTCTATATCTTGAAATCCTACTTATACAAACAGTTCACTTTCGAACGAGGAAATAATTTAATACCATTTTTCAGTCTTTCATACTTTTAAGTTCTTTTAACTTCTAGAACAAACTCTTCTTCTTGAGGATTTAAAAGTTTAAACATACCCAAGAGTTCGGTCTACAATACTTTGTTTGAATTCCTAACTTTATTAAGATTCTACATGTAATTACCAAGTATTTTATTAGTATTTGTCACACTTCTCTAGCTTGTCATTGTTAGTTTTATTAATTGTTTTATATCACAGAATTGACTCAAGCATGATAGTTATATTTTTCAGCTGAATACCTTGTTGAGATTTATACATGATAAATCAAGTAAATATTTTTCAAACACGTACTTTTACAGTAAGGAGTGTCATAAGACCAGGATTTGTCTATTCTGCATTCTAGTTCGTGAGCACTTCCAGCAATTTCATATCCGCTGTAACATCCGTAGCGGCATGTCGTTCCATAGATCATTTCACTACTAGGATGGCATATGAAGTAGCCATTGTTAATTTTCTTAGGCCCTTGACATTTTTTAACTGGCAACAAAAATAACATTTAATCTCAAGTAAACATATATTAATGTTATATTTGTTCAAAAAATTACTATAAATTTCTCAAGGATCGAGAAAAAGTTCGTTGCATTTTTTCTCTGTTTGACGTCACCCGTCTTTCAACAAAATGCATGATACCTTTCTATTACTCTGAAGAAAAGCGCAAGATATGTCAATTTTCTCGAAAAATAAGAAATGTTTTCAGAAAGAAATGGACATTAGTATTGTGTTTCTGTTTGACTACTGTAATTTCTAATTTTGCAGTTGTATGCTACAGAAATTAGCCTTGCTTATCTTACTACCGGTATGTTCATGGTATAAAAAAAATAACATTGAATTTAATTCAAATAATTCTCCAAATAGCCTTTTTATCTCCTTTAAGAACCTGAAAAGAGAATTTTACAAAACAAAACCAAATGAAAAGATAAATAATTTCACTGGAAAGAAGCATTATAATATGTACAAAAAGTAATAACCTTTCACATCAATTGTAATTTTACAATAACCCGAATTTCCGTACGAATCTGTCGCATAATATTCAACAACTGATGTTCCGGAAAGATGACGTCCTGGAACAGGTCCTGATCTTCTATTTACCCTGAAAAAATCCATATGATTGGTAAATAGATACATATATAGTGTGACTTTAATAAACATAAGTTCTATTAGTTCTTAAAAATAATAGGCACATATTCTTGATAAACTCTAATTTTTCTTTTTACAAAAAAGTAGAAAGTTCGGTAAAAAAAAAACTTCAACAATTTTTATTTTAAAAAGATAATGTAATAAAGAGCCTGTGAAAGTCTCATTAAACTTTATTAAGTTGTATGAGTGGAATTCGGTATATGAGATGGTCAATATTATAGAAAGAATGGCAGTGTCCATGTTTTGCTCTGGGAAACCCGAAACTTGCATCGGATCAAAAAATTGAAAAGAAGGTGCTCAATGATAATTATTTTGTAATAAAAGTTCTGTAAAGTCTTAATAAATCGATAAAAGATAGATATGCCCCTCAATATTAAAAAAAGAGTGGCAGTACGGACGGTCTTACGGAGGGACATCCCGATTAATGAATTTAAAACCCTCCTACTATCCAAGCGAGGTGGGAGATAATGATGTGATTTTTTTATGAACAATATTGTATGAATTAAATCTTATACGATGTAACAAGTATAATACATCTTTGCTGAAACTACTTAAAAGGAAAGATACGCATATGCAAAATACCTGAGACTGTTTCCACGATTATCTCTAGCTGTCGGTTCTGTCCATGTTGCCTTCGTATAAACTTGTCCTTTGTCCGCCGTAAATGTTAGCGGTGGTGGTGGACAATTAAGTGTTGGCGGAGTATTATCTGAAAATTAACTTTTATAATGTTAATCTATTAATTCAAGAAAAATTATGCAAATTTAAGTTAAAAAAATCTTTTTTTCAAATAAAGTGATTGCATATTCACCTCGGCGGCATCCTCCAAATAAACAGACATGCAAAGAATCGAAATATAGTTTGAAAAATGTTTCGCCTTTTACGATCTAAACTTGTTGTGATCCGCTTCTTGCAATCTGTAAAGATAAAATTATAATGGTTTTTCTATCATGGTTCAACGATCTACATACATGTAATGTACACATACAGGTATATAGTAAAATGATTGTTTGTGCTCACTTTGATAGCTCTTTTGAAAACTTAAAATAAACTTACTCTGTTTTTTTATTTCTTTATATATTCAGAATGGTACTAGTATCTAATTTGAATGTTATTAAAAAGAATTAACAAGGCTGAACAAAAAAATTACTGTCATGGCTTAAAAAACTGTTTTTGTTTTTTTCTTACTTCTTTATTTATTCAATAAGTCATGTAGCTTATTCAGATGTTATTTGAAAAACAAATATTTTCATGCTATTTTTGAAAGTCTTTGGAAAACAAATAACTAATAATTATTAAATAGGTGTTTTGCTCTACAGCTAATTATTTTTATGGCAAACAATTGAATGCGTTATACACTATAATCATTTTTCTTAAAAAAAAAAAAATCACTGATACTGCATTTTTGACTACTGCATGCATGTATTGAATACATTGCAGCATGTTTTTTATTTCATAATATGAAAAATGGAATTGAAAATCAAAATTCCAAAAATTTAGACCTGACATTGCCTAGAGAAATTAATTTGCAAAAGAGATCACTCTTTTAATTTCAGTTACATGAAAAAAAATAATATCAATAAAAATTTTTAATTAAAACATATTCACCAACTTACATGAAAAATAAAACATGCAGCTTTACATAATGAATAATTAAACATATATACCTCTCTCATTTAACCGTGGCATCCAACTACCATTTGAACAAAGAACTTGATTCAGTTGCACCTCTTTATTGTCACACTTTATTAAACAAAGTGTGCCATTTTGCATTAAAACATTTGGTTTCGGAATATCCGTAATATTGTTGCAGGACAAAATGTTCTCGAACAGCGACTCTGATAAATGACAGGCCATCATGTTTCCCTATAAAATATGAAATGGATGGGTCAAATTAAACTCAACACGGACGTCTTAGAAAACATTAGATTGAAGATCTAGTTCTAAATTCATCTTTAATCCACCTAAGATTTTCTCATACGCAAAGGAAAAAATGACAAATAACCATAGAAATATACAAAAGAAAGCATTAAATTTATGAGTTCTATGCACAATATATTATATATATATTATCAAGTAGAAACTATGTTCTTCTTCTCGTAAGCATGTCTAGTACTTTGAATTAAATCACAATCTTACTGCATATGATAAAATTTGCATACTTTCTTTGTTCCTTCCATGAACATGCAGTCATAGGTTTCATTCATTGGCTTCGAAATAAACGTTCAAAGTTTGGTTTATTTGTACATTCTACATATAAGATATAAGATACTTCTCTATGAGATTGTGTTTTAAGCTGAAAGCAACATTTCTGTATCTTTAATAATGATTTAAAGTCTTTTAATGAATTAAAGAATATTTTAATGCTAAAATAATAGAAAGAATATTCGTTTTTTTATAATAATGATATCATTTTTGAATATTTGGAAAGATGACGTCACACCTTCGTCAACCATATGAGGAAGACAATACGGTTTTACACCAGATAAGGGGAATTTAGAAGTAGATCTAAATACCGTAGGGAGGTTGAGCTTTTATATTTGCACAGGTACGTCTAGTAGGGGAATTACCTAAATTCCTCCCGTATCACGTCATCATTTTTAGTGATGACAAGTTTTCTACATGCATGTTCTTAGAACATGTAGAATGGCATCTACACGAAAGTAAAAACTTTAAGTTTTAATAATACAAATTAGTCAAATTTTGTGTGATAATGTTATTGTTATACATTATTTTGGATTTTTAGTTTCAGGATCAATTATTTTAATCCAGTTATGTTTACTAATTGAAGTAAAAAAAGTTATAAATAAAAACAAAGACACCAATTATAGTGTGTGTGCGTACTTGTAACACTTCATGAAAATCTCAAAAGACGTACGTGTACTTGTGCATATACTTTAACGTACGCTTGAACAATTTTTCAGTTTGTCTGTTTAGATTTTTACGACGTATAACAAGTACTTGTACACCGCGATCGGTTTTTCTGTTTCGACTTTTTAGAAGTTTTATTACGTCGGATAGTTTTTCGTTAGTAAACAAAACGTTATTAAAATAAGATTATAAAATTTAACATAGAAAATAATGTATAACAACTACATTTTCAACCATTTATTGTCTGATTTTTATTATAAAAGCTACAAGTGTTCACGTATGTGAAGATGCCAAGTTCTAAGAACGTGTAGAAAACTTGTCTTCTCTAAAATTGAAGACATAATACGCGAGGAATTTAGAAAATTCCCCTATTAGACGTAACCGTATACGTATTTTAACTCCTCTCTATTAAAAAAAGTGTACGTGTATACCAAATTAAAGTATATGCACAAGTACACGTATGCGTACAAGTTTAAGATCTCAACCTCTCTACATAAGTTTGTTCATGTCATTTATAAGTAATGAGTTGGATTAATCAGGTAAGCTGATTTATTAATTACATTTTTTTTCGTTCATAGAGAATGAACTGTGCCCAAATCCAAGATTTCCTCTGACATTCTTGACAACATCACAGTACGCAAATATTAGTAATAAGCAATGTTGTGTCAGTTAACATGGGGTTATGAACAATTTAATAACTCTGCAGACATATTTATCATGAAGTCTTAACGACGCCATTAAATTTGATTGCAGAGCTAATAGATGTTGTTCATGACGAAATATTTACATCCACTGAATATTTTCTCCTTTATTTCTTGAGAAACCCCACTGCGTTAATCGCTGCATGAACTATATTAGGCATGTCGCCTGCACAGCTTTCTTGATCAGTGGCTGTTCCATCAATGAAACGTATAAAGACGTTCGCATCATTAATACAATAATTAAACTTTTAATCCTTCTTTAAATGATTATTTAAACAGATAAAAATTTAAACAATAAAATGTCTTTTTTGTTTGTTATTAATGGAATTAGCGGTCGCAGCTATTGTAGAAAAAAAATTACATAACCCGCTTACACAGGTTAATATGTATTTTTTCTGCAGCAGCTGCTTCCGTTAATTAATTCCAGTAATAACAAAGAAAGCATTTTATTGTTTAAATGTTCACTAAAAGAAATATATTTTCTTAAATTTATGTCTCTATTTCAATGGAACATATTTTTTCAGTTTTTTTTCTAGAAATTGTCTATAAAAATGTGAACTTCTAAGTTTGCATGTAAGTATCATTGCAAATAAAATGTTAGCGGAAGATACTTAACAATTTGAGTATCATTTAAGAATTTGACATGACATCCTTCTGCCTAATCATAAACGACTTTCCTTTTTAATAATTTCACATTCTTCAATTTCGACCAAACTTTGAACACTAAAATCCCAAACATCAGAGGTGGGATCAGGTGCCACGGAGGAGTGAACATCCCCTGCCGACCGGTCAAACCCGCCGTGTGCTCCTTGTCATTATCGGTAAATAACGGGAAAAATCCGTCGTCAATTCTGTGTATCATTCATAGACTAACAATTAGTATTAAAAATGTTAGTCAGCATTTAACTCGAGATAAATTGTATTTCCTGACAAAGTAATTGTATCGACCTTAGAACGTACGAAATGATGCCTTTAAACAAAGATGCTGAAATTCTTGGTTCATCAACTTGTTTGTCAATATTTTACCCCGTTTTTAAAAATTGATCATGTTGAAAAGAACAAAATTAGGTTTATTATCGGAACCAATGCAAGTTTACAAATAAACTAAGTACTCTTCGATTATACATTTTTGGAATAATTTATAGAAAATGAACTACGAATTTGTAAAGTGATAATTTAATTTAAATAAACATGCATATTGAGCGGAAAATTATATTTTTCATTCAATTTTCTGTTTTGAAGAGTAAGCAAATTAAAAGTATGAAGAAAGCGATAAAAGAACATAAATTAGCAAAGGTATTCCGGGTGAGGTAAAATTTAATTTGATTGATTGCTTGTTGCTTCCTCTCGAGAATTTTTTACTCATAAGGAAACGCCCCCACTTGGAGGTGGAGGGCTACAAATGTTGACCTACACTTACGGTTATTGAGCAATGAGGATTTTTTTTCGTGCCAGCACCAACTGCGACACATGGCATCGTTGTCATCCGTAGAAACGATCTCTATGCACGTCCCGCACTGGGACGCGAATCCAAATCAATTTATTTTTCTTCATGAATCTACAGCAGATGCTAAATTGATATTATTTGCACAGTTTTGTATAAATACGAGCGCGCGGGTCCGGCGAGCGTATATAAATTAACTTTTACTTATTTTTTTATTGTAAATAATGAGTGTCCTCCTTGAGTGTTAAATTTTGAAATATTGTTTAGGGATTTATTATAATGGTCATTTTGTTTCATGCATATGTCGTAGGAGAGGCAGATATTGACCAATCAAAATCTAATAAATTAAATTCCGGTTCGTCACTCTGTCTCTTCTCACACCCACAACCTTGGAAGACGGGCGTTTTCAAGTTTGTTATTTATTTTATGAAGTATTTGATGATTATATTTTTTAAATCTTGCATTGTCTTTTAATGGGCAAATCTTTGGGTGTCATTCTTGCTCAATCAGTTGTGCGTCGTTGTCATGAATTATTGAAATATGGTGACATAAGATATTGTGAAAACTTCTGTCTTTGAAAAATGTAATTCTGATTGATACAGGAGTGCGTGTGGAAAGAATGTTAGTAAAATAATATCGAAGGATATGGTGAGTGTGTTTGGTTTTGGTCCCGAGGTAGTTGCTTTAATGATTGGGGTGAACATTATATTTCTAGTATAGATCCTACGTACCGCAGAAATTAAAACTGTGGTATCGGTTATGCATTGCCGCTATAATGATGCAAAATTTTTTTTGGGCAAATTATTGCCAAGATTAAATGTTAGTTTTATGACACTGATGTAGCAGACAGAGTAAATATTGAGATGAGTATTGCCATCACTAAGTTATTATGATTTAACTTGTGTTTTTTCCCCGTGAAGGGGATTGTAGTCGGAAATTAATACATGACGGAGTTCATCTGAACAAACAGGGGAATGTACATTTTGTATAGGAGTATAAGGAGAGTGTTAATTTCAGCGAAAAAATAGATTTTCCGGAAAATGGAACAAGTGTGTACTTTTATCCTTTGTCCAACATCATTTGGATATCGAAGTAGCAAGTTTAAAGTTTAAACATGCAATGTTAGTTAATTATTTATTTAAAAAATATAGAAATCGTTACGCTTTTTATCAGATATTGTTTTGAGAATCTTTGGGTTGGCATTTGATTTAATTTCAATATTTACGCGTGTATTTCATTTGTTTGGTTATTAATCTCGTGTAAAATGGCCGTTAATTTGTTCCATAGGTATTGTTTGAAAACACTTATATTTTGTGACTTTTACTCTACTATAGGCATGACCAGGCAGTCAATGTGATTGCCAAGTCTTTAAAGTCCTTTTTGGTTTGTTGTTTACATCCTTTCACCCCATCGCCGCAAAATTTGTTGGTTTAATTATTTTTTTTTTTTTTTGGCGTTTTGAGACAAAATTTTATAAGTTCTAATACTTGAAATTTGGATTATCTCCCTTTTAAAAATTGGCTTATTACTCATCTTTATATTTTGAGCTTGCAACAAAAATTTTATGTCATTGTTAATAATACTTTTCTTTAAATTATTAAATGTCACAAAAGTGGCAACATACGACAAACTGTTTTAAGGTATGTCACTTGTGAGATTCATTATATCAAGGATTTTTTAAGAAGAATATTTTGGATAAGTACTCAAATAGTATGACTCAAAATCGCAGAGAAAATAAGACCGCGGAACATTAACTAGCAAAATTGGAAGTATACAGCTTACGTCATTTCTATCTGTTACAATCAAAACATTCAGTGATAGACAATGAAATGGGCGGGTACAATTCGACG